ACTCCTTTCCAAATAACTTTTCTATCTGCTAATAGTGGTGGATGTTGTTTTCCAAAACTTCTTAAAAAAGTAACCCAACCTTGGGCTTGAACTCATGACCCGAAGATCAAGAGGCATGCTCTACCGACTGAGCCAGCCAGGCACCCCAAATTTTCCAAAACTTTATTTTTTTTCGTTTTTTTGTTATGTTAATCACATTCATTTTTGAGAAAATGATAACCACAAACCCAGGTTTGTCAATTCTAAGTAAAAATAGTGTTCCATGAAAAACAGTGGCCAATTCAGCTTGCAACGCAATCACACAAGGGTTTTTCCTCGAGACAACTGTTACTATTCACAGTATGCAGAAGTGCTTTATGTAGCACTTCCTACTTTGTCACATTCAATATTAAAAAGGTGTGAACTCAAGGGCTGGATTTAATTAGAGTAATAATTTTTATTGCTACTGAGGGGCATTCTTAAGTAAAATTGACTTAAAAAGATTTGAGAGCGCGTATAAGCAAGCATGAGTGGGAGGGGCAGAGAGAGAGAATCTGAAGCAGACTCCTCACTGACTTCGGAGCCCAATGCGGGGCTCGACCTAATGGCCCTGAGATCATGACCTGACCCAATACCAAGATTCGGACATTTAACCAACTGTGCCACCCAGGCGCCCTGTAAAACTGGGCTTTTTAAGAAGATTGTTTCTGTATTTGCTTCTGATAGATAACCTTTCTTAACAAAATTCCAAATATTCTTAGATTTCTAAGGTATTTAAAATCATAAATATGCATTGTTTTTATTAAATTTGCAAAAATCCAACTAATTCTATACCTAATACTCCAGTGGACCAAATCAGCAACGGAGTATCAGGTATAGGGGACTTAAGTCAGATTTTGTCCCTACTTTTTGATCTGCTCATTATTAAGTTGTGAACTGAACAAAGCCCGGATTCAAACAGAAAAGACATTTGTATTTATTTATTTGACAGAGAGAGCATGAACAGGAGGAGGAGCAAGGGGAGAGGGAGAAGCAGGCTCCCCGCTGAGCAGGGAGCCCAATGCGGGCCTCGATCCCAGGACCCCGGGATCATGACCTGAGCTGAAGGCAGACACTTAACTGAGCCACCCAGGCATCCTGAAAAGACGTTTTTAAAAAAGTGAGCAGGTTGGGGAAAAAAAAAAGGTAAGCAAGTTGACCAGAGGATATCTGCTTCATCCATGGGTCTCTGCAGAGCACAAAATAAGGTCCGTTGAATGTGATTTGGGCAATTTGAGGTCATTATGGAAAACTGATCTACCATTAGGAAACATCTTCTGCACAGGTTTGTAACAAACTCACTCACCCACAAAAATGCAACCCCATATTTGGAGTCTGAATGTATTCATTCAAATCAAACAACCAAAAACACAAAAATAAAACACAAAGTATACATTTTCCCTCAATCACAATTGGTTTTCAGAAAAGAATCATGAAGTTTAAATAGTTAAAAAGTCAAACAGTGCAAAAAGAATCAACTGCATACGGTTAAAAGTTATTTCATATTTTATTTTCTAATTGTAATAGTTTGCATCCATTTTTTTTTACATAAGTCCAAATGATGGGACTTTTTTACATAAGTCCAAATCTTCAAATCAGTCAATACTAATTAGCTGTCATGAATCTATATAGTAAAAGAACTCATTAGACTTAAGAATGAAATATGACCAGAGCTATCAATATTAATAACTATAAACTTTCTCTAAAGAAATATAGTTGGTATTTTGCAAAACATCCATCTTTAAGCAATTTAGAGACTTGTTAGTCTTATGCTGAATTAAATGAGGGTGGTAACATTATTTTATATATTGTGTCAACATGAATATATGAATATATATATTCTACTAGTTTCTTTTATTATAGGAACCAAAGACTGCAAGTGAAAGAAATAGTAAATAGAGAATATAAAAGATGTGCATATTTGCTCTTACACAGTCCTGGATACCAAGTGAAAAGCGGCAGACACCGCTCTAGGTGCAATACACCTATGGAGACATAATTAATCCTCCCACCAATTCTGCAGGTACTATTCTCATCACCCCCATTCTTACAGGTAAGGAGCCTGAAACTCACACAAGTGAGAGAAGGTGCCCATGGTCACCTGGAGGTTAAGGGCAGAGTGGGGGTTGGGGCACAGGCCTCCTGACCCCAGGGCCCATGCTCCCTTCACTCTCTATCACACTGCCTCCTAAGTTCCCAGCAGCTGGGGGGAAGAGGATCCACTCCAATACTCTCCAAATCCCTTGGTTCACTCTGTACCTGAGAAGTTAAGTGTCTCAATGCAGCTGTAGTAAGACTTAAGATTTTGTTCTGAGTAGGAAGAAATAAGCAAGGATAAAAAGAATGATAGTTCAAGGTAAATCAAAAACACAAAAGTAGTGTGTACAAGTTCATGGGAGTCCAAACAGTATAAATGAAACTTCCTCTTGCTAAGCAGGACAAAGATCTAAACATCTCCTACCAATATGAATCTTAATTGTTAGAACAGGTAACATAAAGAACCTCACTTTCATTCTGATACTTTAACTGTCAAGCTACAGTTAATACTGGATACTTTAAAATCTGTAAACAAATCAAATCAAGTATAAATCCAGCTAGGTATTTTTATTTCAAACATGCTTTTACCTACTTGATTACTCTGTTGTTCTGAAGTCAGTACTCACAGCAGTTTATATCTACTAAAGATGTTATTCACCATCCTATAATTTAATATTTACACAAGATAGATGAGATTAAGTTAAACTACAAGTCACAACGAGTTTTGTAACCAACTATATTCACAGCCATGATTCTGTAGATGTGGTGAGTAAACCAATGGCCATTCCTTAATAAAATACACGAATTTTCATCATGCATAGTTTACAGGATCCTTAAGAGGATCTCTTAAGAGGCTGGATGTTCAAAAAAGAGTCAACAGTCAAGCAATTAAATCTTGGCACGTCTTTTTTCACACAAATGCTTGGTTTGGTTGTTGAGCCACCTTAGTAATACAATTTATTTATACTCTAACTGGTAGTAGAATCAACACTGCATGAAAAATGCAAGCCCATCAAATTCATTAGTAATAATTATTATACCCGCTTAGCAGGAAGAACCATTATTTTGGATTTCAAACATTTTATTTTCTTTCAGGGCATACCTTATAGCTCTGTTATGGGAATCAAAGAGTATAACCAAAAAAACCCCAAAACCAAAAAAATAAACGAAAACCAAAAAAATACCATACAAACCAAAAACCAACCAACCAAAGAAATTCAACAAAACACCACACATACACACACCAAAAAAAAACAAAACAAAAAACACCAAGGACTACTTCCATTTCTCATTTGAAATATAATCAATAAAACTATACAAATTTCACATTAAATTTAATAAAACAATCCCTCCAAGTAGTGTTGCGTATGACCTAGAACTTTACCATTTTATAATCATTATGATTTGAGATTTTCCAGGATGCAATGGCACTAGATTGAGCTTTTACTAGGTAGGCAAGGAAAAAAAAATATCACTAACACACACATAAATGGGGACCATAGTTGTAATTTAAGAATCTTTAGACGAACCATATTTGTTAGAGGAGGTAAGTAGAAAAGCTAATGTGTGAGCTGTACCATCCCTACCATGAACTGTACCACAGATGTAGAGTTACAACATTCTTGGTAAAACAACACGGAAAAAGAATCTATATATACACCACAAATTTAGCAAAACACTTTTTGTACAGAAGCCTAAATATCTTAGTTTAGATTTTGATGAAGGTAATCACTAAGTTGATTCTTCAAGGCTGGTTTCTTACAAGTCTTAAAAAAAACAGCTCATGGTCTCGGATGCATTCCCTCTAGGTTAAGTGTTCAGAACTCCAGAGAATAAGAAACATGAATTCCAACTGTCTACTCATTTCTATTCTTTGATTTAATAATGCTTTATAGTACCTCAGATTCTGATTCCAGAGTTTGCACACTTAGGAATAAGCATGAGATTAGAGAAGATTTGCTTATTTTCTGAAGCCACATGAAGGTTTATTTCCCTTTGTAGTACTTTTCATCATTGAAAACACCTCTGGAGACCGGGAGACTAGAAGCTTCATTACCTTAATGATGGACCTCTTCTTTTAAAGTTGCCTAAGATTTCAATGTGGCTAGTGAGGTCTAAATAGCCCAGCCATCAATTTCATCTTTGTAGAATTGAAAACAAAACTAAGTAAGGGAAAATCCAAATTCCCAATAAAATACAAGCAAAACAAATCTTTACACACAATAAAATACATCCTAAACACCAAGTAAGGGTATAATATACTCTGCAGATGACATTGTCTTTATTATATTTCTCAGCTGTAGCTCTCCCATTTAAAATGAGAAACCATCTTTTCAGTAAATTGTTATTCCCCTCCTCTTTTCCCAGCTTAGGGATAGTTTGAAAAAGGCTTAATTTGTACAGTTGTTAGGAAATTAAATTTTCATTTATACATAATTCAGTTGTTTATAAAGCACTCAAAATTGTAGCTTATAGGTATATGACTTCTGAAATAAAATGACACTTTAACAATATTTTTGTTCTTTAAAAATATTCTACATACATGCATATGATCCAAACAATCTTTTCTTGTTTGGGAAATTTCCTATGCATAGTAAGGAAAAAAACTGCCAACTATATATAGCAACGTTTCAATGTTAAGATGACTGGGTGCCACCTACTGTTCAATTCCTGTAACTACTAACCTTACAAATTAAAAATTGCTATTAAAACCCAGGTTCTAAAACCTGCATTTTGGAAATGCTTTTTTGCTGATACATTTATAGTGGCAAAATAAGATCATGAAAAGAATGTACATGATATCAAAATTAGTACAAAAATAGCCACATGCTACTTAAATATGAAAAACAGACCTAATCATTTTTACTTCAAATACAGAGTTCTGCCTCCTTTAAACTGTATCAAAATCTCAAGGGAACATCAAAGTAAATGGAATATACAGTCAACAGGCTAGTCAAAGTTAGGGCTTAATCATAATCCATAATGAGTGTAGGGCAAATAGTTAATTCAGAACATTCATTTACTTACGGGAAGGGGTCAAAGTAGGAAAGGCAGTAATGCATTTCTCCCCTCTTTTTAAAAATAGTAGATGTGGTCTTTTACCCATAAGCTCCAATACATCAAAAGAACAAAGGGGGTTTAACTTTTCACTTAAGAGAATTCAGCATTACCAGTTTTTAAAGAAATACCTTAGAAACAAATCAGTCTGCTTTAGCAAATTGCACTCATGCTAATTAAATTTTAATCTTCTTTAACAGGTCACAGCCAAAATCCAAATTGTTGGAACAATCCTCAGAGAAATTGGAATGTAAAATGTTGAATTCAATTTAGATCTGGAAGGGAAAAGAACATCAGATCAAATGAAAGAATTCTTATATTCCAACAGTCTACCACATAAGGGAGGCTTGCACACCCTAAAGCTATCTTTGAAGAGGAAATTCTACACACAGGGTTTTTCTCAATTACAGTTTGTTGCCAGTAAATCTTTACAACCATGTCATGCTATGCAAAATATTCTTAATAAAGTTTAGTGTCTCCTCCCTTTTGTGTTAGTGATGAAAGATTTTTTATTCTGGGGTGGGAGCAGACACAGGAGTATTATCTGAGAAAGGGGCAAGTCTGACAGTAACCAAATTCTCCTCTCAACCTGGGTACAGGAAAAAAGGCTAGTGTACCTATGAACCATCTGGAGAAATGTCTTGGAAAAGTAGGGTTCTCAGGTGGTAACAAGGCAACCCTCGCAAAACGTTCAAGATAACTCAAATTCCTTTAGTAGCCACCATCTTTTACCATCTCTTTCCCTGCCAGCTTACTGGGTCCAATTCCAAGGCATCACTGGCACAGATTCAGAATTTTTTTTCTTAGAAAATCTTAACCCTGTCTAGATCCTCAATTAGGAAAATGTAATACATTTTCCTAAATGAATACAGCTCAGTGTATTCAAATTCAAATTCATATTCAAAAGTGTTCTCTGATTAGGTTCTTAATTTCCAAAAGAGACCTTCTACCCCAGCTCTAAAAATGTTTGGATTGCCCCTTAATTTACAACACAATTCCATGTCAGGTTCTGGTCACAGAATATAATCAATAAATCTACTGTCAAAAGTATCATTAATAATTCAGTCACAAGAATTCTGTGGCTCAGGGTCTCTAAAGGGAGGTACATTAAAAAAAGAATGATGTATTTATGTAAAAATTCATAAACGCATATACACATGGAGGATATATACTCAAATCCTTAATTCACCCTGAGTATTCTAAATGGTCTGAAGATGCATCAAAATATAAGATGGATTGATGGATGAATAAAGATATAGTTAAGATAGGGGCGCCTGGGTGGCTCAGTTGGTTTAGGCGACTGCCTTCGGCTCAGGTCATGATCCTGGAGTCCCGGGATCGAGTCCCACATCGGGCTCCCTGCTCGGCAGGGGATCTGCTTCTCCCTCTGCCCTCTTCCCTCTCGTGCTCTGTCTCTCATTCTCTCCCTCTCAAATAAATAAATAAAATCTTAAAAAAAAAAAAGATATAGTTAAGATATATGATAAATCAGGTATAAAAATATTAATTATAGAATCCTGGTAGTGGGTATCACTTCTGATGCCTAACTCAGACTTCCTGAAGATCAGCCTTAGTATTTTTGAAAGGCTCTGGTAATTGTGTTGCACAGTCCTAGGAAATACTGCCCCAGGTACACTAAAATTTCATCTTTGAATCAAACCAAACATTAGCATAATTATTTTTAGAGTTATATACACCGGTGGGTTCTCAATGACATTTTTATTTTAAGGAGTTGAAAAAGAGCCCACACTGGAGTTAAGAATAACTTATACTACTACTACAATTATTTACATTGCCAGAAACTAAGTATGAATTTCATTTAAATACTGTTAACAGCAAAAGGGCATTTGTTCGTGTGAGCATCACTGCTTTACCTTTCAGAAAAATAATACATTTTCCTAAAACACACCAACTCCAAACCAAGAGTCTGGCAACAGTGCATATCCAACAGATTGGCATAAGTAATTGGCAGAAGGTCTCAACTTTTTAAAGATTATTTATTTTAGAAAGAGAGATCGGGCGCCTGGGTGGCTCAGTTGGTTAAGTGACTGCCTTCGGCTCAGGTCATGATCCTGGAGTCCGTGGATCAAGTCCCGCACCAGGCTCCCTGCTTGGCAGGGAGTCTGCTTCTCCCTCTCCCGCTCCCCCCTCTTGTGCTCTCTCTCTCTCTCAAATAAATAAATTAAAAAAATCTTTAAAAAAAAAAAAAGAGAGATCACACATGTGGGGGAGGGGCAGAGGGAAAGGGAGAGAGGCGCCCCTGGAATTACAACATATGTTAAAAGCCTTGTTAAATTTGAGACCTTTTGGGGTGTGTGGGTGGCTCAGCTGGTCAAGCGTTTGACTCTTGGTTTTGGCTCAGGTCATGATCTCAGGGTTGTGGGACAGAGCCCTGCGTTGGGCTCCATGATCAGGGCAGAGTCTGCTCGGGATTCTCTCTCTCCCTTTGCCCACCTCCCACGTGCTCTCTCTAAAACAACTAAATAAAATCTTCTAAAAAAATGTTGTAATTCCAATGCTTCATATCAAGCTGTTCAAACAAGATTCTTCTCTTAACATACTAGTATTTCAATTAAGGCACGTTTCTTTGAGAAGATCTTCTATTTCTTACAACTGTCTGCTAAATTCAGAAAGAGCTATCTCTTTAGATGCTTTTAAACAAGTTATGATTCCAATGCCTAGCATTCATATCGCCAAAGCAAATACTCATCTTTTCTGGAAGAAATGTTGAAAATATTTTTTTTTTTAAGATTTTATTTATTTATTTGACAGAGAGAGAGATAGCGAGAGCAGGAACACAAAGCAGGGGGAGGGGGAGAGGGAGAAGCAGACTTCCTGCCAAACAGGGAGCCTGATGTGGGACTCGATTCCAGGACTCTGGGATCATGACCCGAGCCGAAGGCAGATGCTTAACGACTGAGCCACCCAGGCGCCCGAAATGTTGAAAAGATTTTAAGAATTTTCAAAGTTTAACAGTTTGGCTAGTTGTCTTCTATATTACACTGAGTATTTTAATTCATGGACAAATCTTGAAATATACCCTAATTTAAGTATTCAACATTTTTAGTTTAAAGGAAGATAGGAGAAAAGGCTGGTTTCTCTGTGGATAATTCAGAAACAAAAGTTGGAAAATGCAAGATGCATCTACTTACATCATCGATGTCTTCATCATCATCACCAATGTCATCAAACTGAATTTCATCATCATCTCCAGGACCAAATGTATCAGTTTCATTGATTTTAGCTAAAGAAACAGTAACAAACACACTCATATAACCAAGATGATATTAAAATGAGTGTGCACTAAAAGTGGTCTGATATTAAATGTTGAAGTATAAAAAGACTTGAGTCAAACATACCAATTCAAGTATAGTTGACATATATATTAATTTCAAGCGCACAACATAATTGATTTGACAATTATATACACTACAATATGTTCACCAGAATAAGCATAGTTACCATCTGTCACCAAAGTTATTACGATATTATTGACTATATTCCCCATGCTGCACTTTTCATCCCCATGGACTTATTTTAGAACTGGTAGTTTGTAACTCTTAATCCCCTTCACCTATTTCACCTACCCCCCCACCCCCCAGCAACCACTGGTTTATCTTCTCTATATTTATGAGTCTATTTCTCTCTTGTTTGTTCATTTTTTTGTTTTTTTAGATTCCACATGTCTAACTGCAATCATATGGTATTTGTCTCTGATTTATTTCACCTGGCATAATACCCTCAAGGTCCAACCATGTTATTACAAATGGCAAGATTTCATTTGCTTTTATGTCTGATACTCCAGTGTATGTGTGTGTCAATCATATGTTCTTTATCCATTTATCTATCAGTGGACACTTGAGTTGCTTCCGTATCTTGGCTATTGTAAAAAATGCTGCAATAAACACAAGGGTACATACATTTTTCCAAATAAGTGCTTTCGTTTTCTGTGGGTAAATATCCAGTAGTGGAATCTCTGAATTGAATGGTATTTTTATGTTTAACTTTTTGAGGAACCTCCATACTGTTTTCCACAGTAGCTGCACCAGTTTTCATTCCCACCAACTGCACACGAGGGTTCCTTTTTCTCCCCATTTTCACCAACACTTGTTATTTCTTGTCTTTTTGATACCAGATATTCTGACTGGGATGAGGGGATGGTTTTGATTTGCATTTCCCTGATGATTAGTGATGCTAAGCTCTTTTCACAGGCCTATTGGCCTTTCTACGTCTTCTGTGTAAAATGTCTATTCAGGTCCTCTGCCCATTTTTAATTGGATTATTTGGGAGGATTTTTAGGCATTCAGTTGTAGGAGTTTGGTTTTTTTTTTTTTTTTGAAGATTTTATTTGGGGCATCTGGGTGGCTCAGCCAGTGATCTCCCCTCTGTGATCTCTCACTTTTGCTCTCAAATAAAATCTTTTAAAAAATAAAAAATCAAGATTAATTTTTTTGAGAGAGAGAGCGCACACACGAGCAGGGGGAGGGGCAGAGGGAGAGGCAGACTCCCCTGCTGAGCAGGGAGCCCGATGTGGGGTTCAATCCCAGGACCCTGGGATAATGACCTGAGCCTAAGGCAGATGCTTAATCAACTGAGCCACCCAGGTGCCCCAAGTTGTAGGAGTTCTTTACATATTTTGGATATAAACCATTTATTAGATACATCATTTGCAAGTATCTTCTCCTATTCAATAGGTTGCCACTTTGTTTTGTTGGTTTCTTTCACTGTGCAAAAGCTTTTGAGGTTAATGTAGTCCCAACTATTTATTTCACAAAGATATTTTTAGTAATGCAGGCTCCAGTTACACAAATTCTGAAACTATTACAATTTCCAGCTATGCCCAAAAAAATGGTTAGAGCACATGCTAACAACTTACCAATCACCAGACACTCATCAATCAGAAACTTTAGTCAAATCATGATTACCCCTAAGCAATGAAAATGAACTGGGAGGTGCTGGTCCTATTCCCCAATATACTAGCATTTCCTAGATTGAAAATGTCACGGAAATAATTTCAGTAGGATTTTCATGCTTAAGTATTGTTTTCATAATATGCAAGAGAGCCAAAACAAACAAAAAACACTACAAAACAAAAACATCAAATGAAAAAGGTAGGCTTACAAAGTAGTATGTAAAGGACATTTCCCCTTTGGTGAGGTTATGAGGGACTTATTTTTGTTTTATTTAAGCTTTCCGCATAACAATGCGTAACTTTTGGGGTGCCTAGGTGGCTCAGTCAGTTAAGCGTCTGCCTTTGGCTCAGGTCATGATCCCAGACTCCTGGGATGGATCCCCATTATCGGGCTCTCTGCTCAGCAGGGAGTCTGCTTCTCCCTCTCCCCCTCCTCTCCCCACTCATGCTTGCTTGCTCTCTCTCTTGCCCTCCCTCTCTGAAATGAATAAAATCTTAAAAAAAAAAAAAAAAGAATGCATAACTTTTGTATTGGTAACAGAAACAAAGAATGTTGGTTTTAAAAAATCCTATGGGATCTTATGATACTAGGATAAGAACTGAAAACTTTATAAAAATCAACAACAGTAACTACTATCCTTGCTTTACATTTAAAGTAGATGAACAATGACAATCTCTTGAGAAAGTTACTGTGAAATAAATACTGTAACAAAAGTATTCCTGATTGGTATTAGGCAGAAGTTCAGAGTTTATAAAGTGTAACTCCACACCAGAAAGTGTATTTATTAAGGACAGAATCCCAGTTACTTTTTTCTTAAGGTATCCAGTATTATGAAGTATAAGCAGGCATACTTAAAATGAACCATGTAAGCACAAAAGTAAATATGCAAAATTCTACCAAAATTCCTTCACCTAAGTAACACCAAGTACTAACACCGTATGACAGGTCAATAAAATAACTCAGACATTACCATGCTCTGGAAGCTCGCCATATGCCTTCAGACTCCTAGCTTCATCTGCATTGTATTTTAAAATTACATCGGCTTTATTATCCTGAAAAAGACAATTAACTTTTAGAACCAATTATGCCAAAATATTATTTTCCCAAATTATTTTCAAACTGGATAAATTAAAAACTGTCATTACAATCTCTTTTCACATTTTAAAGTTTTCTCCTATCCAGTGCACTTGTTGTCATGAGCACTGGGTGACGTTCCATATACACTATAATTTCCATAATGTTGAATGACTATATTGTTAATTATACCAGAATTAAAGTTAAAAAAAAATAAGTATTGGGCGCCTGGGTGGCTCAGTCGGTTAAGCGACTGCCTTCGGCTCAGGTCATGATCCTGGAGTCCCGGGATTGAGTCCCGCATCAGGCTCCCTGCTCAGCAGGGGGTCTGCTTCTCCCTCTGACCCTCCCCCCCTCATGCTCTCTCTATCTCATTCTCTCTCTCAAATAAATAAATAAAAATCTTAAAAAAAAAAAAAAAAGTATTATGGGCACCTGGGTGGCTCAGTTGGTTAAGCATCTGACTTCAGCTTGGGTCATGATCTTGGGGTCCTGGGATGGGGCCCCTGCATCAGGCTCCCTACTCAGCAGGGAGTCTGCTTGTTCCTCTCCCTCCCCTTCTGCCTCTCACCCTGCTTGTGCTCACTCTCAAATAAAAGCTTAAAAAAAAAAAAGTATCAAAGCAAACAAAACTTTTAAAAAATAAAGTTTTCTCCTATCCTCTAAAAAACATCCTCAGGATTATATAGTATGAAGCTGCTTACATGCATAAATGAATGACGATCAACAAGCTTAAGGAAGATATTTACAGATCTCACTTTAAAAAGAGAACTGTACAAACCCAATCTTTTCAAGTTATTTACTACTATCCTTTGATTAGAAGTCTTTTTTTTTTTTTTTTTAAAGATTTTTATTTATTTGACAGAGAGAGACACAGCGAGAGAGGGAACACAAGCAGGGGGAGTGGAAGGGAGAAGCAGGCTTCTTGCCAAGCAGGGAGCCCGACGTGGGGCTCGATCCCAGGACCCTGGGATCATGACCTGAGCCCAAGACAGACGCTTAACGACTGAGCCACCCAGGCACCCTATAAGTCTTTGGAAATACAAAAATTCCCTGGGACCATAGTTTACAGGGTGATTAAACAGTCTAAAAAATTGAGACTGTGTAATCCCCTAAGGAAATTAATATACCTTTCCATGAATCAGTGGTTCTTAGAATATGAACTGACTGGAATCTCCAGTGGAGCCTTTATATTTCCTGAAGATTAGTAGAGATGGAGTGAAGCTCATGAATCTGTATTTTTAAAAGCTCTTAAAAGAGTGTTTCTGAGGCAAATGTCCCACTGAAAATTACTGCCATAGAATGTTCACTTTCCCATTTGAAAAGAACCCAACTCAGTTAAGGAAGAAAAAGTGTTGAAGTTGATTGTTTCAACTTCAAAAAGTTCTTTGGACCTAAAAGCAGGTCCTAATGACTACAAAGAGCATCAGTGATGCAAAGGCAGTGTGATTCAAACCAGTACTTCTCGAACTGTAATGTTTATAGAAGCTCAAAGGTAAATTGTTAAAATGCATATTCCAATTTAGGAGGTCTGGGGTGGGGTCCAAAAACCTGCATTTCTGACAAGTTCCCAAAAGCCAGTGATGCCACTGGTCCCTGGATCACCCTTTAAGTGGCAAGGGTAGAGAAGGTGGTTTGTGGGAGATTTAAGAATCAGAAAGTTGGTCTTGGCTGTCATTTTATAGTCAGAATGGTACATGTTTTCGGAGCCCCTGGGTGGCTCAGTCGTTTGGCATCTGCCTTCGGCTCAGGTCATGGTCCCAGGGTCCTGGGATTGACCCCCGCATCAGGCTCCCTGCTCAGCGGGAAGCCTGCTTCTCCCTCTCCCACTCCCCATGCTTGTGTTCCATCTCTCGCTGTGTCTCTGTCAAATAAATAAATCAAATCTTAAAAAAAAAAAAAAAAAAAAAAGAATGGTACATGTTTTCAAACCTTGGTTTCCTTATCTGTCAAACAGAGAACTAATTATTCTTCCTACTTCTGGGGCTATTTTTAAGATCAAAAGAAGAAACGACATCAGAATGGTATTTTGTTTGATTTGTTAGAGAGAGAGTGCACCCTTGTCGGGGGTTGGGGGGCAGGGCAGGGCGGACACAGAAGGAGAGTATCTTTTTTTTTTTAAAGATTTTATTTATTTATTCATGAGAGACAGAGAGAGAGAGAGAGGCAGAGGGAAAAGCAGGCTCCCAAGGAGCAGAGAGCCCGATGTGGGACTCGATCCCAGGATCCTGGGATCATGACCTGAGCCGAAGGCAGACACTTAACCATCATGAGCCACCCAGGCGCCTGAGAATCTTAAGCAAGCTCCACACCCAGCAAGGAGCCCAATGCAGGGCTTGATCTCATGACCCTGAGATCATGACCTGAGCTGAAATCAAGAGTTGGATGCTTAACTGAGCCACCCAGGCAACCCAAAATGGTATTAATTAAAGCTGGCTTTTTTGCATTGTTCACATTTTGGGCTGGGTAATTCTTTGTTGTAGGGACTGTCCTGTGCAATGTAGGATATTTGGCATCACCCCTGGGCACTATCCATTATATGCCAACAACACTGCCTCCCCCAGTTGTGACAACCAGAAATGTCTCCAGACACCGCCAAATGGTCCCTGGAGGAAAAAATTCACTCATGGTTGAGAACCACTAATTTAAAATGAAGATTTTAGTTCTTTATTCTGGAATATATATCTTAAAAAATCAAAGTAGGATCAAGGTTATAAAAACAGAAACATCACTCACAATGTGATTAAATATATGGTGATGAGTTCCAATAGGTAGAAACCAAACGGACTACAGAGACCCACAATGAGTAGTCTCCAGGTTGAGATCATGAAGGGGAAGTACCATTTTTTCCTTTAAGTGCTCATTCAAATTTAGAGCACATACTTCTATCATGGTTTGTACTGTAATTACTTGTGTGCCTGTCTTATTTTTTTCACTACCAGGCCATAAACACTTTCTGGGATGGGAGCTTGAGTCATTCAGGTGTATCCACTACAGTAACAGTTTCCAGATTTTGATTTCAACACGTATAAATTAAAAAGAAAAATTGCCATGGGAGGTCCAACATAAGATTAAATTTTTATTTTAACAAATAAGAACACGAACAAAACCACCACTATATAACATCACTCATTCCAAAAAAGGGAACTTTTTAAATATCAAAAAAGGAAAAACAAGACCATTTAGCTTTATGAAAAATTCACATTGCCTGTTATTTTTTCCACAGTGAAAATGTAGACTCCACAGAATGGCCATTTGGGAACCACGATGCCTAGGGTACCTAGCACAATACCTAAAAAATGTAACTGGCCCTTATGAAATGTTTGTTGACACAGTGGTGAGCAGCATGCTGGGATGAAACTGGTCAAATACAGTCATGACGGAAGTTCTAAGCATTAATGGCTCACAAAATTCAACCAAGTGAACAATGAGGAAAAAAAATATATATATATACACATATATTTTTACCTGGTAGTCTCGGAGACCAACCAATATAATGTCTGAAGTATTTATCCAAACCTATGAAAGAAAGTCACTGCATGTCATATTTAAAAATAAAGAATCAAAGCAACATTGAGTCAGTCTTTCCATAAAATACTATTCACCCAACTGTGGGTGAAGTACCTATACTTGGTAACGGGATTAAAAAATACCCATATAAAAATCAGAGTTGGAGGGACTTTTACCCAATTAATGTATCTGCCTCAACACCCACTATGATAGGAAATTAATCATTCCTTTTCAAGGCAGCCCATTCAGGAAATTTATTATCACCATAATACTTAGTGTAATTCATATTCAAATTTTCTTAACACTCTTTACAACTATTGCCCCCACCCTCAAACCAGAATCCAAACATGGGCCACCTACCCCATTTAACCATTAGGTTTCTTTCATCTCCATTCAACTGGAATAGTCCCCCCTCGCCCCCTTTAAGGTCATTAACATTGTACTAAGACCAGGCCATTTGTTTTGCAGGTCTCCCTCAATTTGGATTTGTTGATAGTTTCTTCATGATTAGATTCAGGTTAAACATTTTGAGCAGAAAAAACATAGGTGATGCAAATGTGTCTTTAAATAGACTCCATATAAAACTACCATCAAGGAGTTGGCTGTTTTATTATAGGTAAATCACTGTTCTACTGAAATCTTTGGGGAACTTCCAAAAATGAGGTCCTTGACCCATAAAAACTATAGAGCCATTTTCCCCTCTTACTCACAATTTTAAAGTAAAACAAATTTCCACACCTACCTTTTTTCTCAATTTCCCTCTGATGTGACATAACCTCTTTACACCATCAAAGCACATCGCTTCTAATCGTCCATTTCCCAACATTTTGATTACTTGAGCATACTCTGGGGGAGGGAAAACAAAAGTGTACAGGAAGTGTGTTCAACTTTTCATAACATCAACTTCAAAGTCTGCACAAAATGGACTAGAACAGTGGTGCCTGGGTGGCACAGTCCAACTCTTAGTTTTGGCTCAGGTCATGATCTCAGGATTCTGGGATCAAGCCCTACATAGGGCTCCATGCTCAGCACAGAGTCTGCTTCAGACTCTCTCCCTCTCTCCCTCCGCCCTAAGATAAATAAATAAATCTAAAACAAAACAAAACAGACTAGAACACATAGGTATATTGGTTAGGAACAAATATGTGTAGTAAAATAAATCCTAGGATTAATAAACACTAAGCTAGTTAATGGCAGAGCCATAATCTAGACTCCATAATGTCATTTCTATAACAAGCTATCTCTGCTATCAGAAATGCTTTAATTATCGGGGCACCTGGGTGGCTCAGTCGTTAAGCATCTGCCTTCGGCTCAGGTCATGATCCCAGGGTCCTGGGATCAAGCCCCGCATCGGGCTCCCTGCTCCGTGGGGAGTCTGCTTCTCCCTCTCCCACTCCCCCTGCTTGTGTTCCCCCTCTCGCTGTGTCTCTCTCTGTCAAATAAATAAATAAAATCTTTAAAAAAAAAAAAAAGAAAGAAATGCTTTAATTAACTATTCATTTTGAATAAGCAGAAGGACTACTATCTTCATAACTGTATGCTTTATTTTTGGAGACCAAGGCAGCATGTCTGTAAACGTACATTACACCTCATCAATCTCTCACATTTGGAACGTCTCCCAAACTTGAATCTCCTTTCCCTCAGATCCTTTAGAGGCTAATCTCAACACAATTTTTGGTACACCTGGCAAATACAAGTAGCTTAATGTTAGTAACGTCTTTGTTATTTTTTCAAAAAAGATTTTGAGAGAGAGACAGAATGAGCATGAGAGCGAGCGAGCGAGCATGAGTGGGGGGAGGGTCAGAGGGAGAGAGAGAAGCAGGCTTCCAGGTGAGCAGGGAGCCCGATGTGGGGCTCGATCTCAGAACCTTGGAATCATGACCTGAGCTGAAGGCAGGCACTTAACTGGCTGAGCCACCCAGGCGCCCCAGTAACATCTTTGTTATATTAGAAGTCATTATTCTAAAGTTTTTGTAAAGCCAGAAAGATGTTCTCAGGCAAAAATGCCCAACTTTTAATCAAAATCTTTCCAAAAGGAAACCCAGGAAGCCACCTGGTTTTACTGCCATTTGGAAAACTGAGATGATGAGCATTAGCTTGCACATGGGCCTGTCTGTTCTGCTCTTGTCATTAAATGACAGAAGACCTGGGGCGGAGGCGGGTGTTGCTTCAGAACCTTTAGCTTACTCAAGTTGTACATAAGACTGACCCCCAAAGGGAATATCCGCTGATTTTAAGTATACTGAGACCTAACTTTGAAAGGCTCAATTGTGGGGTTAACATGCTGAAGTGACTTGCTCAGAATATACTGAACCTAGAGCCGCAATATGGTGGGCCAATTCAAAGGCAGCTTCTCCCACTCCCCCTGCTTGTGTTCCCTCTCTCACTGTGTCTCTCTCTGTCAAATAAATAAATAAAATCTTAAAAAAAAAAAAAAAAAAAGTGAGGAAAAAATACGAAAAAAGTGGTGGTCATAATGAAGTCAACTGCTAATGGAGGCAAGCCTAAGGCTAAGAAACAAAAAAGTCTTTTAGCCACAAAACACTCTTCATTTTTAGTGGCTTATATAAACACGGCCATGAACAAAATCCACCAAAGTTCTATAAAAAGACAATCAAAAAAAGTTCATTAAAATATGCCGGAAATTACTGGGATAACTGGAAACTTCAAAAACAGATTATATACTAGATATATAATATATTTATGTTAAACTATCTGAGTGTGATTTAATTCTATTGTGATTATGTACGAGAACATCCTGAAGAAACATAATGCAGCAGGTAAGGCAAAAGTATCATGTCTGCAACCTGCAAGCTTTAAAATGGTTCAAGAGACACACACACACACACACACACACACGTGAAGGGTTTAAGGGAATTCATTGTATTAATACTGCGACTTTCCCAAAGGTTTGAAATTGCTCAAAAATATGGGAAACTAGTGTTATGCATCTTAGTTTGGAAAAGTCAACTGTTCAGTTTCACTGTATTCTACGTCCTGAAATTATATGCTAATGGCATTGAGAAGTGAGGGAAAGGCCTCTAATTCATCCCTCAAAAATCCATGGTCTAATAAGAATACTACGAAGCACCATTTACTATCAAAAAAGGTCTACTAAATCATGCCAATTGTTAACCTCAGCCTTTGAGGCTTAATTCCCTCTGAACCGTACAATTCATTCTTAATTATGAGTGTTCATGCACAAAACAATGAAACCCAGACATTTACAGAAATGCCTCCAATCCTCATTGCACACAGGATACCAGGGAATGATTACAGGCGCTCTAGAGAGGTGTGGAGGGCTGAGGAACAGAGAAGGGCAAAGAGGGGCACAGGATGTCATTGCTCAGGGTTATGAATAGTTCTATCTTTCATGTTTAGACATTGAAATTCCGTATTAAAAAAGAGAAAACTGTTACTAAAAAAAAACCCTCACAGAAATGCTTACCTTGTCCGTCTTCTTTGAACACCAGCTCTCTTTTTTCAGATTCATTCTCATTCTTACCTCTGCGTCTATTTTTACCTCCTTTACCTGATGGTTTTAAAGAAAGAAAAAGACGTTATCTGTACAATAGTATTAAAGAAATAAATGACTCACAACATGCCTTTAAAAAATCATTTAAATTTAAAAATTCACCTCATGTGGCCACCCAATCATATTAAATTTAAAATTTCCAATCATATCCAACACATCACTTGCCTACCCTTCTTAGAAATTCCTTTTGGGTTATTTCTGACATAAAATACAAATAAACCAAAAGAAGGTATTACATAAAATTATATAGATCCCTGAGAACATCTGCATTCAATGACCAAAGTTCCTGGACCATAATGACCACTTGGTTGAGCACATTTCTCAGTGAACCCCTCCTACAGTGACCCACAAGGGCCAGGGTGGGAGATATAACGGGTTACCCATAAATTTCTAAATAAAAAAGCTCCCTCTTTTACCAGACCTCCCCATGAAAAGTCTGAGTTCAATCAAGTAGGATGACTTGGGGTGGGGGCTGGGGGTAAAGTTATAGCTCCTGGAATAGGATACATTGATTTTGTGGTGGAGGGAAAACAACTCTGGCTGCTTTGACAGTTTTATCTATACCTGTAGGATTCACTGAGCAAAGTATTTGAAGTTAAAAACACAAGGCACTAATTCCTGAACTTGGAAACAACCAAGATGTCCTTCAGTAGGTGAATAAACAAACTGTGGTTCATCGACACAATGGAGCAATAAAAAGAAATGAGCTATGGAGTTCCCGAAAGACATGAAAGAACCTTAAATGCAAACTGTTAAGGGAAAGAAGGAACCCATAAAGGCTGAACAGTATGATTCCAACCATACATTTTGGAAAAGGCAAAACTATAGACACAGTAAAAAAAAAAAAAAAAAAAAAAAAAAAAAAAAAAAAAATCAGTAGTTGCCATGAGTTGGGGAGGAGAGGGCAGATGAATATGTGGAACACAGAGGATTTTCAGGGCAGTTAAATTACTATTCTGTATGATACTGTAATGGTGGATACATGTCATCATACATTTGTCAAAACCCACACAATGTACAACATAAAGAATGAACCTTAATGTAACCTATGGACTTGTTAGTAATAATGTATCTATGGCTCATGTAAGATGTTAACAACATGCTGGGGTAATATAATTTTAGTTTCTGCTCATTTCCCTACAAATGTAACTAATCTAGGGTGCCTGGGTGGCTCAGTTGGTTAAGCGACTGCCTTCGGCTCAGGTCATGATCCTGGAGTCCCAGGATCGAGTCCCGCATTGGGCTCTCTGCTTAGCGGGGAGTCTGCTTCTCCCTCTGACCCTCCCCCCTCTCATGTGCTCTCTCTCATTCTCTCTCAAATAAATAAATAAAATCTTTAAAACAAACAAACAAACAAACAAACAAACGTAACTAACCTAAAAAAACAAAGTCCATGGGCACCTGGGTGGCTCAGTCAGTATGCTTTGGGCTCAGTTCATGATCTCCAGGTCCTGGGATAGAGCCCCACGTGGGGCCCCCCCAGCCCCCCTCATGTGCACTCTCTTCAATTAATAAAATCTTAAAAAAAAAATAAATAACAAAGTCCAATAAAAAACAATAAAAAGCAGCTACCCTATGACCCAGCAATTGCACTACTGGGTATTCACCCCAAAGATAAAAATACAGTGATCCGAAGGGGCAAATGCACCCCAATGTTTATAGCAGCAATGTGCACAATAGCCAAACTATGAAAGAGCCCAGATGTCCATCAACAGATGAATGGATAAAGATGTGGTATATATACACAATGGCATATTATACAGCCATCAAAAAATGAAATCTTGCCATTTGCAATGACGTGGATGGAACTAGAGGGTATTATGCTAAGCGAAATAAGTCAATCGGAGAAAGACAATTATATGATCTCATTGATATGTGGAATTTGAGAAACAAGGCAAAGGATCATAGGGGAAGAGAGAAAAAAATAAAATAAGACGAGAGAGAGAAACCATAAGAGACTCTTTTTTTTTTTTTTTAATTTATTCATGAGAGATAGAGAGAGAGGCAGAGGCAGAGGGAGAAGCAGGCTCCCCGTGGAGCAGGGAGCCCGATGCGGGACTCGATCCCAGGACCCTGGGATCATGACCTGAGCTGAAGGCAGACGCTTAACCGACTGAGCCACCCAGGCGTCCCCATAAGAGACTCTTAATCTCAGGAAACAAACCGCGTTGCTGGAGTGGAGGGGGTGGGGGTGATGGGGTGGCTGGGTGATGGGACACTGGGGAGGGTATGTGTTGTGGTGAGTGCTGGGTGTTGTGTAAGACTGATAAATCACAGACCTGTACCCCTGAAACAAATAATACATTATATGTTAATAATAATAAACAAACAGTGGGATGTAGGAAAAAAAACAATAAAAAGCAAGGTGCAAATAGGATGCAATCAGCAAAATCCAGACTGCGGGAGCAGGGTCGGGCCTGGTTAGTACTTGGATGGAAGACAATTTGTTTTCAAAACAAAGCAAGCAAGCTGCATACTCATATTTGCTTGTATATACATAAAATACCTCTGGGAAAGGCATATACAAAAAAAGTTAACAATGACTGCCTGTGAGGAGAACTGGTTTACAATGGGACATGTTTAGGAAAGAGATTTCACTTTTCATACTTTTGAAATGTGAATGGTAAATATACTTACTATCAAAAAAACCAAAAAAACCACTTCAACAAAAACTGTACCATGAAGCAGGCCTAGCCTAGCCACGAAGAGGAAGAGAAAAACAGGAGGAATATTTCTGAGATGGAAACAAGAGAATGATAACCAAATGTAGAGGGAGGGAGAAGTAAAGGATGAAAGGGGCTTTCACAAAAACCTCTCAGGATCTCAGTTACAAACTATGTAAAATGAAGGAGTTAGAACAGAAGATCCAAATACCTCTACATTCCTACATTCCTTCTACCATTTAGGATTCTAGAATTCTATCTACTGCTGTCCTTAAAAAACTGTAATTCTCCCCCTCCCCTTGTTTTACACACTTTAAATGACACTAATGATCATTTCCCAACTCTTCTTTTTCTGACTTTTAAAGGGCCACTCACACTATTCTTGACTTTTACCAGCCACCCCCCCCCCCAATTATGCCTATTCCTCTGGAGCTTCATTAATTCCAAATTCCCACTTTCTGTTAACCCACTCTTTAAGGAAATTAATTTTTCTCACTTATCACTTCTATGCTAATAATTTTACATCTAAGCCCACTATTTCAACCAAGCATTGGTCTCCCTATTTCTAATGGCTCCAGTGAATGGGTTACTGTCCTCTCAAGCTCGATTTTATTCAAAACTCGACTTTTATTTTTTACAAAGCTGGTCCTAAATCAATATCCTTGTTTCTGTCAGTGACAACATGATCACCTTAAAGAATATATGTATCTCTCAACCTACGAACACACCAATCTACCTCTTAATATTTCTCTTCCACTATCTTATGCTTTAATCCAAGTAGATTTTTCACTGTCCCAGTAACTCACCCTTCACAACCTATGCCTATGAGATAGGTACTATTTTGTCTTCATTTCCCAGGAGATGATCGTCTTTGAAAGGTTAAGTGACTTATCCAAGGCTATATCATAAGAAGTGAGATCTGGGATTTGAAGTGAGTAGTAAGACCCCACCCCAGTTAACTATACTCTTAACCACTATACAATTAAGCCACCCATTTTACTTGTCACAATCACCCTATGAATAGGTCATTTATCCCCAGTTTATCACGGAGTTCACTGAAGCTCAGAGAATTAACTCACTTTTCATATTTCAGTGTGTGGGGGTGAAGAGATTCAAACCTAATCTTTTTTGTTGTTGTTCTTGGCCCTCACATTAAGGGTACCTCTCTGAAATAAGTCAAGCAGAGAAAGTCAATTATCATATGGTTTCACTTATTTGTGGAACATAAGGAATAACATGGAGGACATTAAGAGAAGGAAGGGAAAAATGGGTGGGGGGAATTGGAGGGAGAGATAAACCATGAGAGACTATGGACTTGAGAAACAAACAGGATTTTAGAGGGGAGGGGGGAGGGGGGATTGGTTAGCCTGGTGATGGGTATTAAGGAGGGCACGTACTGCATGGAGCACTGGGTGTTATATGAAAACAATGGATCGTGGATCACTACATCAAAAACTAATGATGTATTGTATGGTGACTAACATAACATAATAAAATTAAAAAAAAAAAAAAAAGACCAAATGCAACATTTGAAAGAGTTTGTAAACTGTTTAAAAAAAAAAAAAAAAAGGGTACCTCTCTCCAGCATTTTGTTCCTATTCCAGAACCTAAAACCACACTGGTGGCCTTTTTCAAAACGTGGGAGAAAGGCTGTAAGTGGTAGTGATATTAAAGAACTCATGGGAAGAACCTGGAAGCAGCAAAAGGTTCACAGCCCAAACAGAATCAAGAATGTGCACGCGGCCACTACAAAGACAGACACATAACTTCTAGAACCAAGTGCATGTTATCCGTCTTGGGGGAAGTCTCACAATGCTCTGTGCTATTGTCAGGTGGGCCTCTATAATTTCCTGACCCACCCAGTGTCCTTAGAGTTCAGTATGTGAGGCATTCTTAGGGGTCATGAAAACGGATTTCCTAGAAAAAGTATCTTCTGCTCCATGCCATTCATGCCAGATCTTCAAACCAGAGTGAAAGCTCCATTAGGGCAAGGATCCTACCAGCTTTGTTTACTGAGTTATACACCCAAGTTGGGCAATTCTTTGAATCAGTCCAGAGTACTCGTCCATACATTCCTAAAGGAGCGGCAATTTTAAAAGCAAAGGTAGTAACTTCCTCAAAGTGTGGGAGTGCCTTACCTCAAATAGTCTTCGAGTGGACCAAAAGATACCCTTTTTCCTGAGGTAATAAGCTAAAAGTATCTAGAGGATTCTAGAGGAAATAAGCTGGTAAGAATCAGTCCAAAGCAAAAGTCATTCAACACAGTTTGTGGTAATTTATATCTTTGTGAAACCATCACCAAAATTATATTCACAAGGCTTCTGGCTTTTCCAATGAAGAAAAACAAAAATAAACATGAATTTAATTCTACATTAGTAAACCTCATCTCATAAAATTCAGGGGTCTTGGAAAGCACTAACATAAGAGATTGGTTTTACAAGTACTGAAATGATAAACAACAAATTCAAAATGGTGACTACCTCCCAAAACAGAGGAAGACAGGAGGAGGGGACTGGAGATGGGGACACAAAGGGCTTTAAATGATTCTGTGTTTTAATTTTCAAGTTCAGAGTAATAGACTCCCAGGTGTTTATTGTATTATATTTTTTGTATGCTTCAAATATTATTTATAGAATGATCCACTGCTTGCCAATTTATCAGAATTAACCATACCCCGATCACTAGCCTCTCTATTTTACTGCCATGTAATGGAATATAACCTTCAAATAGGCTAGTGAACTAGATGTGATTTAATGTAGAAGTCCTGTTCCCTGGGAACCAAAGGGGAACCTATTATTCATCTGAGTAGAATCAACCAAAAGGAAGGTGACTTAATCCAACAAATATTTATTGAGCATCTACTAAGTGTCAATTCAATGTGATTAAGACAGATACTATTACTGCCCATTAGAGCTTAGAGTTTAGTGAGGGAATTGGAAATCTCATCACTAGAATAAAGGTGAGAATAAGATACTTACTGAGGTGATCCAATTACCATCTAAGGAAATAAAGGATTGGACAAGTTAGAAGAAAACTGACTTTTTAGAACTCTATTTCACCCAGAATAATTAGCAGTAATATGCTGCAAAAAGGACCTGCAAGTTAGATTTCTGAGGACAGTGGAGTGCCCTAAGGGAACTGCACCAAATCTTGCAAAGAACCCCAACCAAGTACCCCAGGGGATAGAATCCCTGGAGCCAGCTGTGAAGTAGAAAAGAGAACAGAAGTAGGCCTGGGTCAGGGAAGGGGTCTCAAGGATGAGTAACCAAAGGAAACTTCTTGTGGTTTGTGTAATATGTTCCTCTCCTGAAGGAAATACAATGTTTCCTTGTTTCTATTGATACAATTACCTTAAGAAATATTTATAAAGATACAATTTCCTTGGGAAATTATAAAGATACTTAAAAGAGAAATCCCCTTAAGTCTAAAAAAAAAAGGATAATTTCTTTAGGACTCCTCTGCTTTTAGGTATATTAGACCTTCCATTTTGGAAATTCCAAATAAAATTTATCTTCGAGACAAGTAATTTGTGGACGTTTAGCCTCAGAATGGAGGGAACTTAAAAAATTAAAAGGTCTTTACTCCGAACACATTTATACAAGATATGAGACAAAAATAGAAAACTTGGATAAATACGGAACAAGTGTTCTGGGGGTTAAAAAAAAAAAAAGTTAAACCCCGTAAAGGGATGGGGAAGAGTAAATCTCTAGAAATGAACCTTAAATAAGTAAATATACATCAAGGTTTCGTCCACTGTTTACAAGGGAGAGGGAGTAGTCTCAACAATACTCAACAACTATCCATAAAGAAACCCATACAGGAGTACCTGGTCACTTAAGCAGGCATTATCATTTTAAAGTTAAGAACTGCTTTCAGGGCTTAACTCCTTGCCCAGGAAGCCAAAGGCACTCATTTGCGAAACCCTGGCCGCCTCAGGGAGGTCTCCCCCACAGGTCCATAAAGCGCCGCGGTCAGTCTGGCGCGAATCGGGAGCAAAAGCCCACATTCTCCCGCAGGAGGCCCTACAAAAATGGCGTCGGCTCCACCCCAATGTGACCAAACTGGAAGACAGGAGTAACTTCCCAGCTTCTCTCCCAAGCCCCAAATCGCGTCCGTATCGTGCAGCCGTGTGCAGGCACAGCAGAGAGGAAGGTCACTGCGGCCTGGGCAATCCGGAGGCCGGGGGCAGGGCCGGAGAGACCGGGTGGAGTGGAGTCGTGGTCCCGGGGTCCAGGCAGCATTACCTTTATTCTTGGGCATGGCGGTGACGGAAGCCTCCCGGCGTTTCCGACTCCTATCCTGCGGTTGGCTGCGGCGGCGGGAGCAGCGACTCCTCCGAGGGGCCCCCGGGGCAACGCGTGGGACCTCGCGGTACCAAGCAGGCAAGAGAGGCCGGCTCGCGTGCGCGGGAGAGTCTCGCGACCGAGTTCTTCCGAGATCCGCCTGCGCCCACGCTCAGCCGCAGCAAATGGCGTCGCGGCTGCTTGCGTCGCTTTTCCCCGCCTCCCAACGCCGGCTGGCCCGCCCCCCTCCCGGCCCTACGGCGCAGGCGTGGCCGACTGACCCCCCCCCTTATCCCCCCCCCCCATTGTTAGAGCGGATGGTGACGCGCTTTTGGAGCGTTCGCGGTAGTTCACAGGAACACGCGGGGGGCGGGACAGTGAGCCGAGAGGAGAAGGAGTCAGGGAGGGAGTGGGCGGGGCCCAGGCGTCATAATAAAGGGCGGATTCAGGTGGCGCCCGCTGCTGGCTGACATCAGACTTCTCTGCTGCTTTGTGACAAGCCCGCGTCTCGGGGTTTGAGCTACTGCTGACTCATTAACGAATCTCACAGCTAGTTTTAACTAGGCCCTTTCGCCCACCCAACCTGGTCGGGAGCCTGAGGGGAAGGGCAAGGCTCTCCGGTCATCTCCATTACCAAGGCATAATATTTGCATGACATTTGTTATTACTTTAAAAGACTACATCTGTTGCTTACTATTACCATCAGTTAGCAGAATGTCTGGCATAGAGTAGGTGCTCAATATACACCAGAAGGGAGGGAGGGGAGAAGACATAAACTCAGGGTTAAGGCCTGAACTGTGCCCTCCCAAAATTCGTATGTTGAATTCTTAACCCCTAACATCTCAGAATGTGACTGTATTTAGAAATAGGGTCTTTAGGGGCACCTGGGTAGCTCAGTCAGTTAAGCGTCTGCCTTTGGCTCTGGTCTTGATCCCGGGGTCCTGGGATGTAGCCCTGCTTAGGGCTCCCTGCTCAGTGGGGAGTCTGTTTCTCTCTCCCCCCCCCCCCACTCCTGTGCATGTGCTCTCTCTCAAATAAATAAAAAAGTCCTTTAAGAATTAAAAAAAAAAGGGTCTTTAAAGAGGTAATGAAGTTGAAATGAGTTCATTATGGTGGGCCGGAATGCAATATTGACTGGTATCTTTATAAGAAGAGATTAGGACACAGGCACAGAGGGGAACACCGTGTGAACAAGAAGGTGGCTGCCTACAAGCCAAGGAGAGAAACCTCAGAAGAACCCAACACTGCAGACCTCTTGATCTGACTTCTAGCTTCTAACACTGTGAGAAAATAAATTTTTGCTGTTTAAGCCACTGTTTGTGGTATTTTGTTATAGTAATCTCTGCCAACTTACACAGCTGACTATACAGAACATATAACTTCACTTTTAAGTAAACTTATTTTATTTTTTTTTAATATTTTATTTATTTACTTGAGAGCACAAGCAGGAGGAGCGGCAGGCAGAGGGAGAGGGAGAAGCAGGCTCCCCACTGAGCAGGGAGCCCGATGCGGGGCTCGATCCCAGGACCCCGAGATCATGACCTGAGCCAAAGGCAGATGCTTAACCGACTGAGCCACCCAGGTGCCCCAGTAAACTTACTTTTAAATAAATCACTTTTCTGAAAACATTAGGGTGTCAGCATTATCTTTCCAGGGAAATGGACATACCTAAATGACAGAGAAATACAGTACAATTGTTGAAAACAGTGGTTTTATACCAGAGACATCTGACAGTCTCTGGAGATATTTCTAGTTGTCACAACTGGCAAAGAAGGATGATGATGCTGGCACCTAGTGGACAGAGGCCAGGGATGCTGGTAAACATCCTACAGTGCACAGTACAGACTCCCCACCCCCAAACAAAGCATTATCCAGACCAAAACACTAATAGAGGTGAGTATGAGAAATCAATGACATGTATTTCTCAGAGGGAAACTGAAAGACGATGGGGGACTTAAAGTTCTGGGTTTCTCTTTCCATTTGCAATAATTTGTAATATTCACAATTGAGGATGAAGGATATCTATGAGATTTATTTAAATTTTGCTTTGAGGCCAATTGATTATGAACTTGGGCTTTGAAGTTAGAGAGAGCTGGGTTCAAATTCAGCTCTGCAGCAGCTTATTACTCTATGACTATGGACAAGTTACTTAACCTATTTAAGTCTTAGTTACCTCAACTGTAAATTGGGTATAGGAATACTACTTACCATATTGCGTGATTGTGGGAATTAAATTAATATAATGCATTCAGTGTTTAGCAGTTGTGCCTAGCACCTGACAAGTAATCAGTCAGACTCCAAGTGTCTGGAAGTTCAAATATGTAAAAACCAAAAGTCTCTGCCAATTACTCAGTATAAAACCCCAAAGGAGAAAAAAACCAGGCTTTATTTGACTATCATACGATGGTTCCCACATTTGACTGATCATCAGAATCATTTGGAAAGAGGTGAGTCATGGGGCCATCTGAGGGAAATGACTACTGGGCAGAGGACAAAGACCCGGAGCAGGAGCATGCTTAGCGTGATGTGAAATGTTGGGGTTCAGGAGCGAATGGTCAAGAAAAAATTCTTGAGATGTCTTGGTGCAAAAATTAAAGCATGGGGACAGGACCTGTGGGCAGAAAGAGCTGCACTGGGATTGTGAGGAATGTCTGATTATACACTTTCGAGTTGGGGGGTGTTAAGGATGGCATAAGTCTCTAAGGAATTTGAAAGTAAGGTTTCCAGGACCTTGAGGGGCTAGCTGTTGTTAGGAAAAGGTCATTTACCACTATCTGGTAAAATCTTAGTTATGAGACCCTTCAGAGGTATATCAGTGGGCCGTATGTTTGGAGGATGATTGCTAACATATATCTTGGTGGGGGGCGGGTAGAGAAAAAGGAAGTTTCCAAAGGGATTTTTGGAAGGATCCTAGAGGTCTGGTTAATGTCAAGCTAAGGTTGCCTTTTGCCTTTAGCAAAGTATTAACACTGAGGCAGTTGAGTTCCAGAAGGAAGGTCACTCTGCCTGTCTCAAGTATGTGTCAATGGGCTGTAAGTTTTAAGGAAGTTTAATTTTTTTTCATTTGCCTTTGTTTTCCACATCAGGCATATTCAAGAAATAGCAAGAAGGCCAATGTGGCTAGAACGCAGTAAGCCAGGGGGAGTTTGGGCAGATAAAATCAGAGAGGTAAAGGGGACCAAACCACTTGTTATAATCCTTGGTAGGTTTTGAACAGATCATTTCAGCTTCTCTATTAAGAATAGATTGTAGGACACCTGAGTGGCTCAGTTGTTAAGCGGCTGCCTTTGGCTCAGGTCATGATTCCGGGGTCCCTGCTCCGAGGGAAGCCTGCTTCTCCCTCCCACACTCCCCCCTGCTTGTGTTCCCTCTCTTGCTGTGTCTCTATCAAATAAATTTTAAAAATCTTAAAAAAAAAGAAAAGAATAGATTGTAGAGGGGCAAGGGAGGAAACACACCATGCAAGACGCTACTGCAATTGTCCAAGCAAGAGACAGTGGTGACTTGGACTAGGATATAAGGTTTCTTTGTGACATGATGACAATGTTCTAAAATTAGATTATGATAATGGTTACACAACTCTGTAAATATACTAAAAAACAATGACTTATAGTCTTTAAATGGGTGAACCTTAAGTATGTAAATTATATCAATAAAGCTGTTAAAAAAAAAAGAACTGGGAAAATGGATGACCAAGGAAAAATGAAAGAATTGACTGACATGGTACTGAGAGCTTAGCTGAGATTAGAAAACATAAACTTGCAGTGGTAGCAATTTGCATAATTGTATGGTTTTTTTTTCCAACATATCAGTTACTGCTCAGTGGATATAGTATAGAGACAAGGATGTAGAGAATTTCAGGGTGCTTCTGAGGTAGAAGTTCAGATGATTAACTATAGGGCCATAAGGTTCAGCCTGGTAGCAGAGGAGCTAAAAATGAGGATCGCCAGGGCATTTGGATGCCTCAGTTGGTTAAGCATCCAACTCTTGATTTTGGCTTGGGTCATGATTTCAGGGTTGTGATATTAAGCCCTGTGTCGAGCCCCGCGTCGGGCATGGAACCTGCTTAAGATTCTCTCTCTCCCTCTGCAGTCACCCTCGTCTAAATATAAATAAATAAGTAAGTAAATAAATAATAACATGGTCACCAGGAAAAAAAAAAAAAAGAATGAGGATTGGGGGTGAAAGGGTGGGGAGAAACAAAAGGGATAAAATTCAAATTCCTTAATATGACTTATTATTTCTGATGGTCTGACCCCTCTCTCTTGAACCTTATGTCATGCTTCTTATGTTTTAGATTCCATTCGGACAGAACTTTTTATTTTCTTGAGTGCCTCTAACTCTCTCTGTACATTCTATTCTACCCTTCCTTCCCCTTTTAGGTTGCAGCATAATCATTGTTTTCTTAGAAGGCCTGCCCTGCCCTGACCCTTAGGCAACTCTGCTATATATACCTATAGCATCCTGCACTTCCTTTACCTAGCTTTGCTAGTGTCAATCCATTTTTTCAATTTAGGGTGGGTTAACAAAATTTAATACCCGGATCTACAAAGCTGCAGAAGAATGACCATGGCAAAAATTGCTGCTCCACATTGGCTTGAGGAGCCAAATGTTTTTCTAGATAACCACAGTAGGCTGGTTAATGGACCCCAAAAATGTCCATGTCCTAATCCCTGGACGCTGTGAATATATTATCCTACATGGCAAAAGGAATTAGGATTGCAGATGCAATTAATGTTGCTAGTCAGTTGACCTTGAGATGGGGAGATTATCCTGGATTACCTGGGTGGGCCAATCCCATGAGTCCTTAAGAGTGGAAGAAAAGGTGGAAGAGAGGAGTCAGATCCACGTGAAGAGGACTCTACCCACCATTGCTAGTTTTGAAGATGGAGGAAGGGGGCCATGAGGCAAGGAATGCAGCTAGCCTTCAGAAACTGGAAAAGGCAAGGAAACACTTCTCTCTTAGAGCTTTCAGAAAGCAATTCAGCCTGTCCAACACCTTGGTCTTAGCCCATTGAGACCCATATTGGACTTCTCACCTACAGAACTGTGAGACAATAAATCTGTGTTGTTTTAAGCCTCAAAGTTTGTGGTGATTTGTTACAGCAGCAGAAAACAAGTACATTAACAACCCTATGTTGCCTCTGTATAATACCAAGTAGACCTTGAAGCTCTCCATCTTAACCTGAATACCCAAATTAATCCAAGTGGATAGTCCCTAAACTATTTTAGGCTGAATTGTGTCTTCCTCCAAATTCGTATGTTGAAGCCTTTACCCCTAATACCCTGGAGTTAAAGTCTTTAAAGAGGTAAGAGAGTTAAAATGAGGCTGTTAAGGGTGAGGCCCTAATGTAATATGACTGGTATCCCTGTAAGAGGAAGAGACAGCAGGGGTGGAATGAGCACATGAAGAGGCAGCAAGAGGGTGGCCGTCTGCAAGCCAAGAAGAGAGGCCTCAGAAGAACCCAACCCTGCTAGCACCTTGATCTTGACTTCCAGACTCCAGAACTCTGATAAATTTCTGTTGTTGAAGCCACCCAGTCAGTGATATTTTGTTATGGCAGCCTGAGATGAATAAATACACCATCATAATACAAAACTACTCAAAATGTCAACGGGGAAGGAAAGGGCTAACCGTAGGCCTATAACCCATTCCCTCTCTACCAGGAATCAATGACCTCAATCAAATTCCCTTAAATGTGCCAATGATATTTACTAACTAGCAGAAAGAAAACGAAAAGTCCTTATCTCTAAAATGCTTTTAGTAAGATACATTTTGTCTATAGAGATGGCTTATTGTAAAACATGGAATTTATGGATTGATGAAGCATGGTTGGCTGGAGAATGGGGACTCATCATTTGTGTAATTAATGAGGTATAAAAAGGGGATGTTGCAGAACCAAATGACTCCCTTTGTTTAAGCAATGTCTCCACATTGCTCAGAAGGAAACTCGTCCTTTAATTCTGAGTCCAAAATGTACCATAATGAGGAAGAGCAACGGTATTTTGGAGTTAAGTCTGATAATTTTGGACGTCTCCAAGAAAAGATTATTTCACCTATGCCTGGTGATCACTCTGTATCCTTTGAATCATTAATCACGTTTGGTATTGGGTTAAAGATCAATGACTCATGTGAGTCTGATGTGACACTCTTTGGGCTAACCAAGACTTTGCATACAAAAATTATCTTGCACTTCTTAACTCAGAAATGTTCCCGTTTTAAGTTCTATCAACCCAGTTTGATAAATTTATAATTTGGATAGAATTTGACATTATGAAGGATTATCATATAATTGAAATAACCTGATAAATGACATACATGCATTTATTTGAAATTTTATTATATAAATTTTCTTTTTTTTTTAAAGATTACAAAACCTGTTCTGTGACAGGAATACAAGCAATATTGTTCCAGGATTATTCATGGATACATCTGAAAGAGCTTAGATTACACATTAATAGTATGATTTGAAAACTTCCCAGATTAAACTCTTAAGTAAAACAATTTAAAGTATTCAGTGATAATTAATCCTTTACAAGCATTTCATAATTATGGCAGCAGTGCCAAGCATCTGATGCAATTTAACCACCAATAAAAGGTACAATACATAGGAACTCATGATATGGTACCTTGGGCTTCTGGCATGCCTTACTAGAGAGAAACTAGTATAAAGTAAGATCATGTATAATAGTAGAAAAATATTTGTGATTTTTTTTCTTTTTTAAAAACTGTTTAAGTAGTTGCCCACCCCATTCCCACCCAAGGCCAAAAATGCAAAATAATTACATCCCTTAGGTGTACACCTTCCCTTTTGCTTAGGGTAAGAGTTAAGATAAACCTAATACATGTACACAATTTTAAGAATTAAAAACTCATCACCCATAATTATTAAGGATGCTAAGGAATGGCAATTAAAAAAAAAAAAGCTTTAGATGATAAACTACACTTAGAGAAACACAAACCAAAACCTTTATCCTTATACCCTTGCTTTGTATTTAAAAGTTCTACTTTACACACTTGTTTGAAAAACTCAGTATACAGTTCATTCAGTACTATAGTGATACTAGGAGTAAAGATTTTCACTTCAATTATTGAACTAATCTACTTAGAGAGACTATTACAGAGACTCTCCTCTCACATACGTTTACACATATTGTACTCAAATGGTATGTGCTCTAAAAGAGGTTTTCTTGAGGTTTGCATCTCTGAACCTAGTCTCTAAATTTTCCTTTCCACTAATCTCTATTCAATGTCATATACTTTGCTAGTTGCTCTGGGAGAAGTCATGGACATTTAAACAGCTTATCATGCACTTCAAGGTTATATGGCAAAATAATGAGGAAAGTGCCGTAAGAGGTAGGAAGTAGACTCTCATCCCAACCCTTGGTATGCCCTGTTATGAACAGTTAAAAGACTAGAATCAAAGTGGTAAATGTGAGACTGACAGTAATACAAGGCTTAAGAAAATTAAGTCGACTTAATTACTAGAATTCTTTGAGAACACTCAGTCACATTGGAACCAGTTACAAGTCACTTGACCACACAAAATACAGCAGTGTCAGAAGTACATAAAGCACACTGTAGATACAAATTCTTCTTGGCCATCCATATTTAGGTATTATCATTCTGTAGATTCTTCACTAGAAAAAGTGGTTAAGCGTAGCTCTGCAGAATACCACAGTCCCAAGAAAGCAAATTTCATTCCTTCATTAATTGGTCTCCACCAATGGTCACTTGGGGAAACCAGCAAAATATAAGCAATCTGGAGGTGAAAAGAGGACTATTTTCACTGAAATATAAATACTGAGTTAAGTCAACTTATCTGTGAATTAAATAAAACTCAATGTATACATCTAGTGTGAGTCACATGGAGCTGGACCTTTCAGAGGGACAGAACTCTAGGACTAGATCGGAACCTTTTGGTTTAAGCACCGAGGGTCAACCATGGAACCCATCGTATTTCTTAAACACAGAAAACAGACCTTTTCTAACTCTTTACATTCCTGAGATACCTGTCCTAATGCCTTCACAAATCTCATAAATGCTTGATACCACTATGAGAATTTTCTCTATAAAATATGGTAAAGCAAGCTGAAAAATTTTCCATCATTTATAAAGGCCAGGAAGTAGAGAATATCAAAGCCCTGTTGAGATATGTATTGCTGACTTCCATGGTGATTAAGTACATCTATACCAAGGCTCCCAAATCTTAAATGTTTCTCTGCTCTCATCCCAGGCTGGACCTGCCCCAGTTCCTTTCCAACCCAATCCATTCTGCTTACTCACGAAGCCCTTGCACCCCCCTCCCCCTTCAAATCTTTCCTGGGCTGAGGGTGCAGGGAACAGCAAACAGGCCAGCCCCACCTCTCATAATGTCCCCTGGCCCCAAAAGCAACTACTTCTTAAAATTAGGTGGGAAATGGCTGATCCAAACCCATACTTTGCAGCCTACCACATGTGAAATGTGAATCTCTACTGCATACACACACCCCCTCCAGACACTCACTAAGTGACTTTTCCCCACACATTAGCCTGGCAGCATCTTGATTCTGTGCCTTGTCAAAATCATTACATTTTTGCATTTTTGGGGTTGCTTGTGAATAAATGAATCCGTATTAAATCTGTTAAAGGTCTACCGTACTTAGAAAAAAAGACATCTCTATAAATTAGAAGCTGAAATGACTTACATAAAAAATTAAAAGGACAAAAACTTACCTTAACATCATCACTTGAAAGGGAAGATACAAAACACGTGGTAGTGTAATCCATATTTTTCAGCATGTGCTTGGAAAAGTTAAATGCAATCTACCATTCTAGATATTATTTTGGATTATAGGATAAGAGGAGGTTTGTAAAAGTGGCCTGATGGTTTAGTTCTTTCTTTCCCATTGAAATAATCTTTAAGACTGAACTAAAACCTTCTGGGAGAAGCCCTGGTAACTAGGGGAACTAAATGGTGAAGGGCCCAGTGGAGCTGGACTCAGTAATTAATGGAAAGGTAAACCCAGGGCAAGCATTACACAATTGTTGGCCAAGTTTGTCTGCCATAAGTCAAAGGCAATAGGAACACCAGGACCACAGATGAAATAAATTAAGCTCACGAACTGCATTTTAGGCAGCAAAAGCCTTCAGTTTTGTGAACATACGACTTGCTTTTCTCCAATAAAATTGGCAGCTGGAGTAGGCAAAGAAGGCAGTATCTTTGAAAGCAATAAACTTGCCATTCATCTACCAGTAGAGTATTGTCCTAAGAAATATGTATTTTTTTTTTTGAACAACTCTGCTCCTGGTTGGGTATTAATATGAAGGGAAGGCAGCATGGTGTTATGAGGGAAAAAAACTGAATGGGAAGTTAAGGATTCTAGTCTTTGCTTTGGGTCTTAGGTACTTTACATGCAATATGAGAGTTATTTAGATAATTTATTATCTAAATTAGATAAGTTATTTAGATAATAAATTATATAGATAATTTATAAGGATTTACACATTTACTTCTGGTTCTAAGACTCTGATGGACAAAACACCTAAGCAATTATGGAATAGCATCAGTGTCCAAAATTTGACTTTTTTTTTTTTTTTGCTCAGAGTTACATTAACATTTTAAAAGTGACAAGAATTTGGGATGGTCATGGTTTGAAACACTGAATAGAGGAGAGAGAGAAAGAAAGAAAAAATGTTTTCTTTACAGGCAATGGGAAGCAGTTTTTGATAGTTAGCATTCATATACTCAAGAATTTTAATAAAACTTTCTCCATCTAGATCTCCTGCATCCTTCTTCCTATACATTTTTTTATTTAGAAGATAAACTTACATTTGATTTCTATGCAATAATCATTTTGTGTCACTTAAGCAAAGTGAATGTTATAGATTTTCCCTTTCTCTTTAGTTGCATAGAGGAGAAATTAAGGAATAATAAGTGGCTTCTAAGACATTTAACTAAAGTACGCTTTCTTGGCTTTGTACTCTCAAAGAAAGATTTAAAGCTTCGGGCAGGTAAAAAGACTTCTGATATAAATGGCTCAGTACATGGCTAAGAGATCTGTTGGGCACATTGTTGATGAGGTTAAGTTAAATCACTTTTTCCTTGTTCATGTTTTTCATATTACATATCAATGTCTACTAGGTAGCTCGACTAAAATGCAGGTAATAATGGATACAAAAGTTTCTTTAATCAAATAGAATTGTGGAAACTACCCAAATTAGATGTGGGTAATGAATACTGTAATCTAAGCAGACCCAGTGACCACTATGAAAGCTGATCATTTCTGAAGTTAAAGGAAGCATTATATGGCTATAAATTATCAGAAGGAATTCAGAAAACACTCAATGGTGAACATTCACTTAGGCTACTTGAGCTATGATTTCAGGTGAGAACAGATACTGTTTGATCAAGAATGTTTTATTCCCTCGAATAAGAAAGTTTAAATCCAATTTCATAGAGAGGCTGGTGGCCTTTATTACATTCAAATTAGTGTTTAATATAGAGCATTGTAATGGGATAGAACTCATTATGATTTACCTTTTTTCCAAAAAAGCATACTTTTCTTGCAGGTATACAAGAACAGGTATCCTGTTATTCATACGCTAAATTCTGCAATTTGATCTATTTAAACATGAAAGATCTAATGGGACTTGAATGACCTGTTGTTAAATTTTCCTTCGCCAATATCTTCACCATAACTCTTAAAGGCCTTTGATGTATATTGGCAAAATCCCCAATTATATGCCAAATACTAAGTATGGATACTATTCAAGATCAAAAGTGCAAGAACTACTTCCTTAATTAAGGAAAAAAGAACCGTAAGGAGTTGCAACGTATACGGACTAACTTCATAGGTGTACTCTTGATGTCATGCCACACACACGTGATAACTTTCTCTACCATAACAGCTCTCTAAGTTAGTCTGACAAAGCACCTGACTTTAAGAAACAAATGAACGAACCAGTGAAACAGACATGGGGAAAGATATATACATTTTGGAAGTATTACATTCAACAGCTGTTCCACAATCTGGCCATTTTTAGGGCTGTCCAACAATACTGTTAATCCAGGTGAACTATTTAACCCGATTTAATAGTCAATTGGTTAATAATAATAGATTCCAAGTTAAACAAAGCATGTATACATTAAAGAAAGCAGTACAGAAATGTACTGTATATGAACTGTTTACAAAAACATACAAAATGTTGGATGGCACAAGGGATACAGTGCTAATAGAAACGGATTGTTTAAGCTAAGTGCTTAACATAAACTGTCCATCCCTATAACTAACAAAGAATATTTCAGGGACATGAAATATTTCCTATAAAAATAATGCTATATGGTGTAGAGTACTTTATTCAGTGTATTTTTAGGTGGTATTCATATGTTCATTATTCTTGTTGATTCAGTGAATATGTCTTCATCACGTTTCCATTTTCATTTCACCCGAAGCTCCAGGAAAATCTAACTTGCTAACAATCATTTAAAGCGAGAAGAGACGGAAGCAGGAGCAGCAGCAGGAGCAGCAGCATTATGGGTACCAGCTGGGACAGTGTGTGCTTGCAGGTGTCTCTCAGGTATGCGCTACCTGTCGCCAGAACTTGTGCTATCAGCTTACACCATGGTACCAAAGAGCTCACTGAGGTCACTTCACAGGGCTGTGGAGGTGATTTTTTTAATACCTCTCCGCTGAGCAAGAGTAGAGCGGCCTACTGGTTCCAAAACTGGCGACTGATTACGGTTTAAAGCAGAATATGTAGCTGCCATAGCACCCTGAAAACAGGAAAGAGAGGTCACAACACAAATGACAATGGCTAGTCACAAGTACACAGAATATGAAATGCCGACTTTTTCCCCCCCTAGATAATTTCTTCATATGGAAATGTATATACATTTAACTGGGCTTATAATGAAAATAACCGTACTGGTCAAACGCTCTGATTTAACTAAAATTAAAGAGGCAAACGTGGGAGGCTGAACTTGGAGATGAGAAAGGACAGGGATGGGCTTATAACAAGCAGGCCTCACTTTACTCAGGACTATTCAACTTTTTGTTTCTTTGCAATACTTTAACACGAGAGGTGGCAAAGCATGCTCTTTTGGAACCTGTTTTGCCACTGCTGACAACCTCAGAGTTTGCTCTGGGTTTTGCGTAGGAAAGCAAAGTATACACAAAAGTTAGGAAATCCATAGGCCTACGTGATTGATAAATGCAGAAGTCATTCTTAAACTAGTTTTATTATATTTTGGTGTGCTTTGACTTTTTCTTTTCTAAACCGCTCATTGTAAGAGAATCTCACTTGAGGAAATGGATGCCGGCTGAGCGAAAGGGAAAAAGGTGCTGTGGGCATGGAGAGGGAGGCTCACAGTGTTCTGGAGGACATGCAGAAAACAGTGCCTGAATGGGGCAGCTCACCTTGACTAGATGGGGTGCGTCCTGTCTGTTTAGTTGGTATTGTGGCAGTTGGTCCCAGTGGACGATCCAAGGATGTCTGAGCACAAGGGCAGCAGTCAGTCTCTGATGAGGATCCACATGAAGCATCTTTGACACCAGGTCCTGTAAAGGGAAGAAGAAGAAGAATAAAACAAGCTTAAACTTTTGTTTGTTTTTCTATAGCACTTGATACTGGTCAGCATTCTTCCTTAGCTTTTATGACACTATTTTTTCCTGGTACCAAACCTTGAGGTTCAAAGCAATTTGGTCAACATGACAATTTTTCTTGTTTTTTTTAAAGATTTATTTTAGAGAGAGTGAGCGAGAGAGACAGAGAGAGAGAACTGCAAGTGAGCATGAGCAGGGGGAGAGGCAGCGAAAGAGAGAGAGAGGGAGAGAATCTCAAGTATACTCCCCGACATGGGGCTCAATCCCACGACTCTGAGATCATGACCTGAGGTGAAATGAAGAGTCATACGCTTAACTGACTGAGCCACCTCGGTGCCCCCAACATGGCAATTTCTTTGCGGGGAAAAAAAAAAGGCAAAAACCTAAGTCTCTGTTTTCTCCTCCCTGAGTAACAGTAATTTTGGTGCATTACAAAGAGTAAATTTACCACATTTATGTATCTTTAAGTACTTTGGCTCCTTTTTCACTGAGATATTCTGGTTTTTCTACACTTTTGTAGGTTTATTTCTAAGTAATTTTTTGTGCTGCTGGTAATAATGAAAAGCAGAACATAACTGTCCCAATAATAGGAATTTAACTGGAGAGCTCCAAATGCCCCCTCCAAAAGATTAGAGTTCTTTTTTTTTTTAAGGTAGGCTCCATGTCCAACGTGGGGCTTGAACTCACAACCCCAAGATCAAGAGTCACATGCTCCACCGACTGAGCCAGCCAGGTGCCCCAGATTTTTATTTTTCCACTTCATGGGCATCACACAGGCATTATTAAAAAAAAAAATCAGAAATACAGAGAAGCAAAAAGAACATGAAGAACGCCCAGAATCCCACTCTTCCAAAGAAAATGCTTTCTATCTATCCAAATGCTTTCCTATGCATGTGATCCATATAATTGCTAGATAGTTTTATACTCTCTAAAATAACAACAGTTGTGGGGCGCCTGGGTGGCTCAGTTGGTTAAGCGACTGCCTTCGGCTCAGGTCATGATCCTGGAGTCCCGGGATCGAGTCCCATGTCGGGCTCCCTGCTCAGCAGAGAGTCTGCCTCTCTCTCTGACCCTCCCCCCTCTCATGCTCTCTATCTCATTCTCTCTCTCATATAAATAAATAAAATCTTTAAAAAAAAACAACAACAACAGTTGTGACTTATAAAAGCCATCTACAACTTGTTTAATTTTTCATTCAAAATATAGCTATTGAGTATCTATTAAAGGCCAGGTATTCTGCTAGGCATTGGGTATTTAGCAGTGAACAAGATAGAAATGAACTCTGACCTCATGAAGCTTTCAGCCCAGTGAGGGAGAAACAAAGAATCAATTACAAAGCAAACAATAAGTTCTTTGATGGGATGAATAAAGAGGTATAGCTAGAGGAACACAAAGAGACAGTGACCTGAACAGGATGGGGTGGCTTAGAAGCGACTTCTTTAGAGGAATGTTAGATCTGAAGGATGAGCAGTAGATGGATTAGAGAAGGGGAGGAGGAAACAGAGCAATTCAGGGAGATAGAGCAGAGTGTGTTTAGAGGAAAGCCTTCAGGGACGAGAACATGCCACAATTAAGGAACTAAAAGGAGTGCAGTGAGGCTGTAACAAAAAATGCCAAGTAGAACATGGCAGCAGATAAGTGGGAAAGGCGAGAAGGGACCAGACCATGAAGGCCCTGGTAAGCTACATTAGCAAATCTGGACTTTGTCTGCAGGTAAGAAATTATTCAAAGCAAAGGAGTGATACAGTCAGGTTTGTACTTTAGAGAGCTTACGCTCACTAAGTGTGGAGGAAAATGGATCGGAGGGTGCAAGCCTGAAGACTCCAATTTGAGACTCGTGAGAGATGATGGCTTCAGGGAAGTATAAGAGACGGAGAAATATGGATGGTATTGAGGTACTTAAGAGAAAGAACCAACAGAACCTGGTCGCTGACTGGTACTGGGAATTGAGGAGATGTTATTCCAAGTATTCCTCTGCTGTTATTTACAGTTTCTTATTTTTAGTTATCATTAACAACTAAGAACAGGAACAAGCTACGGAACAGAATTAGAAATAAAAAGTGAAACAATCAGGAACTCCCCTTCCAAATTCTTAAAGTGGGAAAATGTGCTTCCAGGATATAAAAGGTTGCAAAACTGCCCAGGGGCATAACAAAACGCTATTCCTTCCATAGGTCTCATCACTCTGCTCAGATAAGCTCATTCGTGCTCATGGCTTTAGCTACTACAGATGATGACAACTCCTAACTCCACTGTCCACCCAAGACTCCTCTCCTAAGATCTGCATCCATATAGCCAGTTGCCTAATGGACATACATCTCTTAATTATATATCACAGTCGCATTTCAAATTCTTCATGTCCAAATCTGTAATCATCACTCCTTTCAAAACCATTTCTTTTGTATTCCACATCTTGGTGAAGGACACCACTACCGACTTATTTGCCTGAGATGGAAATGTGGACTACACGCTTACTATCTGCTTCTCCCTTGCTTCTTTTTTCCTTAAAGATTTCTTTATTTATTTTGAGAGAGAGAGAGAGAGAGAGCGAGTGAGATAATCTCAAGCAGACTCCGTGCTCAGCACGGAGCCCAATGTGGGCCCTGAGATCATGACCTGAGCCGAAACCAAGAGTCAGGCGCTTAACCAACTATGCCACTCAGGTGCCATTCCTTTGCTTCTTATGTCCATTTAACTACTGAGTCTATTTTGCCCCCTAAATTTCTCTTTCATTTGCCTCAAATCCTGCTACAACTGCTCTAGTTTAGGTCTTCATCATTTGTGACCTGAAATATTGTAAAACCTTACAAATAAAACTACCCTTAATATTAGGTCAGTGAGGACTGAATGAAATAATATAGGTATATGTGTTAGCACAGTCCTTGGCACATAAGTGCCCAGTGAATTGTAGCGATGGTACTGTTCTTCTCAAAGCCACATATGACACATATGGCCCATATGACTGATGACATTCACATGTGCCACTTGCTCTTGAGGCAACACATCAGACTGATAGAACTCTCCCTCCCAATTTTGTGGGTATTCACTGTACCATATAATGCTTGTAATCTCAAGTCTTAACTCGACAAATTAGCAAAAGTTATCAGTAATAACGTGATATTTATAAGAAAGGCTGTGAGTTAGATCCAATTTTTTTGTGCTCTATTTTCATCTCATCCTCAGCTATCTTTCTCTTTCATTCAAAAAAGCATACTGGAATGCAAGTCAATGAGAACCAAATTATCAAAATTAAAGCAAGTTAAGGTTATCTCTATAATTTATTTAAAAAAGAGGCAATGGGTAAGCTCCGATACTTTACATGGTGACATTACTTAATAAGTCTCACAACTGATCATGACAATTTCTGGCAGACTCCAGAGATAAGAATTACTGCTCTACAGAACAAACTTGAAAAAGGAAAATCTGATCACTATAATGCTTAATATTTTTCAACAGTTCTCCAATACCTAGAATAAACCTGAAATCCTGAGCATAATCTACAAAGCCTTTTATAATTTGGGTTCATCAGCTACCTTCTCATGTGTACCCTGTACTAGTCACAACAAACTGTGCACAGCAACCTGGAGGCATTCTGCCATTTTCAGGCTGTCCTGACCACAAAGAGCATGTGCTGCTCCCTCAGCCTGGGATGGAATACATCCTTCTGCTCCCTAAAGCTGCCAGGAAAATCCCTTCACTGCTTCTGGAAAGCTTCCTGGAAATCTTTCTGACCGAGCACCATCTGTGAACTTCTTTAACACAGAAAATGTACCACTGTAACAGCACACGTGACACTCTACTGTATACTTCTGGCCATCTCCCAACTAGACTATGAGCTTCCTGAGATCAGGAATTCTATCTCAGTCACATCTTTGATCCCTAGACCCTCACATATTAAGCATGTTGTAGGTGCTTAATACATGGATTAAAAAGAAATCCCAGAAAAAATCAATCATCTGGTTTAAGAAATATTGTTAAAAAAAGGGGAAAGGCTAACATTTCATTTTAAATCAGTTACAAAGCCAAATATCATCTATGCAGACATTAAATTAGTTAACAGAGGCTTCATGTCTATGCCAAAAGTATCAACCTACATTTTTGACATACCCTATTTACTTATGCAATCATCTCAACTTGGGCTTCCATCTCTAAGAGAAATCAGCAAGCACTTTTACCAGTATATATCTTCTTTATCTCCTCTACGTTTTGCCTTATTCAGAAGTGGAAAACTTTGCTTTTCTTTTTCGAATTTTTAAGATTTTCCCTCTTGTTTTTACAAGAGCATTTTCTATGAATAAAGTAAAACTAGAACAGAGTTGGAAATCAAGTCTGCCAAAGGATTGCAGATCTTCCAGTGAGAAAGGCTTTTCAAATGGATTTCAAGCAGACACTATAAAACTATACTACCATTTACTGTGAAAAAGATAAGGCCCTTTTCTACATAATATGGACCAAAAATAGAACATGGTGCAGTTATTCTAGGGAATAAGGGCTTTGGAACCAACTGCTTAGTTTGAAGCACCCACATGCTCCCTGTATGTAACCATGGACAAATTCACACAAAAATTCTGCCCTTGGTTTCCTTCTGTGAAATGGGGATACTACCACCTATTTTACAGGGTTTGGAAGAGGATTAAATCTTTTTTTAAAATTTTTAAAAATTTATTATTTATTTGACAGAGAGAGAGACAGCGAGGGAGGGAACACAAGCAGGGGGAGTGGGAGAGGGAGAAGCAGGCTTCCCACTGAGCAGGGAGCCCGACGCGGGGCTCGATCCCAGGACCCCGGGATCATGACCTGAGCTGAAGGCAGACGCTTAACAACTAAGCCACCCAGGCATCCCTGGAAGAGGATTAGATGGGATGATTTAGGTGAGGTCCAGTGTGAGGCACAGAACACACAAATCATGAAGATTACCGCCATTATTATTATTATGGTTAACAGATTTATATATTTTTTCTCCCAAATTTTTATTTAAATTCTAGTTAGTTAACATATAGTGTAATATTGGTTTCAGGAGCAGAATTTAGTGGTTCATCACTTACATATAACATCCAATGCTCCTCACAACAAATGCCATCCTTAACACCCATCACCCATCTAGCCCATCCCCTGCCCATCCCTCCATCAACCCTGAGTTTGTTCTCTCTCGTTAAGAGTCTCTTATACCACCATTATTATTCATCATGTTTGTGAGTAAGTAGTTTTAGATGTATAGGTAATAAAGCCAAACCAATACCTTCTGGGAAACAAAATAATTGGTCCATTTTTGAGTTCAAGTTATTTGGTAACATCACTTCAAAGTAATACTTCATAAACAAAAGTTTGTAACTATTATTTTTTTCTCACCAGGGATTATGAAAAATTATTTTCTCAAAAGCTTATAATAGGGGGCGCCTGGGTGGCTCAGTTGGTTAAGCGACTGCCTTCAGCTCAGGTCATGATCCTGGAGTCCCAGGATTGAGTCCCGCATCGGGCTCCCTGCTCGGCAGGGAGTCTGCTTCTCCCTCTGACCCTCCTCCCTCTCATGCTCTCTCTCTCTCATTCTCTCTCTCAAATAAATAAATAAATAAATCTTTAAAAAAAAAAAAAAAAGCTTATAATAGGAAGCCATACTTACCTTTGCTGTGTCTGAAACAGAATTCCAGTAACCACCACTGAGTGAGAATTTTCCGCTGCCTATCCGTGCCAATATTTCCTCTGGTGTATCATCAGGGCCATTTGCAAATGGAGTGTAACTAATTTATAATGAAATTAAAATGTTAATGAATAAAATTTCTTTTTTGGTTGGTAATCTTCCCATTTATTTGCAGTGTTCAAGAGTACTCCGGGTAATTAAATTAATGTAATACTTTACTGAAATCTCCTAAAGTAAAAAATATCAACATCATGAAGCTCCATTAAGCACCAGGTCAAGGTATAAGCTATGAAATATTAATTAGACTTAATATATACTATAAATATTTTAAGATATGACACATAAGAATAGAATATTTAAAAACAGTGTATGTTTACAACATAAGAGTACAAAAGAGATATGGAAAAAATCAAGTTAAGACCTTAAAACATTAACAAATGGTACATTAAAGAAAATCAGTAATGATACAGTTATAAATGTGGTGCATATATATATATATACACACAGAGAGATACACACACAGGACTACATTATTAGATAACATGAGAAAACATGAAAAGAAAGACATTACAACACAGAGATTAAAAAAAAATAGAAAAAAATATTGATGGATAAATGCTTACAACATATGGTCCACTCACCCAGTAAGCATTGTATAGAGGAGGACACCAAGACTCCATATATCACAAGCAGCATCATAGCCTTGTCGTTTTAAAACCTAGAAAAAGTAAAAATTAGTATTAACATACTACTGTTTAGAGATTTGAATAGGCTGTGAAATGCACTATCTTCTAAATCAATGTATTTAAGAAAAACCTCAAAAGAACATGGTTAACAAACAAGGCAATATATTAATCCTATTCTATAACATTCTACAACTCATAATTCATATATATATATATAAATTTGATTTTGGTATTTGAATTAGCATTTATTGAGTGATGCCATGGCAGACAGAGGACTATAAAATAAAATGAAGGTAAGTTTCTTTTTCTCCCCCCACTGCTTCCCTCTAAGTTTCTTATTTATTTATTTATTTATTTATTTATTTATTTATTTATTTATTTATTTAATTTTTTTTTTTTTTAAAGATTTTATTTATTTATTTGACAGAGAGAGACACAGCGAGAGAGGGAACACAAGCAGGGGGAGTGGGAGAGGGAGAAGCAGGCTTCCTGCGGAGCAGGGAGCCCGATGCGGGGCTCGATCCCAGGACCCTGGGATCATGACCTGAGCCGAAGGCAGACGCTTAACGACTGAGCCACCCAGGCACCCCTAAGTTTCTTATTTAAATGAATTTATATTCATTTTGTATGAGGTTGCAGAAGTGGTTACATAAAACAGTAGTTTTAGGAACACATAAAAGTACAAACAATATAATGAAAAATTACACTTTTACATATATAAAATATGATTCACTTGAGCACTGAGTAATCACCAACTATTATCAGGCATGAACAGTGATAAATACAAAACACTCTTGTTTCCTTAAGAAAATTAGACTATGGCAGGGGAAATAAACATATAGTTAATAAAGCAACATATTATAACAAAATTATGCCTAAAGTGGTATAGGTATAAAGATGAGGAAACAATTCATTCATTTTTGTTTTTAAAGATTTATTTATTTTAGAAAGAGAGAGCGAGAGCAAGAGTGAGTGCGGGGGAGGGGGAGAGGGAGAGAGAATCTCGAGAAGACTCCCCGCTGAGCATGGAGCCTGACATGGGACTCGATCCTATGACCCTGAGATAATGACCTGAGCCGAAGTCAACAGTTGGACACTTAACCGACTGAGCCACCCAGGTGCCCCAAAACAATTCATTCTTGATATGGAGAGAGAAGGAAGGCTACGGGGCAGCCTGCTTGTACTGGGCCTATAAGTAAGAATTCAGGAGGCAAAGGGAGGAGGTAGAGGAGAGCAGAGGACACTCCAAGAACAGAGGCAAGAGAGCAGAGCATGCTTAAGGACAGGCAAGGATTCAGTGTGGCCAGATGTCCAGGTAAGGGATACCAGAGAGAACAAAGAAGGGCTTTTATAAATATCTTAAGGATTTTTCCTGCAGGCAATCTGTGGTCATTGAAGCATTAAACAGGGAAATAAAATAAGTAGATGGGTATACCAAAAGGATAACTCAAGGTATAGAGGAAATGCTGGCAAGAAGACAAACTGGAAACAAGGCCATCTGATAGGAGGCAATTTGTAGCAAACTAAGTGAAAGGCTATGAGGAACCACACTAAGGCAGGACATGGAGAGAAAAAGATGTAATGATAAAATAGGAAGGACTTAGTAGAGCTGGGATGTATGGGATAAGGGAAAAGGGGTCTAAAATATTCAGGAATCAGAATGGAAAGGGTTTGGTGACTGACCGGATGTAGAGAAATGATGGAGAAGGAGGATTTCAGGAGGACTTCCAAATTTTAACTTGAACGACTAAGTGGTGAATCTGAGACAAAGAGTTAAAAGGTCAAGTCTAAGGATAGTTTAATCATGGAAGATTTCCTGAAGAATATGAATTTAGAGGCTTTGAAGCAAAAAAGGTTTTGAAGCAAAAAACATTTGAAACAAAAAACATTAGGTTTTGAAGCAAAAAACATTCCAACATGCCAAGGCAAAACAGCTACATGGTGATTTCCAGAAGCAGATTGCTTGTCTGAAGCAGGAAAGAGGAAAAATGAGATGGCTAGATGAAGTGACCATGCTTGGACACCAATATGTGTGAGAAGCTGTGGCTATATGGACAAACAAGCAAAAAGTCTGTCCCTCATTAGTTCTAGTCCCACCAGGAGAACAGGTGCAAGTAGTCTTTTTAAAAGCATTATTTTATACCTCAAAAGTAACAAAATTACAAAAAGTTTGGAAAATAGAGGGGGGAAATCCAGCTCTACAATCCAATTGTCCTAGCATTACCAACTGTTACCATTTTTTGGTGAAATATCTAACGGTAAAAGCAGAGACTTTGCAGCCATATTACCTGGGCTCAAATCTCAATCTGACCTCAAATTACATAACCTCTCACTGTGCACCTGGTTTCCTGTAAAACTCAAAGAGTAAAAGGTCTCACTTCACATAGTTATAAGAGAAAAAATTATTATATGTAAACTCTATTTGTGAGGATGAAATCAGCTAATACATGTGACTGGCACAGAAGCTTGATATTAGGGTTAACTATTATTTATTACATAGTTCACAGTTACATTTTTTTTTAACATAGTGATAATAAAAAGGCAAGAAATCTTGAAGGCAAAACAGTGGACTTTAGATTTGCTACAATGGGGAACCAAAATTTCTTAGGAAAAGAAGCAACTTGATCACAGCAGTGCTTGAAGACTTCAGTAAGTCGATGGCTCTTCTGTGGAATGATCACAGAACCAGAGAGGGAGCAGGGTGCAGCCAGGCTGTGGCAGTCATTTGGGCTGTGGTGAAGGAAGCAGGGGCTAGGATGGCAGTTCTGTGAAAAGAAGAACCTCAAACTGGTTTCAGGGGATAACAGAGATGGTACCTAGTTACGTAGCTAAAGACAAGAAGAGACCATGATGCTTTAGCCTCAGAAATACAGGAAGATGGTGACAAAACCAGGAAATTAGAAGGATATTAGGAAAGGATGAGAATAAACTAGTTTCCATTTAATTCCATGTGCTCACAGCACAAAAGTGTCAGTGATAGCAGACCGCTACAGATGTGTGATTATGTAGAAGACAGAAGGTAGAGCAACAAAAGGACTGTAGTGGACTAAGTAGTAGGGGGCTGAGGACAGGATGAATTACCATCAGAAGAAAAAGGGTTGACATTTTAATTATTTGTTCAGTAAGTCTTCAATGGAAAAACTATTAACTATTCTATATTAAACACAGCAAATGAATTTTTAAATATACTGAAATACTGGAAGCAAACAATTTCACAATTACCTCCGGTGCAACAAAATTTGCAGTATAACAAGGAGTCATGAGAAGACCGTTTTCTGCTCTTAGCTGTTTGGCAAAACCAAAATCACAAATTCGAATAGATTCTGGATTGCCAGATTCATCCACATAAAGAATGTTGCTAGGTTTCAAGTCTCTGTGAACCACCTAATTGAAATACAAATTGAAGAGGTACATTAACAATACATTTCAATTACGGAAAACTCTTTATTCACAAACTGTCAAGCAACGTACTTAACAAGATGATGAGTGCTGACCTTTAAATTATCTCATTTTAAAATGCTGCTAATGTAAGTATAACTCTCTAACACAGAACTGGGGCAAGGAGAGAAGGAAGAAAAAAATAGTATGTACATCCCTCCTCTTTGTCCAGTTGAGTAAGTGGGTTAAGGTAAAATGCAAATAGCAATAATATCTGTCTCTAGGTTATTCATTCATTCAACAAATATGTACTGAATGCCTATCATGTGTCAGGGTATTATATAAGGAGCTCTAGATACTATGCTCAACAAGACCCATAAGATCTTTGCCTTCCCATGCTAGGAGCTTACACAGTAGTGGGGGAGGCAGAGAATAAACAGGTGACAGATGGGTCTCTACAGGAGGTAACATCTGATCCAAGACCTGAAGAACAGAATGAACAAGCCAGAACAGTGGGGGATGGTCATTCTAAGTAGAGGGAACAGCATGTATGATGGATGTATACAATAAACATATGCCCACAGGCTCAATGGAATAGGCATGGGGTTCAGGAGTAAAAAAGGAAAAAAAAAAATTCAGACTTTAAGTATTGCCTATTTGATATCTAAGTGACAATGTCATACATACAAAAAGATATCGTTTCCTTTAGAGTTTTGTATTATTTTCCCCCTTTAGTTACCTACTTGAATAGTTCTCGTACATAAGCCTTCTGACATTCCTTATTAGACTTATATGTTTCTTCTACCGTGAAATTCTGAGTCTAGAGTGTAATCAATCATCTCAGTTTTAGTTCCTAACATTGAGAACATTACTTCTCCAGACCATCTGAATACTAATTACTGCTGAGGCAACAGGAAAAGAACAGAGAAGACTCAGATGACTGCAAAGTCATCAATTCTTCAGTGAATACAGAGTCCCACTAATTTTGAGCTAGTGTACTAGGCAAATCTTGACCAGCTAGAAGTCAAGATGCTCTAGGATGAAATTAATACATTGCACTTGTTAGCTTCTATGAGCAAAGACAAAATGAGAATAATGTATTGAAAATAAACCCCTTAAGAAGTAAGCTCTTAATTTCCTTTTATTTATTTTTAAAAGATTTTACTTATTTATTTGACAGAGAGAGACACAGCGAGAGAGGGAACACAAGCAGGGGGAGTGGGAGAGGGAGAAGCAGGCTTCCTGCGGAGCAGGGAGCCTGATGTGGGGCTCGATCCCAGGACCCCGGGATCATGACCTGAGCTGAAGGCAGACGCTTAACGACTGAGCCACTCAGGCGCCCCTTATTTTATTTTATTTTTAAAAAAATATTTTATTTATTTATTTGACAGAGAGAGACACACAGAGAGAGGGAACACAAGCAGGGGAAGTGGGAGAGGGAGAAGCAGGCTTCCCGCAGAGCAGGGAGCCCGATGCAGGACTCGATCCCAGGGCCCTGGGATCATGACCTGAGCTGAAGACAGACGCTTAACGACTGAGCCACCCAGGTGCCCCTCTCTGGTTCTGCTTCTAAACTTGCAATGGACCCAGTTCTCAAGAGTACAGAGTGGCCTAGCAAAAAAGGTGATAGGTCTTCCAGGTCAGAAGACCTCACTTACTTTTTCTTGGGAAGCATAAGAATTTAATATAAACAAGTTAGGATTTCAAAGTATCACTTCAAGCTCGGTGGGAGAAGTTTACATAGAGGAAGAACAGCAGAATAAGCTAATAACAGTTATTTTCCATTAATGCATAAAGTAACTTCCACCTTTGTAATTTTAGTTTAAACATTAAGGAAAAAAAGGTAAAAAAAAAAAAGGTAAAGGTATGTGTGTGTATGTATACATATGTGTGTGTGTGTGTGTGTATATAAAATGTTAAAAAGACTTACCCCTTGTGCATGAAGATATTCAACAGTTTTGGTTATAGTAAACAGGACAGCACTGGCCTCTCTTTCAGAGAAAAATTTCTGTCTAAGAATTTTATCCAGCAATTCACCCCCTTTCATAAGTTCTGTCACTACATACACATATTTTCCATCATCATATACCTGTAAAATTAAACATCAAAATGTAAAAAATTATTTGAAGCTTTATATGTACTCAGAACAAAGTTTAGCATATTCAAGAGAAAATTAAAACTCATTTTATAGTCAAGGAAAATTTTACTTATCACAGCCAATAGAGGGTATAAAATCTGCAAACCATTTTATACATATAAGAATATTAAAATACAAATTGATTAGATTGAATGTCAGAAAAATAAACTGTAATTTCCTTCTATGAAACATAAGTCATGGCAATCAAAGTAACTATGGGCAGCGTATATCAAGGGGCACTGAACTTTTGCTCTCAGGGTTTGTTTCTCTTGATCTTTTTATCTACCGATGACAGCAGGGACTGGTATAAAGACACATGCCTGTGATTTTCCTGGAACTTCTACAATTGCAGAACTGTATTTACATACGCAGTACAATGAATTATCCTGGTTTTGATTAAACTGAAAGACAAGTTGTGGCAAGAATTAAGTAGGAAGATTAAGTAGCAAAAAGAAATTCCATCTAACCCCACAGAAGCATGCCAGTTTACTCCTAATGTAGAAATAGAAAGCTCATTGTAATTTTGGATTTGTACTCCAGGCAATCCCGAACTGAAATAACCCCTTTATTAAACTTCAGTTCCTTTTATTCCCCCTCACCACAGGGCTACTATACACTTTTTATTTAGTTCCATAAGAGGTACCATGTACTAGGGCCCCAAAAATGGAGAAAACAAGGTACCCGTCCTCGATGTTTTTATTCTAGTAGAGAGAAACAGACATAAAAACAAGAGTTAAAAAAATGTTGGAGATACTGTAATAAAAGTAGGGAAAATTTTAGAGACTTTGGAATTTGAAATGAAGGAAGGAGGAAAGATGTGAAAAACAGTGACAGCTTAGGGAGTTTATAAGGCAAGGATGAGAGAAAATATTTTCCATACCTCCTTTTTGATTTACTTAGTTGGATTCTTGGAGATTATATCAAAGAGCCACTTAAAGCTACACAGCTTCACATTTAATGGCACTAAGCTAACATTCTCCTTCTAACAATGAGCAGGGATAAATTAATCTGAGGAAATTAGGAGTTTTGGTTATGAAGAAGGGAGAGTAAACTTTGGAATTCATGAAATCTCAGAGGTGAAAGGCGAAAGGCACCTTAGAAGTCCTGTGGCTTAGTTGGCCACAGGACGTATCAGGTCTACAACCCAGATACAGTCTTTGAGGCTCTGTGGGCACCACCAGCAAGAGAAGATTTAATGCTGTCTGGGGAGTTCACACCCTTTGCCAACAGCTCTGTTATGATAAAAAAAACAGAGGCAGCAAGGAGAGGATACTTTACTTGTCTGGGGTGCAGTGATGCGCAGGACAGGCTTCCTGGAGGAAGTAATGTTTTAGCAAAGTTTTAGATGCACAGTAGTTAGCCAGGCAAAGAAGGGAAGTGGTAGTATTAATTGAGGAAACCATAAATTCAAAGATAGAATGGCATGAGAAAAGGAGGAAAGTTTAAAGATGAGCACATAGTGGAGCATGGTTGGAGCATGGGGTGGAGAGGAAGTGTGAAAACCAGTGCAGACAGAGGAAGGTAAGGACTGGAGGTGAGAGGGGGTAGGAAATGTAGGCTGAGGGGTAATGTGGTTCCATGTGAGTGTTTGCTCTCTCTGGCAGTACTGTGGAAGACAGTCTGGGGAGTCCATGAAGCATGAGACTAGTCAATCCCCAATACTAATTAGTACACACATGTTCCAACAAAGATATCAAAAGCAATAATGTCAGCTACACTTTTCTTCTTAAAGCAAAAGTATAAAAATTAACTATATCAACAGGTTTTTCTTTATAACTGAAATTATGCTATATATGTTGTCCTTAAGTCAATTTTTTAAAAACTTACTCCTATTAGGTTCTTTGTCTACCACATGATATTTGAAAACATTCCAAATGTGAGCTGGACAACTGATTCAAATGATCAGAGTTCAAGAATCTACTACTTACGTCCTTTAGAGTAATGATGTTTGGATGCTGTCCATAACGAAGAAGAATTTCAATTTCTTCTGTTGGGTCTCTCTTGCTTTTATCAATAATCTAAAAGGCAAATATTTATCATAAAATCTCATGAACTGTTAAGGTCACAAACCTTAAGAATTTACAGCTACAGACTTTAGGTATTATCTTACATAAATACTGGACATATGAGCCATTTATCAACCAATTTTATTCAAGTACCTGGCCAGACTGTCTAATCAAAATTTGAAAGCCAGTCTAAGTTTAGGACTTTCTAAACACTCAAAAGCCTCAAGAAAAGGTACCAAGAACATATCTTTCTTCCATCCTTGAATGTCTTAAAACCTTGGAAGCTCAAGTCAACTTCTAACCCCTATCAATACAGATAATTAAGAACAAGATGTATCTGCAACACCACCACTAACATCTGTTTATTGAATTAACTTTACTTCCTTTAATAAAAGTCTTCAATGGAATAACCAATTAGTTGGTAAGCTACTTAAAATACATAAAAAATTAATTCACAGCTAAGTAGAACAAGCTTATTTTTGAAGCTAGGCAGAAAGCTAAGCAGAAAACCACACCTAGAATTTTACTTGGCTAGAGTTAAGTTTAATTATTATAATAAAGCCCTTTAAAATACTAATGTAGCTTTCCAACCCTTTTATGTCAGCTGCTTCTTAAAAATACACCTCTTAATGTTTTAATCTGTTAAAGTAATATTATATTTTTAAAAGGACAAGTTTGGCTTTCATTTTGTCCAGAGGGTAGTCTGAAACAAATTTTGTGACCTTCATATTTTCAATTTTAAAAAAGCTTAGTAATTAATGTACACAATAAATACTCAATTGCTCCAGCAGTCAAGGAAAGAGCTTGCAACTCAGATAGCCAAATCTGCTATCTGAAATGGATTTAGTTGTAAAACAGTTCTGTACGTGGAGAACAGGGAATACAAACATTAGGTGTACACTGTAATCAAATGCAAATGCAAATGTGTGGAATTAGGCAAATGGATGATTAAGACGAAAGGTGTATGGAATAGACATCCTAATTCAGGGGATATGATCCGGGAATAGTCTTTTGAAAACTAGAACACACTGGGAGGTGTTATTCCCAGCAACATTCTCTTTGATCTGTTAATCTGAGCAGAGTTTACGTCACATTCATACTTGTGTTTGTAGATCTTAGATTTGTAGTAATTTCAGTAGAATGAAGTTGTGCTGGGATTGGTTTTATGAATCAAATTTAAGTCACAAGAATCCACAAATAGCTTGAAGATATTCTCAAGGTTTTGGTATACAGCTTCTGGTTTCTGTAATTCAAAGGGGGCCTCAGGGCACTTATGCTTTTTTTCTGATGTGTTTATGGAGGCAAGATACACCCTTAAACTGCCCCTCATGTACACTACTCACCTTCTCTCCTTTCATGTAAGCAATCTGAAAATTCCTATGTACCCCAGATTTCACTATGAGCAATGAGTAGGAGAAGAGCAAATTAACATGCATTTCTATGGTTCATCCTACGTCTGACAGAAAGCCGGACACTGATGATTTTTAAAACAATTACATCTAAGTTTAGAATAGTAATTACAATTTTTTTGTGTATGTGTGCGTCTTCCCAGATTTTTGCTATGCATATATAAAACACATTTATTTTTATTTTTACACAGTGAAATCATATTAGATGATAGACGGATGGATGTACTGAAATAATTATTAATGCCCCTCTCCTACTAACTAAACATGAGCTACCCACACTTATAGACCAGTTCTAAGGTCCAAAATAAGTTGAAAGCTTTAGATATTAAATCGCTTGTACTGGGAGAGTAGTGACTACCATCTCAAGAAATGAAAAGGCAGAGACTTGAATATAGCATTTTTTCACTTACAACTAAGGTTTGTAACTCAAACTTTATCATAGAGCCACGTGATTTGGTTTTTGGCTTAGAAAATTCTTATTGTCTTGACACCTGCTGAAATTAAAACAGCTAATGATAATAAATTTTATAACAGTAGTGGTTCACTTTTATTGGTTCACAGATCCTTTTATATGTAAAGGACAGTATGAACATTTTTGCCAGAAAAATGGAAACACATAAAATTTGGCATACAATCTTGAGGAATTCCCTGATACTTAGACCACAAAATGGGGGACTTTTTAGAGTAAAAGGATGTTACTAAAAATCAGGTCAGGTGTAAACTGTACTAATGCCTTGAGCAAACTGGAGGTACGCTACCTTGCCTTTAGTTTACAGGTGAATCCGTGGTTCCAGATTAAGATCCCTAAGGGTTGCTAGGCAAACATTTAAATTTACCTTTTTTAAAAAACAAAACAAAAGGCACATTTACCAAAGAAGAAGTGTTTAAGTTTAACTGGTACTGACACATGTGAATAATAACTGTTAGAGTTGCATTTTATATTTTATTTTAAATTTTTTAAGTAGGTTCCATGCTGGGCATGGAGCTCAACGTGGGGTTTGAACTCATGACCCTGAGTTCAAGACCTGAGCTGAGATCAGGAGTCAGATGCTCAACTGACTGAGCCACTCAGGTGCCCCAGAGTTGTATTTTAAATCTAAAAATATTTACCTTCACGGCAAACTCCATGTTTGTAGCTTTATGTATGCATCTCTTGCAAACAGAGTAGGAGCCAACTCCAATATCTTCTTTTACTTCATATCCATCAGTAAACTGAATACTGTTTCTGTGTAACTGCTACAAACACAATTACAAATTGACAAAGAGTTTTTTAATGACTATGGTACAATTCATAATAGGGGAATATGTTACCCATTATGCATTGTTGATGCTAACAATAAATATAAATGAATATAAGCAAAAATAAAAATGAATCTTTACAGCATTTATTCTTCTACAACTATGTATTTTAGAGGTGTCTACCATAAAACGTACAGCAAGAAATAGGCTTTTAATTTTTTTAAGAAGTTTTTTTTTTTAAAGATTTTATTAATTTATTTGACAGAGAGAGATAGCGAGAGATGGAACACAAGCAGGGGCAGGGGGAGAAGGAGAAGCAGGCTCTCTGCTGAGCAGGGAGCCTGATGCGGGGCTTGATCCCAGGACCCTGGGATCATGACCTGAGCTGAAGGCAGACGCTTAACGACTGAGCCACCCAGGCACCCCAAGAAATAGGCTTTTTAAAAAGCTTATGTTAAAAATAAAAAATTGAGTACGTACAACAGAAAATGCAGAGTTACTTGATAAGGGGTTGAAAAGCCCTGCCTGCGACTGAGCCCTATTCCACTCCCCAAATGGCACTAGGCCTTTGAAGTACTTTTGCAAATAGGGAGAAGTTTGAAGCCTCTGATATAGAAGAAAAGATTTAGGAGGATTCAGAATTAGAATATCCAGATTCTTGTCTCAGATGCCCCTCTGGCAGACTGCAACCCTGAACATGTGTTTTCTCAGAGGGTAATGGTGAGGATTAAATAAAAATAACATATTTGAAGGTGATACCTATTATCATCATTGTGGACTATCAGTAGCCATGCCCTCCATTTCCACCCTCAAGTCAAAGTTTCAATACAACTTCTGCTAGAGAAGCTGTTAAAGGGTTAAGGACTAGTAACACGTGGTAGGATGATGGCTAGCATATTAGTAGTTCCATAAGCAGGCTGAGGGAAGTTGTGCTGTCCTTGGCTATATTGAAAGGAGACCCCCCCCCCCACCAATGCCTATGAACTGTGTATAGGTTAACATTTGAATTCTGTAGAATATATGTTTGTGATTTCTATGTCAGGTACAGAAGTTACAACTTAAAAACTTGCCATACATCACATGCTTGCTATAGTAAAAGGAACAAACTACTTCAATCATGAACTTTATTTAAAAACCAGTGTTTAAATTGGTTTTCTAGAAAGTGGAAAGCAACTTAACTCGAGAAAAAACTTTAGAGCAAAAGCAACTTCATCATCAAGCAAATTCAAGCACTAATTAGTGCCCTAAAAACAATCAGTGCTTCAAAAGATATATCTATTCCCTCTTATGATTTGGAAGATTTATTAAATTTACCTTTCCATGATGCTGGGATGGGATGAAATAAATCTAATGGTTTTTACTACTTGTGTTTCTCTAATAACATTTACTAGTTCAGTCTCCTGTTACAAACACACAGACATCTGGAAACCTGCTTCTATTGTTTTTACCTTGTGCTCCAACTCTGATACACAGATGGGATAATGAGGTGGGGGACACCCTAAGATTGTGCCTATAACCACTTCTTTTAAATAGCAATGGGGGCTCCAAAAGAACAAGGACACAAAACTTGGAGAACATAAGACTGAAGTTCACTTTTATTTCTTACACATTTCTACAGCAGAAGTTGGTGAACTATATAGCCTGTGGGCCAAATCTGTTTCATTACTAGCTTTTGTAAATAAAGTTTTATTGGCACACAGCCACGCTCACTTATTTAGCTATAGCCCATGGCTACTTTTGTGCTACAATGGCAGAGTCGAGTAGTTGTAATGGAGATCATATAGCCTACAAAGCCTCAAATATTTATTAACTGGCCCTTTACAGAATAAGTCTGCTGAGCCCTGTTCCAAGCCATCAGGGAACCAGGAGACCTCAGTTCATCATAACTGACCTGACAGAGGCAGCAGATGAAACAAATTAGGCCAGATAAACATTATGAGGCATAGGAGAGGGTATAGATAAGATGGTGATATGCATCTCAACTCTCTTAGAATTTCCCCCCCTTTTTTTTTAAAGATTTTATTTATTTATTTGAGAGAGAGCGCAGAGTGAGGGAGAACACAAGCAGGGGGAGGGGCAGAGGGAGAGGAAGAAGCAGACTCCCCACTGAATAGGCAGCCTGATGTGGGGCTCGATCCCAGGACCCCAGGATCATGACCTGAGCCGAAGGCAGAGGCTTAACCAACTCAGCCACCCAGGCGCCCCTCCCCTTTCAAGTCAGATAGGTATCCAGGACTCTGGTGCATGCAATCTTTTTTTTAAAGATTCATTATTTATTTATTTTAGAGACAGAAAGAGCACGCATGGGCGTGTGCAAGCCGGGGCAGGTGGGAGGCAGAGGGAGAATCTCAAGCCAACTCCGCACTGAGTGCACAGCCCCGCCAGCGGCCTGATCTCACGACCAGGAGATCATGACCTGAGCTGAAATCAAGAGTTGGATGCTTAACCAACTGAGCCACCCAGGCACCCTATCTTTTTAAAGGCATATGAAAGGAATTCCTAAGAGTAACATCAATGATATAAAATGTATTATTTTAAACTGCCCACTTAAAATCAGCAGTTAAATCTAATTATTCACACAGTAAACTATATTTTACAACATTTCAAATTTTAAATTATTTATACATTCACTCACCTGCACAATTGAATGCACACCAACTGTCTGCATAGCTTGGCTTTCATCATCTGAGGTGATAGCAACAAAACTAAACCCCCGAAAAAGCTGATGTGCATTAGCACTAGGTGGAATACCCGGTGAATCTGAAAAGAATAATACATTACTAAGAAGGTAATACTCTGAAAGATAATTAAGGGAAGAACTGTTGACAGTATGACCTTTCTTACTTATTCTGGAATTCCACTTCTTAGGCATCCAGGGCTTCTAGGATAACTCAGTGAAACACTCTATCAGCTTTGTCCTGATGGCTTATTGGCATCACAACTCTAACATCCTAGTTCCTCTGAGCCCAGAAAATAGCTAACTCATTGAAGAATATAATAAATCAATGAATTACTAGGCTAATGTTATTCTAAATTAGCACTGTCTCATAGAATTTCCTATAGTGATGGAAATTTTCTTTATCTGTGCTGTCGAATATGGTAGCCACTGGCCACATGCAGCTCCTGGGCATTTGAAATGTGGTTAGTGTGACTGAGAAGCAAAATTTTAAATTTTAATTAATTTAAATTGAAATAACCACACGTGACTACTGGCTACCATATTAAACAGTGCAACCCTACATGATAACCTAACAATGCTACAGCTCCTGGTGAGGGGGAGATACAAGGTTCACCTACAGATAATTTAGGAGAAAAGAATTTAGTCTGGTAGTCTCAATATATAATATCCGAATCTGGAAATCTAAACTACAAGTTAAAAATTACTACATTTATATATATAAGGAACAAAAGTAATTTCTTTTTTTTAAAGATTTTATTTATTTATTTGACAGACAGAGAGAGAGCACAAGTAGGCAGAGTGGCAGGCAGAGGGAGAGGGAGAAACAGGCTCTCCGCTGAGCAGGGAGCCGGACGTGGGGCTCAATCCCAGGACCCCAGAATCATGACCTGAGCCGAAGGCAGCCGCTTAACCAACTGAGCCACCCAGGTGCCCCAGGAACAAAAGTAATTTCTGAGACAATCATGGTATGCAGTCCTTAAAATATATTTTATGACATGACATGTATGGTTACTCAAATTATTTGTGTGGAATCTACTGGCATTAACAAAAATAGAAAAATACTTTTAAAAAATATAATTAATATTCACTACAAAAACAAACAATAAAAGCAGAACAAATGTGCTATTCATAAATATAAAGACAATATTAAGCATACTAATATTTATAATCATACTATAAAGGCTAAGGGCAAGCAAAAAGCAAACAGGCAAATATACTTAAATATCAACTCCACATAAAGTTCTTTTTTAATATCAGCTTGATATTCTCAGCAACAAAGATTGTTTAGTGCATTTTAAACCAATGTGACAGTATTATACTGAAGAACTCTGCTAAGAGAACCAATCTGGGCAGAATACAATGTATAACTGCTCTCTTTTGAGATTTTTCCTCTATCAGGCCAAATTGTAATGAGAAAGCAAAGTAAAACATTACCATATATCATCAATTCTATGCATACCACTGTTCATGTATTTGATAAAATTTTGTTCATGTATTAATCAAAATTTCTAAGACTGTCTTATAAAAATAATAAATATCCACCAGTGTTTAACATAATTTATGAGGTTATTGACTGGAAAGCTTTATAATAAAGTGAGGTTTAAATGATGTACTCTATAGAAAATATATGCAAATATACTTTTTATTTCTTTGCTTGTCAATGATAAACCTGGGGTCTGGTACACCTAAATGAGAGAGTACGAGAGTGCAGAACACACCATTACATGCATACACACACTAATTTAATGAAATACAGATTACCATTTCAAAGATAATTTCTCTAATAATAGTCATTGTTTACGCAATTCTAGGATAAAGCATGACACAGGATATGAATCATTTTGAAATTATCACACCTCATATAAAGTTTATGTTTTGGATTCGAACTTGACAAGTACTTCCAGAATACTACCTAATATCAGAGTTTTAAAGAGTACTATCTATACTGAAGAGTATTTCATGTAAAAATAGCTACAGGTAAATAAATGCACAACCAAAGAATTTTTTCACATAAATAGTATCAAAGTTTAAGGCACAACCTAATTTGCTAAAAGATTTAACAAGGATCTTAACTGCTATAAAATGCTATAAAGGATTTATTAATTATCTAGTTATTGCAGCAGGGATATGGTATGACGGGGAGATATGAGGATAGCATTAAGAGTCATACATATATACGTTACATTTAGGTTTTTACATTTTCTCCTTACCTTTGGGAGTTTTTGCAGTAAACTCAGGATCAAAATAGAACGTATCTTCAGGCCTGCCAGTTGCAGGTTTAAAAGGTGGATGAATTTCTCTTCTGTACAGTTTCTGGTGGGAAAAAAGAGAGACTTAGACATGCATTAATTACAAAAAAAAATTCAAACAAATTTTCATTTTATACTCACATTCCAGTCTATTGTTGAGAAAAATGAATGTCTTTTAATTTCCTCAACTCCATCTGGTCCTGCACCTATCAAAAATTAAATGGTTTAAAATTTTTGATTAAATGGTAATTTTATTTCAAGGAGGAATATATAATTTATTTAGTCTTTGCTTTTAATGTTTGTCCTACTATGTCATAATTCCACAACAAAAACAAATATCCACCTCCGCCCATCAAAAAACCCCAAAGACCAACAAACACACAAAAGAAACAAATTAATTACAAATTTTACCTAATCTGTTTGCAGGATTTCGTTTGAAAAGCATTCGTAAAAGACTCTGGGCTTCAGGACTCAAAAACTGTGGCATCCCAAGTTTGGCTCTAAATAATAAATCCACACAATAACATTTTATTTTTTGGAGGTATCTGTAATTTTATTTTAAAATTTTTAATCTTTTTTTATTTTGAGATAATTGTGGATTTATACTACGTTGTAAGAAATAATAGAGACAGATCCTGTGTACCTTTTACCCAGTTTTCCCCAATGATCACATCTTAAAAAACTATAGTACACTATCACAACCAGAATACTGACATTGATACAATCCACTGATCTCCTTCAGATGTCTCCAGTTTTAACTGCACTCATTGTGTGTTTAAATTTAGTTCTATGCCATTTTACCATATGTATAGGTTCCTGTATCCACCACCACAGTAAAGATGCTGAACAGTTCATTACCACCAGCATACCTCACGTTGTCCCTTTATAACCATACCTGCCTCCTTCCCTCTCTAATTCTTAACCTCTGGCAATCACAAATCTATTCTACATTTCTATAATTTTGTCATTTTAAGAATGTTATGTAAGTATAATCATAAAGTGTGCAATCTTTTTTTTACTCAGCATAAATTCCCTTGAGATTCATCCAAGTTGTTGATTAGTATTCCACGGTGTGGGTGTACCAGTTTATCTGTTTACCTGTTGAAGGGCATCTGGATTGTGTCCAATTTTGGGTTACTACAAATAAAGATGCTATGAACATTTGTGTATAGTTTTTTTGTGTGAACACTTAATAGAATTTTAGTCCATAATTTTTTTTAAAGATTCTATTTATTTATTTGACAGAGAGAGAGAGAGTGACAGACTACAAGCAGGGAGAGGGGTAGAGGGGTAGGGAGAAGCAGACTACCTGCTGAGCAGGGAGCCCGATGTGGGGCTCGATCCCAGGATCTCAGGATCAATACCTGAGCCGAAGACAGACACTTAACTGACTGAGCCACCCTGGCCCCCTAGTCCATAATCTTCTAACAAACTTTTCCGTTTTTATAAATTTTGCAACAAGCACTGTTGTGAGAGTAAGATCATCTGAGTTTTAGTTCTGGCACTGTTACTAAGAACTTTGTGACCTTTGGGAAAAGACAATTCCCTTCGGTCTGTTACCACTTCTTTATAAGCAAGGGGACTAACCGTCAGATCAATGGCTCCCCAACTGGAGCCTTGGAACCTTTTTTCAAAAGAAATTTAAGAAATCCACTATTTAAAACTGCTAAAAGAACATGTGCTACATATGCCTATGTTTTCCTCCCATTCCCTTTAATAGTCCTACAAGGAAGAGGAGCTGGTGGGAAAAGGGTCTGTGGAACACCTAAGAGTCTACAGCACACAGTCTGAAACCCACCAGCTTGAATGAGCTTGAAGGTCAGTTTCAGCTCTAATATATAATTTTATTCTTTTTTTCTAACTTATAAACTAAGGAACTAATGATCCTCTAAGTATGAAAATAGTAACAAAGCTGGAGAAATGGCTAGCAGAGAAATTTCTACTTCAGAAATAGATCCATTTATTATTCAGTGAGTTGTTACTGAGCTACTACGTGCCAGATATTCCTTAGTGCTGAGGATATAGAGATGAAGATAGCCCCCTCCAGTTAGTGGGGAAGACAGAGATGGATAACCCAAGGATAACCCTAATATGTGAAGAGGCAAATTCAGAAGGACATATAGAAAGACTGCTAAGGGAACAGCAGGGGATCATCTAATTTAACATGAGAGACTGAAAGGCCTTAAATGCAGTTTAAAGGTTGAGAATTTATTCACTTGGCCAGTGTTCCCCCAACATTTTACTAAATAACTTTAAATTCTCTAGACACTCAGCAACAACAACAAAATACTTCATGATCTAATAAATTTGTGGAATGTATCTATTATACCCCCTGTTGGAGACACAGAATAAAATACACTGCATATAAAAGGCTGAGAAATCTAAAGTAATCAGTATTTTTCTAAACATTTGCTTCCAGTACATCTTTTTCAGAGCATACCTATTCACATCTTATAGAATTAGGATTCTGTTGAACAAATCTGGGAAAATACTGCCATATTAGGTAATAAGGATATAGCAGAGGTCTTTATTTTATTTATTTATTTATTTATTTTTTTAAGATTTTATTTATTTATTTGAGAGAGAAAGCATGAGGGGGGGAGGGTCAGAGGGAGAAGCAGACTCCTCGCTGAGCAAGGAGCCCGATGCGGGACTCGATCCCGGGACTCCAGGATCATGACCTGAGCCGAAGGCAGTCACTTAACCAACTGAGCTACCCAGGCGCCCTAGCAGAGGTCTTTAAACAGTGGTCTAACAAGACCAAATTTATTTTCAACAAGGTAACTCCAAAGGTAGTATAGATTGACCTGGAGTGGGAAGTGGTGGTAGTTGTAGGCATTCTACTTCGAAGCTTGACTCAGTAGTGTAGGTAGGAAACCACCATGGTCTAAGAACTGTAAGCAGTGCAATGTAAAGGAAAGCCTGGGACAATGAAATATTTCTGAGAGCAAATTTGGTCAATACCTACATGTGCAAGAGAGGGGAAGAAATCAAGAATGATTTTTAGGTTTCTGGCTTGGGAAGCAGGGTGCTTAGAAATGAGGCTAATTGAAAATACAACAAGAAAAAAGAACAGCAAACAGATAAATTTAGTTTAAAAATGTTAAGTCATACATATCACTTTTTCAGAGAGCCATGCAGGTGAGTAAATGCAAATATAGGTCTGATGCCTGGTTAAGTTAAAGAAAGAGTGATTTGAGAGTAATTAAAATGCTGACAGTAGTTATAGGAAAGACTGAAGTTAGCCAGGAAAATGAGCACAGAAGGGAAGAAAAGCATATCAGAGATGAAACCCTGGGGTACAAGAACATTTAAAGAGTGGTCAGAAAAAGAACAATTTGAGCATTAAAAATAATGAATGCAACTGTTTGTAAATGCTGAATCACACTGATTATTAAATCCCATAGATTCATTTTAGTAAAATAAGAAAAAGAAAAAACTAACATAAAACCCAACTCACTGGACACCATCCCCACTGGAGGTAATCAGGGCTCTGGCAATTGGAAATAATTAAGAATCAAGTATTTATTCTGACTTTCTTGTTTGAGCCTTATTTCAAGGTAACTAAAGAGCCCTAGTTGATTAGAGAAAGTTCAGTGTTTTGGAAAATACCAGCTAATAAATAAAGAAGGAATAAAAGTAATAGAAAATCACGATTTTTGAATTCCTAATAAAATGTTTCAAGTAATGATTACCAATGGTTGAAACCACTAGATGAAAGCCTGCCAGGGAACTTTGTAATAGAGGAATCAGCTGTAACTATAGAACTCATCACTTAAAGTGGGACAACCAGGTGTTCTAAGCCTTCTGATGTGATGCAATAGGGTGCAGCATGAGCTATGAAATAATCTTGCCCAAAAAAACTTAACCAGAAATGCAATAAAGGGACAAGTTAAACAATATTACAAGGAGAATAAAACAATTTCAACACTCCTAGGAAAAGACTAATTGTGTAACCATGTTAACAAGAGAGCCACAAGAACTGGCTTTAAACTCATTCAATTGATCAAAAACAACCTGCCTAGGTAAACTGTTTGTTTGTTTTTGTTTTTTTCCAAACCAACCAATCAATAACTGCTCTTCATCTGTGAAAATCAGCCAAACAAGAGTGGACTAATTCCAACAACCACACCTGAGTGCCAAGTGATCAACAACAGTCCCACCCAAGTAACCACTCTTAGAGATGATGTCAACCCACTTATGGCCCTGAAAATCTGCCAATTCTTGAACTCCACCCTTCCCCCAAACCCTATGTTAAGAAGAGTGGTCTATGCTGCTTAGACACTATTAGATCAGCATCACTCTCCCTTACTATAGTAAGCAATAGGATTGGCTTTATGCTTTTTGTTTCATATACTGAGAGGTTGTCTTTTTGACAAGATAAATTCTGAAAGTGGAATTCTATAAAACTGTCTTGGTTTCTTCTACAAGTAAATGGTAGGGAAAAACAAGGTAGAGTGTTCTGGAAAAACAGAAGCTTGAGAAATACAACCAAATGAAATGTTCAGATGTGATTTGGGACTATAAAGACACAGTTCTGGAGAAAATCTGAAAAGTCTGGTTAAGAATTGGTATTAGTGGATACCTTAGCAGTGTCTTGCTAGGTGTGGTTATGTAAGAAAACATCCATATTTTCTAGCGATGCAAACTGCAGTAGGTGAGAAATGGCATGTCTGGAATGCTTAAAATATTTCAGTGAAGAAAGAGATGAAGCAAATGTGGCAAAATCTTGATGTCTGTTGAATCTGCATGACTGATATATGTGTTCACTGTATTAATTCTATTTTTGTGAATTACATTAGAAGTTTTTCGTAACTAAACAGAGAAAAGCAGGCAGAGAAGGAATGGTCAAGCAGGAGATCAAAAGAGGAACTGTTAGGGAGGCAGGAGAAGCAGATGCGAGTAGGAAGATCTAAATGGGAAGAAAGTGGCCAACAGTGTCAAATACTCCCAGAAACACCTTTCTTAACTGTCTCCTCTAAAATGGCTTCTGCCCCTGCCCCTTCCCTCACACTTCAAGAATAATCTGGTTTATTATGCCTATTGCTCCTATTACTATCTGATATTATTATATTCATTTTTTAAAATATTAATTCCTTGTCTCCCCGACTAGAATGCAAGCTCTGTGAGACTGGAGAAGATCCTGTCCGTCTTGTTCACATTGCATCCTATGTAAATGCAGCAAGAACTCAATCATCTGTTGAATGAATTGTGTGAACAAATGGTGCGGAGAGTCACCTTTCTAACAACCTGCCACTGGTTTAAGCAACCAGATCACTGCTGACCATAATAAGAGGAGTTTCAGGAGAGTGGTGGGAATGAATGATCAACAGGCTGTGGAATAAAAGCATCCAAGAAATGGTAACAGAAAGCACAGACTATTCTTTAAAGAGGCTTTGTGATGAAAGGATGCAGAAAGATGGGCAGAAAGTTGAAAGGAAGCCAGGTCAAAGAGAGGTTTTTTGTTTTTGTTTTCCCGACACTAGAGTATATTTGTTAGCTGAAAGGAAGGGGCCAGAATCGATGGAGTAATGAAGGTTTAGGAACATTAATTTATACAGCAAATATTTTTTTACCTTTTTTATTGTGGAGAATAAAATAACGTGCAAAACAAACCAACCCTGCACAACCCCAACATCACCAAAGTATAGTTCACTGATTTACCACAAAGTCATGTGGCCAAGAAATATAACACTGTAACCCCTCATTCAATGTAACCACTTTTCTTATTTTGCCTTGGCTGTTGCCATCTAAATATGGACCTTAAAAACTGTGCTTTAGTTTGTCTGCTTTAAAACTTTATAAATAGAGGGGCGCCTGGGTGGCTCAGTTGGTTAAGCGTCTGCCTTCGGCTCAGGTCATGATCCTGGGGCCCTGGGATCGAGCCCCGCATAGAGCCCTCCATCGGGCTCCCAGCTCTGCAGGGAGCCTGCTTCTCCCTCTCCTTGCCCCCGGCTCATGCTCTCTCTCACTCTCTCTTAAGTAAATAACTAAAATCTTTGGAAAGAAAAAACAAAAAAACTTTATAAATAGAATCATATAGTTATTTATTCTTTTGTATCTGTCTGCTCAGCATTCTTACGTGATTTACCCAAGTACCTGCATATAACTGTGGTTTGTTCATTGTCTTTGCTGTATGGCACACTGTACCCCTGGGCCAAAGGCCTCAGTCTCTTTTTGTATGGCTTTCAAGCTAAGAATGGTTTTTACATTTTTTTAAGGATTTTATTTGAGAGAGAGAGTGAGTACAAGTGGCAGAGAAGAACAAAGGGAGAGGGACAAGCAGACTCTGTGCTGAGGGCGGAGTCTGACATGGGGCTTGATCCCATGACCCTGAGATCATGACCTGAGCTGAAATCAAGAGTTGGAGGTTTAACTGACTGAGCCACCCAGGCGCCCAGGTTTTTACATTTTTAAAGTGTTGGAAACAAACAATAAACAATAAGAATATGTGACAGACACAGTGTGTATTGGCTTGCAAAGCCTAAAATATTTACAGATTGTTTGTCAACCCCTGCTGTATCTCATGTATGAATATATCATAATTTATGAATCCACTCTACTGCTAGTGATCCATTTTCCACTTTTTGGCTATTACAAATAATGCTGCTATGAACGTCTTTGTTCTAGTTTCTTGATGTGCAAGTACCTTGATGGATGTAAACTGAGTGCATGCCTATGAATGGGATTACTGGATGAGGGTATACATATATTTGGCTTTAGAAGATAATGTCAAAAACTGCTTTCCAAAGTGGTTATAAGAGTATTTATATTCCTTCCAGCTATAGATAAAAGTTGCCACTGCTCCACATCCTGTCAGCACTTTATATTGTCAGTCTTTTTATTGGTAGCCATTCTGGTGGGTATGCAGTTGTAGCTCATTGTATTTTCTGATTAGTGAGGGTGAGCAACTATTTATTGGCCATTAAATATCCTCTTCTGTGAAGTCCCTGCATCTCTTACTCATGTTTCTATTGGGCTGTCTTTTTCTTATTGATTGACTGGAGTTCTTGATATATTCTGGATACAAGCCCTTTGCTGGTTATGTGTCTCAAATGTTTTCTTCTACTCTCTCAATGGAATCTTTTGATGAGGAGTTAATCAGTTTTAATGTAATAATAATTTATCAGTCTTTTCTTTTATGGCTAGTGCTTTTTGTAGCTGAAGACTATATTTCCACCCAAAGATCATGAAAATAACCTCCTATACTTTTTTTTTTTTTAATTTATTTGACAGAGAGAGAGAGACAGCCAGAGAGGGAACACAAGCAGGGGGAGTGGGAGAGGGAGAAGCAGGCTTCCCACAGAGCAGGGAGCCCAATGTGGGGCTCGATCCCAGGACCCTGGGATCATGACCTGCGCCGAAGGCAGACGCTTAACGACTGAGCCACCTAGGTGCCCACCTCCTATACTCTTATAGAAGCTTTTTTTTTTGCCTTTTTACATATATTTTACCTATTTTTGCCTATTTGCATATATATGTAAATATATATATATTTGTATGCTTACTTTGGCAGCACATATACTAAAATATATGTATATCTGTAATATACTTGGAAATGATTTTTGTGTGTGGCATGAGGTAGGGATTGTTTTATCTTTTTATATATGATTTTCCTAGCATGATTTGTTTAAAAAGGCTGTTACTTCCCTACTGTTCTGCAATTTCCAATGGTCATAAATCAAATGTCTATATATATATACAGTTCTGTTACCTGGCTCTCTATTTTATTGCACAAGTATATTTTCTATACTTCTTTCAATGACATTTTGTCTTAATTAAATTTAGAGTAAGACTGGATACTTGGTAAAGCAATTCTTCCTATCTTGATTTCTTTGGGAGCGTTTTAGCTATTCTTGGTCCTTTGTACTATATATTAGAATCAGTTTATCAAGTTTCGTACAAAAAACTTCTTAAAATTTAAATTCCATCTGCATTAAGGCTATAGTTATGCTGTCCAATATGGTAGCTACTAGCAACAAACAGCCACTGAGCACTTGAAATACGGTTAGCCCAAATTGTAAGTGTAAAATGCACCCTGGAAAAAATATAAAATGCACACTGAGTTTCAAATAAGTATGAAAAAAATGTATCATATGTCATGAATCATTTTCTAATGTTGATTATATGTTGAAATGATAATATCTTGTATATATTGAGTTAAATAAAATATGTTACAATTAATATTTTTTTACTTTTTAAATGTTGCTACTAAAAAATTTAAAATTAAGTATGTGGCTCACATCACATTTCTATTGGAAAATGCTCATCTATACAAACCCACATCTTTACAATACTGTGTCTGTCACAATGCGAATATGGTACAACCTTCCAGGTTATTTTGGCCTTTTAAATTTTCTTTAAATAAAATTTCCTAGTTTTTTGCATAGAGTTTTTGTATAACTTTTGCTAGATTTAGCCCTAGTTATTTGAGTTTTTTATAGTATTGTAAAGACTATCTTTTTAAAAAATTCCATTTTCTGTTGTTAGTATATAGATATGAAATAGATTTTATTTATTGACCTTTGATCCAACAACTTTGCTAAACTCTTATTAATTCCAAGAATGTATATGAAGATTTGGATTTTCTATGGACACAATCTTGTTATATAACAATGACAATTTTACTTTTTTTTTTTTAAAGATTTTATTTATTTATTTGACAGAGACAGAGACAGCGAGAGCAGGAACACAAGCAGGGGGAGTGGGAGAGGGAGAAGCAGGCTTCCTGCCGAACAGGGAGCCCGATGTGGGACTCGATCCCAGGACCCTGGGATCATGACCTGAGCCGAAGGCAGTCGCTTAACCAACTGAGCCACCCAGGCGCCCTACTTCTTTCTTTTTAAACCTTAAACCTTACTTCTTTTCCTGGTCTTACTGTACTTGCTAGTATCTCCAGGACAATGTGAACGGAAGTGGAATAATGGATGTCCTTCTCATATTCCAAATCTCAAAGGTGAAGCTTTCAATATTTTAACATTAACATGAGGATTATATGAGTACTCCTTTGGAGATGTAACCCAGAGCCCTGGATGCCTGGGTATTTCTGCTTGGGGCAGGGGCCTTGTCTCTGGCCATACTTGGTGGTGGGCATGAATAAAGGCCAAAGGCTCCAACATTTGTGTGGCCAGGAAAAAAAATAACATGAGTACTCTAAATCTACGGGGCTTGTTCATATTTGAAACACATTAATATTAACATCCTAATATCGATGAATAAAATTTCATATTTTAGTTTGAAGCATTTATTTTTAAATCTCATCAAAACATATCCATTAGGGAGTACTTACTTAAGAATCATAGTCATTGTTTCTTTTCGGTCTTTTCCTTGGAAAGGTAGTGTACCAGTGAGCATTTCAAACTACAAAAAAGGCAATATCATCAGAGGTATATTAGTTAATAAGTACAAAATCTCAAGGCCAGAAAGTAAAAAAGCATCATCTTAATTCAAACCAAATCTTGTAAAATTGCTATATAATAACAAGTGATTTATAGTTCTACCATATTACTAAACTCAAAAAAACACCCCAATCCTTACCATTAACACACCAAAAGACCACCAATCTGCACTCTGAGTATGACCTCGACGATTAACTACTTCGGGAGCCATGTATTCCACAGTTCCACAGAAGGAATATGCCTTCTTTTCATGGTCAATAGACTCTTTACTTAGGCCAAAATCTGCCAAAATAAATATAAAATTCATAAATATCCTACAATAATTTCCACATTTAAAGTTTAAGCTTTGAGTTCTAATATTTACATTTATTATTAAAAAATTCTAATCCTAGTTTTCAAGGCAATGTGTTAGTCAATATTTGTACCACAATCAACCTCAAAAGAAATTATGTAGAAGAGAATATTTTAATAAAATGAGGATTTTTACCTGTTAACTTGATGTGACCTTCTTCATCAAGAAGTATGCTGAAAGAAAACAAAGTCAGAAAATCTTTTCAAACCACTAGATATTTATAGAACCTGGAACTGAAACTATGGTGTTAAGCACCAGATCACCACATTTGTTCTAAAATATTGTTTTAGACTGTGAATAGGGGAAAGGTAAAAAGGGAGAAAAATGTTTGGGACACATATATATAACAAAACCCAAAGGCAAAGCCTTATAAATGTGTATTAAGGGCACCTGAAAACTATTAGGAAAAGAACCAAAACCTATACTCTAATTTCTAGTTGCTCTTTCCAATGCCTTTCTGCAGAGTTGGCCTAACTAAAATCCCTAGCGCTTGCACAATAGACAGAGGGTCCACATATTTAAGTCAATTGCATAAAAGTTGTCATTTTCTTGGTCATTTTTTGGGCATCTGACTCAATCATTCTTTCCTAGTTTCTCCATCCAATCCTCTTTTTCTTTTTTTTAGAGCAGGGGACAGGGAGAGGGAAAGGGAGAGAGAATCTTAAGTAGGCTCGATGCTGGACGCGGGGCTTGATCTCACAACCCTGAGATCATGACCTGAGCTGAAATCAATAGTCGAACACTTAACCAACTGAGCCACCCAGGCACCCCCTATCCAATCCTCTTTTTTTTTTTTTTTAAGATTTTATTTTATTTATTTACTTGAGAGAGAGACAGAGAGAGTGAGAGAGAGAGCACAAGAGAGGGTGGGGTCAGAGGGATAAGCAGACTCCCTGCCGAGCAGGGAGCCCAATGTGGGACTCAATCCTGGGACTCCAGGATCATGACCCAAGCCGAAGGCAGTCGCTTAACCAACTGAGCCACCCAGGTGCCCTCCAATCCTCTCCTTAACACAACCTCCTTATACCCCTTGTTTTTCACTGACCCATCCCTTCACTGTATACATTCTCCAATGTTTTCTCTCTTTCTCAGTAAACTCTGAGCTTCTAGGTTTGACCTTATTCATCTTGTAGCTTAATGCCTGGCAGAGTAGAGACAAATAAGAAACGTATGTTGAATGCATGGGGCCAGTCTACAAAAAGTCAATAAGGCATTCCAAATAGTTTGGGCTTCTCAAGGGCACTGAAGATCATAAAAAGTTTATATGCATGAAAGGTAGAGATCATCAGATCTGCATTTTCATAGAACAATTTAGAGGGGAAAGTAAAGGGTATTTAGTGAGCTCTTAGATATGGATCATGATAAAGAACAAATGGAGAAGATACTCAGGTTTCTGGCTTTAGGAGATACTTGAGTGGAGAATAATGTCATTAATTAACAAGTTATAGGAAGGGATAAGTACTAGGCTATAGGCCAATAATTCTATTTCTGGATAGGTATTTTAGTATACTGACTTGAAAGGCCAAGTAATAAACTGCTTCACTTATATTCAAAACCATTTCATAACATAAGCATTTCCTTACTTTTAATTCTAACTAAAAAAAATGTGAAAGCCAAATTTTGCTATATAAAATTTTACTATGTCAGAAATACTTACCAACCTTTCTACATCAATTCAAATAGGATTACAATAAAGTTTACCACTGAGGATAATTCAGTAGGGACTTATTTTTCATGTCTTCTTCGTAAGGGACTTATGAAAAAAATACAAATCTTAATTATGCTTGATTACAAAGCAGACCAACCATTTACGGAATATAAAGGGAATTATTAGGTATGGTGGAAATCATCCTCCCTTCTGTCTAATAAATGCATGAAAGACAATTCTAAAACTTCAAATTACTCTTCATAATTTTGAGAAAAAAAGAGAACATAGCTAAAAGAACATTACTTATGCCTTCTATAGCAAATGGATTTTTTTTAAGATAATCATGCCCATCCTTTATCTTTGAAAGAAAAAGCCAACTGTATTACTCTCAATAGGCAAAGTTTCCTTTCAACTACTACTAATAATTTTCAGCCATATTTATTATAACAGAGTTCTGGTTTAAAAGAATGTGGAAAACCCCTTATAGTGCATAAAACAACTGGTCTAAAAATTGGGATTTCTTCCATGTTCTATATGATGGTATATACTTGAATTATTTAAGAACTAAATGTTATTTCAATTACTGGCGTCATGTAGGCATCTTTGTGAAAAATCTCACTTCTTACTTATATTTGATCTTATTCGACTTTAAGAAGGGCCCATGCTGTATACATAATTTTATGACCAATGCTAATCCAATGTTTACAATAAATACATTCAACTAAATGACATAAAACACTAACACATTTTTATTATGAATGTTTAAGCTTATGTTTATAGTAATTTTTTTCTTCTAAGGACTATATGCTTGAATATTTATTCTCACTGGGAATTATATTTTGTGTCTTGACAGTTGGAAATCAGGAAAATGATGAGAAAAACTTAATAATTATCTGAGGAATAACAACGGAGCCATATGAAACTTATCCAAAACCAAAATGTATGAAAAACAAAAGTAAAATGTGAAAGTATAATTTCTAAATGATCATGTAATAGGATTCCAAAGGATCATTTCCTGTTTCCTTCTGTAATATATAATTTAAATTTTGCATGTAACATTTTTTTTTATTATTTTTTTAAAGATTTTATTTATTTATTTGACAGAGAGAGAGTGTGCGAGCACAAGCAAGGGAAACGTGGGCAGAGGGAGAGGGAGAGGGAGAAGAAGGCTCCCCACTGAGCAGGGAGAGCCCTATGCAGGGCTTGATCCCAGGACCCTGGGAACATGACCTGAGCCAAAGGCTGACGCTTAACCGACTGAGCCACCCAGGCACCCCATATGTAACATTTTAATGTAAGTAATATCCAAATTCTTTTTTAAAAAGATTTATTTATTTATTTGAGAGAGACAGAGAGAGCGCGCGTGTGAGCGTGAATGGGGGGAGGGGCAGAGGAGAAGGAGAGAGAAAATCTTAAGCAGGCTCCATGCCCAGCACAGAGCCTGATAAAGGGCTCCATGTCACAACTCTGAGATCATGACCTGAGCCGAAATCAAGAGTTGAACACTTAACCAACTGAGCCGCCCAGGCGCCTCAAATATTAGCTTCTTGATACTTGCTACTACAAAAACAATGGGAAATTTGCTCAACTCACACTAAAAATTTGAGATGATGTGGAGAAGAAAATTTTCAGGGGCTCAGGTCATGACCTCAGGGTTGTGAGACTGAGCCCCACATCAGGCTCCATGCTGGATGTGGAGCCTGCTTAAGATTCTCTCTCTCCCTCTGCCCCCCCTGCTCATGCATGCTCTCTCTCCCCCTCTCTAAAAAAAAAAAAAAAATTCAATAAATGGTATTTGAAGGAAAGCATTAGCTCTATGCTATCCTTCATACCAAAAAATTTCCAGACGGAGTTAAAAGTAAAAAAAGAAACCATAAAATAAGAAGAAAAGTATCTGATTATGGGATTGGAAAAGTTTTTTAAGAATAAAAGTCATGGAAGAGATCACAAAAGATTGGTATATCTGACAGAGAAAAAAATACTTGTGTAGGTAAAAATAGAGTAAGTTAAAAAAATTTTTAAAGATTTTTATTTATTTGAGAGACAGTGAGAATGAGAGAGAGAGAGAGCACATGAGAGGGGGAAGGGTCAGAGGGAGAAGCAGACTCCCTGCTGAGCAGGGAGCCCGATGCGGGACTCGATCCCGGGACTCCAGGATCATGACCTGAGCTGAAGGCAGTCGTTTAACTGACTGAGCCACCCAGGCGCCCCAGAATAAGTTAAAATTAAAAGACAAACTAAAAAAGCTATTTGCAATATATGTCAAATGGTTAAATTCTTAATTTCTAAAGGTCCCTTACAAAACAATGGGAAAAAAATATTCCAAGATAAATGAATGAAGGCCATGAACAGAAAAATCACAAAAATACAAATTGCCAATAAACATATGAACATGGATTTCAACCTCATTAAAAAAAAATGCAAATGAAGACAAGGTAACAATAACAGATATTATGATTGGCAGATTTTTAAAAGTATGAGATTACACAGTGTTAGCAGAAATGTGAAGCACAGGCACTCTAATGTAATTCTTGTGGTAGTTCTACGAAGTAATTTTATTTTTTATTACCTCCTAAATAATTATATAACATTGTATTCAACTTAGTAGCATGATTCCTTACTTTTCTGGTTTTAAGTCTCTATAGATTATTCCCAGGCTATGTAGATGGTCTAAAGCAAGTGCAAGTTCAGCCAAGTAGAATTTGACATCTTCTTCTGTGAACATCACCTAAAATAAAATAATAATTTTTCTGTCTTATTCTCTTTCTGTGTCTGTAGTTTTTATTTAAAATCCATCCTAGAGTTTAAATATTCAAAAAGTTATAAATATGCTAATCACATGTAGTTTTATCGACAATTTACTAATGAAAGGAACTTGCAAAAATGATCGAATCAGTCAACTAATCACTTTCTAAATGCTAAATGTGCAGTGTGGGGGAAATAATTTTACATATTGTTAAGTAACATCTATATTCAGATTGTGCCATTGTTGGCCTACCACAGTAACATCTTAAAAATGAAAAACGATCTTTTAAATGCATACTGAATTTCCACTACTAATTGTTTAAGGATATCTTGATATATTATTGCTTCTGAAAAATTGTAACTAAAAGAAGCAGGACAAAAGACAAAGACAGTTTATCAATTTAAAGTCCTACTTTCAGAATAACTTCAAAAGGTAGGAAAAGAACTCTTTTTGGCTCTAATTCCTTAATGTAAGACTCTTGTACCACTACAGAAAATACGATAAACATAATATTGAAATATAACAAAGCTTTAGTTAAAATAGGATGCGTATAGATAGATTAAAAATAGAGATTAATTACATACCTCTTTGGATAAGCGTGTAAACAAATCTCCTCCCCTGAGAAAATCCAAAATAAGATACAACTTCCCTTCAGTTTGAAAAGCTGAATGAAGAAATGAAAATTTCTGTTTAACCACCAGAGTTTATTTTTTTGGCTTACATTAGGTCAACTGATTCACAAATAAATATTATTTTTAAGCAAATTAATGATTATATCATAGATCTAAACTGATTTTTACTGAGAAGATAACCACTGATTGCTCCTAGTTTCCATGTGGAAATGTTAAAGGCAGTGTTTCTCATCATGGAACCACTAGAACATTTGTTGCATTTTCTTCAGGCAATAGTCTCCCAGGAATATAGTAGTTTTAAAACATGTGATCAATAAGAAAAATTCCCAACATGGTTACTTAACCAGGAAACAAAATACAAGAACCATGTCACTTAAGTGCAGGAAAAATGTGGGTTGGCTAGCTTTAATTACACATATTAAGGGTATTTTACCCACTGAGAAAACTTTACCCACTGAGAAAAAGTACATACACCTTTGGGGAAAAGAAAGGTGATAAAAGCTTCAGGATGTTGACATTAGGGTTCTGTCTTGTTTTTAGGAAAAGTTGGGCTAACACATATGGACTATAAAATGCTGGTACAGTTATTAATTATTATAATAAAAAACAATTATTATGATTTATTATGAATTATTATGAAAACAATGATTATTATTACCTATTCCTATGGCTACTACTCAGAAACATAAGTATAAATGCAATAAAGGCTTTTAAAGTTTAAGAAGTAATGGCTTAATTTCCATGACTTTATCTGTTAAACACATATAAATATACACAAGTAAATATTTATATACATTAATATATCTGAATGCACTCAGGGAGTGGGGGATCAAGTGGAGGGATGAGGCTGCAACTGGTTCATAACTTACCATAATGCAACTTGACAATAAAAGGATGATTAACTTCTACCAAGATATCACGCTCCATTTTTGTCCGAACACGATCTCGAACTACAAAATATTGTACATATGGCTGTACTACAATAGCTTTCAGAGACAGTCTTTAAAACAAAATCTCTTTGGTGCCTATTTTAAATAAAATTATGCTAAAATGTGAATTCATATTTTTATACATACCAATAAAATTATTTATATGTACAAATAAAACTATTAGTCTTGAATTTTCAAAATTAATATTTTTTTATTAAATTATACAAATTTTGTTTATATTTATAAAATCTGTGCTTTAGGTTAAAAAAAACCAGAGAACATATCAGATGTTGAATCAGATGTTGGCTTTAACATTAAATTTACAAGTATTTTATTTTATTTTTTTTTAAGATTTTTTATTTATTTATTTGAGAGAGAGACACAGCAAGAGAGGGAACACAACAAGCAGGGGGAGTGGGAGAGGGAGAAGCAGGCTTCCCGGGGAGCAGGGAGCCTGATGTGGGGCTCGATCCCAGGACCCTGGGATCATGACCTGAGCCGAAGGCAGACGCTTAACGACTGAGCCACTCAGGTGCCCCAAATTTATAAGTATTTTAATCAAAGTTATGAAAAATGACCAAAAAAGAGTAACTTTTTAAAAATGAGGCATCCCAATGAAATATTAAAATACACACAAAAGAAAATGCAATAGGTTTCACTACCCCTACCAACCCTATCAACTCATTTCAACAAGCATTCATTAAGCATCTGTAAAGCATGACAGACATGGTGACGGATGGCTGTACCCAAAAGGTCTATTTTGGGGGAAGGAGGAAAGGGAGAGGAAGAAAAAATAATGTGGTGCAGCTGAAAGAGCAAAGGCTTTATAGAGTTAAAAAAAATCGGATTCAGATCTGTGTAATCTGGGGCGCCTGGGTGGCTCAGTTGTTAGGCATCTGCCTTTGGCTTGGGTCATGATCCCGGGGTCCTGGGATCGAGCCCCGCGTCGGGCTCCCTGCTGGGCGGGAGGCCTGCTTCTCCCTCTCCCACTCCTCCTGCTTGTGTTCCCTCTCTCGCTGTCTCTCTCTCTGTCAAATAAAATAAATAAAATCTTAAAAAAAAAGATCTGTGTAATCTTAAGCAAGTTACCTACTTAAACTCTTTGAGCCTCCGTTACCCCTCACCTATAAAATAGAGATAACACCACTGTACCTTTGTGGGCTGTGTGACCATTTGAGATAAGGTCTGTACATCCCAGAGCCTGGTATATAGGAGATATTCAATTAAATGGTAGCTATAGCACCATGAATATGATAAAGGGATAAAATGACTTATAACTAGCAGTAAGTAGTACAGAAATTCAGAGAAGGTAAAGATGAGTTTTACTTGCATGGGAAAGCAAGAAGGAAGAGGTGGAGTTAGGAACTTTTGGAGTGGAATTTAGATGGATATGAAGGATCAGGCCTAAAAAAGAAAAGTCCAGGTATGCAAGCAAGGACATGGAGGCATGCATGAGGAAAAGAAAGGAACCAAATCGGTATGGAAATTGGGGAGGTGAAACTGGGAAGACCCAGATTCTTGACAATTGGTAATGGCAGATAAATTTATTTGATCCTGTAGGTAAAGCTCTCTTTTACCAACTAATGATTTCCTGAGCAAATTCTATGTACCAGGTACTGTGAGATACAAATACAAACAAAATAATCTTCAAGGAGCTCATAATCTGGTGGGAATGACAGACAACTAACTAAATAGAATACATTCTGATAAATATTCTGTGTTGGTAGCTCAATGGATTTAAGTGGTGAAAATAATCATTCATTAAAATTTTATTATTCTTTTCTGTTGCATAATAAGGATAAATCATAAATGACTTGCAATCTTCAGGCCAGAGTGACTGAATGGTTATGTCAAAGATTAAGCAGAAAGAACAGGAAAGAGAGTCTTCTGTGGGGGGAGGGTAGGGACAGAGAGAAAGATGAACTGGTATTCTTTTCAATATAAAGTGACCAGATACTCTCATGTGCTCTCTCTCTCTCTCTCTCATTCTCTCTCTCAAATAAATAAATAAAATCTTAAAGTGACCAGATATTTAAAACACAGAAATAAGACCCCTGGAAAAAAGAAACAATATAAAAAAAAATCCAATGTTTCCCATTCTACCAGTTTTCCACTTCCAATTAAGAGATTTCGGTGCCAGTGACTGAAAATGGGCAAACCAGATATAGAAATCATTTTGCTCTTGATATCTATAAAGCTCTGTCTTTTAAATGACTTGTCCAGCAAGTATATCAATTTCATTATCTTATCCTATCACAATAACTCTGGTGTGTTCTATCCAACAGGCCCCTTCTATTATTTCTATGAATGAGGTTCATCACCTAGGTCTGCTGATAATTCTGTTCCAGTCTAGCCCACATCTGTGCTTTTCCTACTGCTACCCATATGATCTTGGATTCAGTTTCTATTACCTTAAAGCTGGATTCCAAATTTCTATCTCTTTCAATAATTATACAAAGATTACAAAGCTTATCATTTAGAACTTAACTCTCTGCTCAGTGAGCAGCAAAAATACCCATCAATGTATTTACTGTATATCCCTCATCTATTATTCTACCACAATAAAAAGAACAATTATTTGGGAGTCAAGAACTACAGGTTTCAGTGGCCTTGCTAGTAACTAGATGAATTACCTGGTCAAATTCTTAACACTGCTCAGGGACTTCCAGCTTTCTTCTCTATAAAATGAGAGGCTAGAACAAGATGATTTTTTTCTATTATGATTATCCTGTGAGGTGGTTTCCTTACATGTAACACTGATGAGAACTTGTTTAGTTGAAAATGAGCAGCGAGATTTACTTACTCAAGAATTCCTTCATTTTGTCTGAGGCAGGACTGTGTAATAATTCTAATCTGGTTTCTTTTACTCATGTAAAGTCCTACATCATGCTACAATCAGGAATTTTGATTAGGATATACTGGTTTAGAAGAAGGCATGTTTTATATTGGTTAAACTCTAAACCCTAAAATAGAATTTGTTAATAATGACTCATGCTGGCAAAGCAACTACATTCCTCTGAAATAATTTTTCTCATATAGTAGTTATTAGATTTTAAATCCTCCTTGACTTGAACCTAAGAGTGAACAAGAAGAAATGCTGTTTATGTTTCTAGGGTTATGTATTTTTTTTTAAAGATTTTATTTATTTATTTGACAGAGACACAGTGAGAGAGGAAACACAAGCAGGGGGAGTGGGAGAGGGAGAAGCAGGTTTCCTGCTGAGCAGGGAGCCCGATGCGGGGCTCGATCCCAGGACCCTGGGATCATGACCTGAGCCGAAGGCAGACGCTTAACGACTGAGCCACCCAGGCGCCCCTCTAGTGTTATGTATTAAGAAACTTTAAGGCCCACAGACTATTGTATTAGGACAAAAGTCCCTACAAACTCAACTTAACACTACTGACTTCTATTTGACCCCATTTATTGTATTAATAGGAACTCTGAAATAGAAAGAGACTTCTGGTTAAACATAAATGTTTTACTTTCTACTTTCTTCCAAAGTCCCACTGAAATCACTATAATGGAAAAATTATGCATAAAATCACAAGGACAAAGAACAGGAGAGGAAGCAAGAGCAGATGAGTAAGTGGTAACTTACACAGTAGATAAGAGAATGCTAAAAGCTAAGCCTAAGGGAATGAAGTCAATGAGAAATAAGGAAATTCTTGCCATAGAACTCATTCCAATTGGCTATTTGGTACCTTACTCTTTTTTTTTTTTTTTAAGATTTATTTATTTATTTGGGAGCGAGAGAGAGAGGAGAAGGGCAGAGGGAGGGGGGACAATATCAAGCGGACTCCCCACTAAGCATGGAGCCCAAAGCGGGGCTTGATCTCACGACCCTGAGATCATGACCTGAGCCGAAACCAAGAGTTGGGACACTCAACCAACTGAGCCACCCAGGTGCCCTGGTGCCTCACTCTTAACCAACTGAGCCACCCAGGCGCCCCCTGGTGCCTCACTCTTAAATGTGAAAAAGTTAGCAAAGGATCTCCAGGCACTTGAGGAAAGGCTCTAAAGATGAAAAACAGTTATCAAAATAAGCAGAAAAAAGGGAATAAAGGGAAATAGAGATAATGTAAAGAAGAGGGGAAAACCTAAAAACCAACCTTGTAATTTAAATACCCCAACAGAGCAAAGACCATACGGTACCCATGAAACAAGAAGCTTTAAAAGGCGTAGGGGGGAAGGAACCAGTATCTTCAACAAATAAACTACAAAGAAAAAAAACGGAGACAAAGTTCGTGGATTAAAAGACCTAAAGAGAAATCAACCAACTACAAAATAGAGCTCTTCTATAGATCTCGATTCAAACCAATTGCAAAAAGAGAGATGAATTACAACAACAGCACAACTGGAAATTCAAACATTGATTAGACATCTATATTAATTTTTTAGGTATAGTGATAGAGTTGTATTATTTCTTTTAAGAATCTTTATCTTTTAGAGATACATACTAAAATATTTACAGAAGAAATTGTACAATGTCTAGGATATGCTTCATAGTATCAAGAGAGGGGAAAAGAAAGGACACAGATGCAAAAAAAAATTGACCGTGAGTTGAGAAATGGTGAAGCAGCAAGGAGGGTAAATGGGGGTTCTCTATATTCTTTTGTTTCTTTCTGTAAATGTTTGACACTTGCCATAATAAAAAGTTTTTAAAAATAGAGAACAAGGAAAATCTAGGAAATTAAAAATGCTGGTAGAAACAAAAACGTCAATAGAAAGTTTGAAAGATAATTGGTAATATTTCCTAGAAAATAGAAAAAAAAGACAAAACTGGAAAACAGTAAGGAAAAAGATTAAGAAATGATCCAGGAAGTCCAACATATTCAAAGAGCAGGAGTTACAAAATGGGGAAGAAAAGACAAAATACTTTGCCAAAATTGAAGAAATGAGTTTCTAGACTGGAAGAGACCATCCCATACCTGGTATGGTGAATTTTAAAAGTTCACACTAAAGAAATACCACTACAAATTCGAGAACACCAGGGATAAAGAATAGAGTGGTTCTAGACTTCCAAAGAGGAAAAGCAGCTTACGTACAAAGGAATGGAAGTCAGTATTGCAATAAACCTCATAATTGCAAGACAGGAAACTGGAAGACAATGGAAACAATGCCTTCAAATATCTGAGGGAAAATTATTTCTCACCTAGAATTTTACACTCAGCCAAATTATAAATTGAGGGGTAGAATAAAGGCATTTTAAGACATTCAAAGTCACAAAAATTTTACCATCCATTCACCCTTTCTGAGGTAGCTACTAGGAGATGTGTTCTACCTAGACTGGTGAGTAAACTGAGAAAGAGGTAGACACAGAATTTAGAAAATGAGATCTAATACAGCAAAGATGTGAAGGTAATGTGACTCCAGTATACTATTTGGCTTACTTAGGAACAGTTCTTATAAAGCTGTAATAATGTGGGACACATGGGTGGCTCAGTTGGTTAAGTGTCTGCCTTTGGCTCTGGTCATGATCCCAGGGTCCTGGGATCGAGTCCCGCATTGGGCTCCTTGCTCAGCGGGGAGCCTGCTTCTCCCTCTGCCTGCTGTTCCCCCTGCTTGTGCTCGCGCACTCTGTCTCTCTGGCAAATAAATAAATAAAATCTTTTTTAAAAAAGAAAGCAAGCTGTAGGGCGCCTGGGTGGCTCAGTTGGTTAAGCGACTGCCTTCGGCTCAGGTCATGATCCTGGAGTCCCGGGATCGAGTCCCGCATCGGGCTCCTTGCTTGGCAGGGAGTCTGCTTCTCCCTCTGACACTCCTCCCTCTCATGCTCTCGGTCTCTCATTCTCTCTCTCTCTCAAATAAATAAATAAAATCTTTAAAAAAAAAAAAGAAAGAAAGAAAGCTGTAATAATGAAAACATTACTGGGCAGACATGAAAGGTGGAATTATGTGTGGGTGGTAGCATGAAAGAACTAAATCCTAATCTGCCATGTTAGGAAGTCAATAAATTATGTCACCAAATGAAAACAATCAAAGAACTGCAAAAAAGAATATTGAATATGGAGGTAAATGACAGAAATAGCAGTTAAAGAGATGAAAGTCATTGTCTCTGAGGGTCGAGAATTGGAATAGGGAGAAGGGTTGGTAAGGCAATGCTATTTTGTAAGATTCTATATACATATTACTTTGAAAGAAATTAAAATTGAATTTAAGAATGCATTAAAGTTATCTGACAGCTTACAATTCCAGTATGTCAAATACTTTCATTTTCCAGGGTTTCTTTTATAGCTTATATCCATATAATTTTATATACTTGTGGTAGCCAAATTTGTTATAATTGTTCACTTACATATTTTCATTAAGTTCATTTTGGGGATTATATCTGAAATATTTCTTTTAAATAATATCCTATTAAATGGTATACTATAATTTTTAAACATTCCTCTATTTTCAATATTTGTGTGATTTCTAAATTCTCAACATTATAAATTAATGTTGCTGCAAGAATTTTCAAGTGCATGAATTCTTTCTTTGAGATTATTTTCTCAGGTTAATTTAGCAGCAATAATGGCTCTCTGTATATATTGCAAAACCACTTTCCAATTTATGTTGACATTATATGAAATGATAACATTATTTTACATGTATTTCTTTATCATCAAAATGGAACATTTTTCCAAACATTATTTTATCCCCCTTCATAAAATTCATTCTGAAATCCTTTTAGGTAGAGGTTGTAATGCTACTTTTCAGGACCTCCTAACTCAATTATTCCTTTTACATTTATTAGTTGGAATTCCACTATAAGGAAGAGCTTTCCCTTGCTCCCCATTACTTAATTTATGGATCAATCCATGGATTTTTGCTTTATTCAGTGGTTTATTCTAGCACTATCATTAATTATTGCAATTTTCAAATTGTCCTAGATTTGGCCCGTAGGAGCCCTGTACTCATTCCTTGTATTATTATTTTCTAGTATTTGAGGCAAGTAATTTCATGATTTCTTATTTATACTATTTTTCATTGTGTGAAAGGCTAAAATTTTTGCAGTGTCAATCTGTTTATAACTTGTAATTTGCTCAATATCTGTTCACAAGTTTCCTAGATATGTTAAGTTGTAATATTCAGTTAGATTGTTTGGTTAGATTGTTAGATTTTTTTTATGGCATAGGGTTTAAGAGAAGACTAATTTTTTTTCCAGGTTGCTCAGGAGTATTTCAAACAAAATTTGTGAAACCATTATTTCTCATTGTTCTGTATACCTGGTTTGCCATATAGCACAGCACATATTCTCTTTGATGTGTATGCTCTTCAAATGAAATTTTAAATAAAGGAAAATTCAATTGGAATCTTGATGATATAGAGCTAATTGGATGGCTAGATGAATACTGAGATTCTTAACAACAGTTAGCCTTCTCTAAAAGGAAATGGGCATTTATTTCCTTCCCTGATATCTTTTAGGTTTTTCAGTTTCATAGTTTCCTTTACGTATATTATGCACAACACAGATCCTATTAAATATATGAAACCTACTCTTGTTGTTTTTGTGAATGACCTCTTTTGTGTAAGTTCCACCAATGTAGTTTTATAACTTGGGAGTAGGCATAAAGTTATACAAGTAGTGATATAAAGTAGGGCACTGAGGATATAATTTAACTCCCTGGTCCTAGCAAGAATCAAGTAAGTAGTGTGCCAGTTGCAGAGACTAGATAGGAAAGAAAATACATTCAGGAAGGGAACAAGAGAAAGGAAGCAAAGGAAGGTGTTTATAGAGAATGGTGGAATTTCTTGGAATAAGGATATCCAGGGTAGGTGAGTAACTGGAAAGAATAACATCAGAAATAATAAATGATCATCACAAATATTCCTTCCTGAATATTTTATTATTTTTTATTTTAAGATTTTGTTTATTTATTTGACAGAGAGAACACAAGCAGGGGGAGTGGAAGAGGGAGAAGCAGGCTTCCCGCCGAGAAGGGAGCCCAATGCGGGCTCGATCCCAGGACCCTGGGATCATGACCTGAGCCGAAGGCAGACGCTTAACAACTGAGCCATCCAGACACGACCCCCCCTTCCTGAACATTTTTAAAAGCTTTAAAATTACATGTAAATTGCAGAGGAAAAAAATGATGCTGGGAATCAATACATTAACAACTACAGCTTATGTGGTAAAATAACCAAAACTACTAAATAAAAGATTTAAGTATTTTTAAAACTATGTATAATTTCTTCTAAATGACTACTTACCTAAAAGAATCAAATCCTATATAAGATTCTTCAAAATCAGAGGCTTAGAATAAAAACTTACTTGGAGACCAGAAGTCAAGATGATAAAGTCCTTAAGATAAAAGCTATTTTGCATTGGGTAAATCAGTAGGTTTTCAAAACATTAAAATAATCACACTGATTTGAAGATGAATCAAACCCAGTTTGAATTTTCTAAACCTCTACTTGCATAAACCCAAGATGAATTTATAATACTTCTTTTGTAACATGGCAACTCCTATTCTCACTAGTCATATGATTCCTAGCCCAGTAGGAAAAATTCACTAAAAGTCTAAATTTAAAGACAGTAACAGGAACAGATTCAGAATGTAAGTAATTGGCCTAGGAGTCACTGGAGATCTGTTGAGACCTTTCAGTTTGCTTAGACTATGCAAACAGTATAAACAGTTGCAGCACTCACCTTTCAATGTGGCCTTCTTCAATACTTTCATGGCATAAAGCTGTCTAGCATCAGAGCCTGAGATTTTTTTGACTAAGAAAACCTGTATTTAAATGAGAGAAAATAAGTTTTACAAAGTATCACAAACTATGCCATTGTTAAAAATAAGACCCTTTCTATAATACAGTGTATTATTAGAGAGACTCTGATACACTGTAGATGCTTATTTTTCTTATGTAACAATTATAATTACAATGAGTTGTAAACAGTGGTAATAACTTGGGGTGTCAACATAAGTGAATACATTGTTTTTTTTCTTTTTGTTGTCTGCCAATGCCCAGAGCATGTAATATATAAGTCACAAAAATCTTTAAACTGTGTAATTAAAGTCTAACATGTTTAAAGTATAACACAAGTGGTCATTGCTCTGCTTTTAACAAAACAAAAATTCTTCCGATTTGATAAAAATTGTCACACAGGAGTTCCCCTTGACCACCATTTTCCGTTGATACAATTATTCACTGATAATTGGTCTTGTCTATGTATGAAAACTGTACATAAATTTCTCATCGCTGGGAAGAACAATTAAAACACACTGAAGAAGCCTATTCACAAATATTTAATGTGACAAGACAGAACCCTACCTTTCAACCTTTTAAAAATCAAATTATCACATATACCTAAATATGAAGAACACAGTTCCTAGGTATGTTACTGAGCCTCTTGATTTTCCAAATTATTTTTATCTGCTTTCAAAATATAGTGTGAAATTTATGCAAAAAGAATAAAGTCTGCTCTAAATAATTCATAGTCATGCTATAATATGGCTAATACAAAACTATAAATCTTTTCTGTTCATTTTGACCATTAAGTTTGTGATCTTTTTTTAAAGTTTTTATTTAAATTCCAGTTAGTTAACATACAGTGCAATATTAGTTTCAGGTGTACAATATAGTGATTCATGATCTTTTTCATTCAATCTTTAAACATATTTGCTAAATGGACCTGAATTTGAACTTTTTTCTTCTATTCTTTCCTAGCAGTTGCTATTGAGTTGCCACAGATGGGAAGAGAAGCAATTATAATTGAGAATTAACTTTCAGGTCAGCTCTCAATGATCTGCACTAGCATGCCAGGCTATTAGCAAAAATAAAAAAATGCTACATTCAACTGATTCTAGGGCGAGGCAGAGTTCCTCACTTTGAGAAGCTGTGCCAAAGGTGATTGGCAATGACCTCAAAAGTTTAGTGAAGAGCACCACAACTTGCATAGAAACCCTGATGCATTGTGTGTTCCTCTCCCCAAATCACTCCCTCTTGTCCCTTCCATGATGCCCCACCCTTTAGTTCTTTTTAGCCAGTTAGTAGTGAGCCCAACTAGGGAGAAAAAAGCATTCTTAATCAGGTTCCTAAGATGGAATGATGTTCAAATGTTAAAGATAATCAGAGATTATTAATATTTTTGAACAGAAAAAAATTCTAATTAGGTGGAGATAATTAGGATTTATCTGGTATTTATTCTTAAGATTCCCTAATCAAGCTTCTTTGTGCCATTCCACAAGAAAAGTTCTCCTTGTGGATTCCAAACTTTTTTCACCCTTCTTTGAAAGTACCTTAACACTTTTCAGCACTTCTTAGTTTACAAAGGACCTCCACAAGCATTTGTAATACGTCATCATGATAATTTTGGGAGGCAGGCAGACTAAGGAATGCCTATTTATAGCTGCCCAAGCTAGGGCTTAGAGAGGTTAAATAATTTGACTAGTGTCACGGTGGAGGTATTGGAACAAGAACCAGGCCAGCCACCCAGTTCTGTGCTCTTGCTCAGGCGCTCTTAATCTGTTCCCTCTGGCAGGTCACCAGTTAAGTGTAGCAGGAGCAGCAGTGGTCCCAGATGCCATCGGATCTTCCCCAGCCAGAGCATTCATGACCTTTCGAACTCCCCCATGAAGCTATTCTAAGCTCTGACAGGTCATCCCTGTTTCCTTGGCTTGCACGGGCTTTTTAGGATGAGTAAGAAAGGAGACGCCCTGTTTTTAATGTTTGCTATTTATAGTAAGGTATTTAAGTTACTTTTAAAGAAATAAAGGGAGATGCATGCTAACTACTGGCAACTTAAATATTGTGTTCCCTGAAAATCTAATGTATGGAAAGAAACCAATCTATTTGGGTTTACCCATAATATGACTGCATGATAATACAATTTCATAGCAGATATTATGTGCTTGGCCTTTTATCATTTAATTCTCCCTACTAACCTCTGAGGTCAGGACTATTATTTTATCATTACTTATTTCCAGAATTATATGCTAGGCACTGTGCTACTAGCTCAATGCTGAGACATGGTACAAAGCATGTCCCTTGTACTCATGGAAAGAACACATAGTCTAGGGGAGGAGATAGCCAATAAACAAACAATTACACAAATGAAAAACTGCAATTGTGGTAAGTGCTGTGAAGAGGTATATAATGTTCTGACAGAGTAAAATAGAGGAATATGACTTAGAATGGCAGAGAAGACTTCTTTGAGATCATAAGCATGAGAGGCGCTAATAAGATGAGGAAAGAGTGCGGCGGGGTGTTTCACCCAGAGGGAAACACACGTGCAAAGGCTTTCTAGTGGGATGGAGCCAGGGGCTTAAGGACTGAAAAAAAGGGCCAATGTAGCCAGAACACAGACAGTGAAAAATATATGAAGTGATGTTGTTCAGGTAGCTAGGCACCAGAACAAGGGGCTTCTCAGCTGTCTTAAGAGTATGTCTTTATCCTAAAGGCTAAAGGAAGCTACTGAAGTATAAGATTAGCTCTTGTTGGCTGTTATGTAAATAGTGGCTTAAGGAAAGAATAAATTTGGGAGTCCCAGTTAGGAGCCTCCTTCAATAGGCCAAGGAGAAATGGGGGTGGCACAGGCTAGAGGAGTGGTAGTGGAGAAGGAGAAGACAGGCATGATTTGAGAAATCTTTATTAAATCAATAGGACTTGCCAATAGTTTAGATTGGTGGGGAGAGGCAAGCAGAAAAGGTGGGCAGTAGGATATGTCAAAAATGCCTCCCAAGTTTCTATTTGCTTAACTGGATGCCATTCACAGTTGCAGAGAAAAATAAAACAGGACAGGTTGGCGGGGGGCAGGGGAAAATCATGACTTTGGTTGTAGACATGTTGAGTTTAAACTGCCTTTGAATCATGTGAGGAGAACAAAATATGCAGCTGGACATAAGAGTTCAGAGCTTAGAGGCACGATCTAGATTGGAGAGAGAAATCTGTCAGGACAGCTGTATGTGGGTTATAATTAACATAGTGGGCATAGAGAAAATAATTAGTAGGGAGTATAAAGTGAGGAGAAGGCAGCCTAGAATGGAACCTTGAGGAATTTCAATACTTAATGACTGGCTGGAAGAGGAAAATGGGGCTTGAAGAGGTTAAGTAACTTGTTCAAGCACATGTAACAAGTAAGTAGAAGAAAAAAAAATCAAATCCATGTCTGGCTGACCTAGAGCCCAAAGTTGCAGACATTATATTCTACTGCCTCCTTAACCAGTATTTGAAATAAAAGCATCACTTTGGGTTTAAAGGAGGTTAACAGTTGTAATAAATTACCTATATTAGCCAAGAATTGATAAACAGTCCCCCTAAAATACACAAGGGAGCTAAAGTGGTGTTGTTTTGAAGCTTGCAAACCATATTATCTTCAAATGTTTCCTCACAGGGAGGTGGTAAGCAAGCATTGCAATGTGAAAGTTGAATGCAATCTCAGAATCTTCCTCTTACTGAGAAACGGAATAGTTAGATCAAATAATAGTAATCATAATGCTGTACTTCTCAAAATGAAGGACAGAAAGTGCTCCTGAGGTATGCAGCAGGGGAACAAGGAATATTTGAAGAAAAATGATGAAGATGTTGCATCTCCAGGAGCAATTTTAGTTGGTGGCTTTGGGAAACGTTTTTGATATTAAATACAAACATGGATATCATTGACTAGAATCTAACCTTTGCATTCTTATTTATTTATTTTTAAAAATATTTATTTGTCAGAGAGAGAGAGAGTGAGAGAGTATGTGGGAGCACAAGCAGGGGGAGTGGCAGGCAGAGGGAGAAGCAGGCTCTCCGCTGAGCAATGAGCCCGACCTAGGACTTGATCCCAGGATCCTGGGATCATGGTCTCAGCTGAAGGCAGATGCTTAACCGACTGAGCCACCCAGGCATCCCCTTTATATTCATTTTAAAGAGAAGCTGTAAGTCTCCAAAATTTTATACTCATCGTGGTAATCCACCCCCCCCCCCCAATTCCTTTGGAGTAGGCATTCACTTCCTGCTGGTATTAGGGATATTATGAAGGAAAGACTGAGATATACTGTTATAATGTATCTGGCAACATCACCTTCCAAATCTACACGAGGACTCAAAAAGAGTATCAAAAAGTGTATGAGGGGATTTTTTTTTTATTTTGAATCATTTGCAAAGTGCAATTAAGAGAAGTCACATGGTCTTGAACATAAAATAAATATGAAGTGATTATTGTCAATTTATGAAAATTTCCAGTGTACTTTTGAATGACTTTATTCACTTTCTCACACTACCAATAGTGAGAAATGTAAGAACAGAGAAACACTGCTTGTACGGAGATTGGTAGTATTTCATTAAATATTTCCATTCTCCATCTGTATGAAATACACACAAATTCCAAGAAACAACTTTTTAAAAACACACACTCATGACTTACCTTTCCAAATGATCCCTGCCCTAATACTTTTAAAAGTTCAAATTGGGAAGGATCTGCCTTTTCATGTCCTTCCTTTACATGATGTGTGATTGCAATTTCTTTGATACTGCCTTCTTCCTGTTGAAGCAAATATAAAGGGAGAAAAGAGAGTTAGAGATACTTTCTCCAGCTATAAATCAAGAAATATAAATTTAGCATATCATATTAGAAATCCTCAAATTATTATTTTCTTAAAGTAAGCTCTACGTCCAACTTGAACTCATGACCCCCAAGATCAAGAGCTACATGCTCTACCAACTGAGCGAGCCACGTGACCCCAGGAATATACTTTCAAGTTAAATGTCAGAGAGAATGATACCAGCCCACTGCATAGACCAATTTAACCTCTACTTAACATTAGCACTGAGTATTTCCAAGTCTTCATTCTTCCTATTGGAGATAATTAGAATAGTTTCATGGGGTGAGGGCAGAGAGTATAAAGAAGTCTGAAAACACAACAGAGTAATCTGCTGTGCTCTGACATGTGCTTGTATTAGGTAAAACCAATGCTACACACACACACACACACACACACACCCCGTATTTATTGGGGAGTGGGGTTGAAAAATATTCCAAGGCAAACATGGAGATTTCTACCCTCAGCAAGGCCATTTGGATCAGTATGCTGAAGTTTATTCTGTTGGAAATATGTAAGTTACTTTCTGTTTCTAGGACTACTTGAGATCTAAGGGAGAAAGATATAACTCTAAAACACAAAATCAAAAAAGATTTAAACATTTGAAATGGAGGATTAGACACAAGAAAAAAGTTACTACCCAGCATAATGGAACAGTGGAAAGTCTTAGTGTTAAGGGAAGGATTGTTAGACAGTGGATGCTTCAGTATATCTGAGGGAAGGCATCAGAAAGGGAGAAAGGTTGAAAATATATGTATGTATACACAGAATTTCAATTACTTATTCACTCTGGGATTAGCAGATATTTAATCAAGACATGTACTATGTTACAGCCAAAAACTACAATAAAACAAAACCCAACAAAACCAGAAATATAAGCCAGTCAAAGACTATTTTTCTTTTTTTGCCTATAATGTTTTTTCCTAGTGCCTAAGTATTATTAATAGAATCGAAATGTGTTGTACACAAATAATTCATTGTTTTTATTATTGTTGTGTTCCATATGCATGTTTGAGCTCAATTAGCATTTTCTGAGATAGAATGTTGGCTATATATGGAATTACAAAGATTTCTTAAAAAGATATACTGGTATACTAATGTGGCAGGTTTTGAAAATGAGCAGTAAAAGGAAGAAAAGCTCTTATAGGACAAGAATGGAATCTAGGCCCACTATTTTACTCTGTAAGACAGAGTTTGTAGACTGTGCTAATACTTAGGCAGCTTCATCATTTTGGATGCTCTCAGAACTGTGGCAACAATAAACAATCCCCTAATATGGTTTAGTCCTTTATTTTGTAATTTCACATGCACTATCTCCTTTATTTTTCACAACCATCCTGTGCAGTAGGTGTTAGCGTAGAATCAAGCATTACTTGACTCTGAGACTCTACCCCCCCTTCCTGTGCACCCCTTCTCTGCAAATGAGACTGGTGTATAGGGGCTCAAGAGTGATAGCTATTTGTAGCTACATTAGGAAAGGCAGGAAGCAAATTACCAAATTCTTCTAAGAAAATTTTCAAAGAACAATGTATGTGTGGAACTGATTAAAATCCAGCAAATATTTATTAAGCACCTACCATGTACCAAGCCTGGTTAGGTGCTTTTTCACCTTTTATCTTATATTTATTGCTTCATAACAAATCTTTCACTACATATCAATGTTAGAGAGGGCTGATGATAACAGGGTGGAGTATACCTCAGAGCAAGCAAAAACATCTCAGAATACTCTACAGACTCCCCCATTCATCACGAGAAATTTGACAGATCTTTTAAAGGCTAAATGGTTTGAATACAGATTGAAGTTTAAAGAGATTAAGTAAAGATCACAAGCAAATAACTGGCAGATTTATGGATCAATTCCAGGTTCTGACTTCTGATGACTTCTAAAACAAGGCTCATAGCATTACACCATACTGAGACTGTCATAGGCTTCTGTGGTTCCCCATCCAAGATCAATGACAGGAACATACACACTTACTCCCTTGATCCTTGTAACTGGTCTGTTTCTCTTGGGTCAGTTAGCTACAGTGATTAGAGAAATGTCTCTGAACTTTTAGTAGCATATCCTCATCAGTTAAAAAAACCTCTGTTTTGTGTATTTGTACATTTATTGGCTTAAAAATTATATATACTTTTTGTATTACTAAATTATATACATTATACATGGAATGAAATTATAAAGAAGTTCTCCTCTTTCTTTTCTGTAACCCAAAGTGCTGTCACATGGCACTTTAAAGACTAGTAGATTACAGATTTAAACTCAAAAGGCCAAGGTCATGGGTTGGATTCTAGCATGTGCCAGTCAGCCTACTATGGAAAAAACTATCTGTTCAAGAGCCTAACTGGAATCTAACAGCCATTTATGCCTTTAAATTATGAGGCTGTGAAGAACTATACTCTATAACATTCCAAATGTCTTATCAGTTTTCTTTCTTGGGTAAGTGGGATGTAATTTTAGGCTGCAATATTGTTTCATCTTTTATTTCATAAAAATACTATAATTATGTGTCACAAAGATGCAACACAGGCAGGGAAGGATCACTGAATTATAAATGTTTTGCATTCTGCAGCAGGCATATAGGATCAAGTCTTACTCTCATAATGAGAGCTACAATCAGGTCATGGGTCTCAAAATAAACAGCAGTAACTATTCAAGAAAGATTCTGTCTTGGATGACTACTCTTCCTTTCCTCTCATGTCAAACAAGTTACCAAAAAACACAGAATCTCCCTTTGATCCCTTCATTCAACAAACATACACTAAAACATCTACTGTGTATCAAACATGGAAATGGGAATACCCTTCTTTCTTTTCTTCCCGCCCCCCCCCCCATTTCCAATAGCATCACCCAGGTACAATTCTTCATTACCTTGCCTGTGGAAAACTGAAACTAGCTTGGTTACTCATAATGCCCCTTTGTGCCACTGCCAGTCCACTTCATCCTCCCAACAAATTCATTTTTTTTTTAAGATTTTATTTATTTATTTGACAGAAAGAGAGAGCGAGAGTGAGCACAAGCAGGGGGAGTGGCAGGCAGAGGGAGAGGGAGAAGCAGGCTCCCCACTGGGCAGGGAGCCCGAAGTGGGACTCGATCCCAGGACCCTGGGATCATGACCTGAGCCGCAGGCAGACGCTTAACAACTGAGCCACCCAGGCGCTCAACAAATTCATTTTCTGAAAGGAGATAGCTCCAGTCATATGACCAGACTGCCCAAAAACTCCTCTAAATTTTCCTAAATTAAATGTACTGCTTCACCTTGGCATGTAAGACCCTCTACAATATGGCTGCACTTAGTTTTATGGTATTATCTCCCAACATTGCCTTACACATAATCTTTTGTCAACCTGGGTTATTTCTTGTTCCTTAAACTTTTTGTTTTTAAAATTAAATATGTGCACATGGATGACAAATCAAATAGTGACAAAATGCCCTATGATGAAATGCAAGTCTCCTCTCACCCCCATACCTAGGTTTTTAAAAAAAGTTAGTTCCTTTTGCACTTACATTGGTAATTTCTTGGTTTATTAAGACAATGCCTACTGATTTAAAAATAAGATGAAGGATTCACTCATATCCCTTTCATCATCTTCTTCCCCACTATTTGATAATTATATTACTTTTTACATAAATTTCTCATCTTTTCTATTAGTTTTGGATAGAATCCTAACTCCTCACTTAGTTTTGTTTTTTTTCAAGATTTATTTGAGAAACAGGGAGAGTGTGCAAGGGGGGAGGGGCGCAGGCAGAGGGAGAGAGAGAATCTCAAGCAGACTCCCCCCTACCCCAGCACAGAGCCCAGTGCGAGGCTTGATCTCATGACCCTGAGATCATGACCTGAGCTGAAACCAAGAGTTGGAAACAACCTATTGAGCCACTCAGGCACCCCCTAACTCCTCACTTTATAAAAGGAGGTTAATAGTGCCTATACTGGGACGCCTGGGTGGCTCAGTCAGTTAAGTGTCTCTGCCTTTGGTTCAGGTCATGATCCCGGGTCTTGGGCTCGAGTACTGTATCAGGCTCCTTGCTCAGCGAGGAGGCTGCTTCTCCCTCTGCCTGCCGCTCCCCCTGCTTGTGCTCTCTCGCTGTCTGACAAATAAACGAGTAAAAAAAAAAAAATCTTAAAAAAAAAAAGTGCCTGTACGTTTTTTCTCTGAAACTTCCCTAACCTGCTAGCTATATTTTTACATTATTAATATTGAGAAAATTAACATTCTCTCCTGTAACCACAACCAAACCCTTCATACTGTCTCCACAGCCTGATTTTAAAAGCAAAAGGCCCATACACCAGCATTCACATTTTTATGACAATATATTGTTTAAATGCAGGCTAGAAAGTACATTAAATTTCCTTTTATATGGGCCCATAGCAGTGACTTCCAAGACAATCTGAGGGGACTTAAAAAAACCAAACTAAAACAATACTCATCAAATGCTTAAATTCATGATACATTTTACTTTGAGTTCTATTGGGACCACGAATTTTTTACATGTTTTTCTTTTTTTCCTGTTTCTAACAGCCCCATCATTCCTGGCGGGAGGGAAAGGTTAATCTGACCATTAGTCTTAATTTTTCCTTAACCCTTTACCATACTTCCCATTCTTCTGAGAGCCCTCTCTTACCCTCCCATCAGGAATGATTGGTCTCTAGGCCTTGCTGCACAGCTATTACCTCCAGATATCTCTTCAGGGCTTTCCTGGTCAAACCCACTATTCTCAGTTTCCCGTATCATTCTCTTTCTTAGATTACTCCCTTGTAACTTCCTAAGAAAGGTAATGTGGAAAAAAAATTTCTGAACCTTGCACATCCGAAGATGCCTATTTTGTCTTCATATTTGTATAGTTTGGCTTGGTACCAAATTATGGAATAAAAACAATCTGGCCTCGGGGGTGCCTGGGTGGCTCAGTCTTTAAGCGTCTGCCTTTGGCTCAGGTCATAATCTCAGGGTCCTGGGATCGAGTCCCACATTGGGTTCCTTGCTCAGCAGGGAGTCTGCTTCTCCCTCTCCCACTCCCCCTGCTTGTGTTTCTTCTCTCGCTGTGTCTCTATCAAATAAATAAATAAAATCTTAAAAAAAAAAATAAAAAAAATAAAAACAATCTGGCCTCGAACACTGACGCTAATGGTCCATTGCCCTCTAGCAGCCAGGACTGCTACTGAGATGGGTGATGCTAGCCTGATACACATTTTTGGGAAGGTGAACTGTTTTCTTTCCAGAAGCTTTAAGAATTTTCTCTATCCTTGTACTTCTGAAATTCCACACTAGTGAGATAAATATGGGTCTTCTTTCCTTTAGAATGCTAGATGGTTGGTGAGCCTTTATAATTTAAAGATCTGAATTCTTTGCCTCTGGGGGAATTCTAACATTTTTTTTTTTTGATAAATTTCCTTCCATCAATTTTTCAGGGTTTGTCTTTGTGCAACTCCTCTATTAGTTAGGTATTGTATGTCTGGAATTGAATCCTGTATGTCACTTATCTTTTTTCTCCTATTTTCCGAGAGACTTCCTTGGTTTTATTTTCCCACCCTCATACTGAATTTCTTATTCTGGCAAATCTTATTTTAAAATAAATTTGCAAGTGCTCCTTTTGTCAATGTTTCTTTGAAAAAAAAAAATAGCAACTTCCTCCACTCCCTACCCCCTTACCCCAAGATGGATGCAATCATTCCAAACCTCTTTAGGATATAAACGAGAATTTCAAAAGTCTTTTTCTACATCGGGGCTCAGAAGGTGCAAAACAGTGTGCTTGGGGGTGGAAAGAAAAGATCGAGGCCTATGGCCCAAGTTCTAAAGACCCGTCACTGTTTTTTCAACACATTTTTTTGTTCCTTCCAAGTTTAAATTTTTACTAGTCACATTAGCAAGCTACCTTCTATCTACTTTTATGTTATACAGCCATAGCAGTATAATAGGCAAAATACCCTTGGTTGGTATCTTAATGCCCAGAATGTGCTTAATGTCACCAGTTTTTCCAAGTTATGGGACCATGGGTATTTTAGAAATGAATTTGAGGTTCAACTAGGACATAATATTAATGCTTGGGCAATCTTCGACAACAGGTAGAAAAGCAACAATGTGCTCTTCTAGCTCATACCTAGAATCTAATGAGATGGATGCAGAGAGGAATATCAAGTTTCCAAAGGCACTGATAATCCAAGCACAGACATTTGCATGTGACAAACATATCATGTGAATAAATCACCTGTAACTGAAATAAATCTGTCACATGGAAACAAAGAACTACAGTTTGACCGTTTGTAAAATTGTATTTTTGCCTGTAAGCACACAGTAAAGCAACTACAATTTTATGGAAAAAGAATTTTGTCAATGAAGTTGAGCACAGATTTAAGTTATATCCATTATTCCCCTGTGAGGTTCACATATTTTTACATTCTCTGGTACAAATATATTTTAAATTATACATGGATAGCTGCCCATTCATCATCATGAAAAACTTACACTGTGTATTTCTAAAACTTATGGTAAATTCTGTATTTTATTTTTACAAAGTCTACGTTTATTTGATAAGTAAAGTTCTAGCTGTAGGTAAAAGTGTGAGGCTGGCGGCTGGTCTCCATCACAACCCTGTATCATCTGTCTACAACCCCATCACTTTCAGGTATTTCCCACCCCCAGCCTAGATGTTCAATACCCTGAAGCTATATATGGGAATTCATTCATTCATCCATTTAAACATTTATTTATTGAGTACCTAATACATGCCAAGCACTCTTCTAGATGCCTGAGATATATAATAAATGGAATAGACCTAAAATCTCTGGCGTTTGGGGGAGAAAACAAACAATAATAATAGGTATATTCATGTTAGAACAAGATAAATACCATGGGAAAAAGATACTAAGTCGGTAAGAGGGATCAGAAGTGCAGGGATAAAAAGGAGAGCTTACAATTTTAAATAAAACCATCACTGCAGGTTTTACTGAAAAAGTGCTATTTGAGTAAAGACCAGAAAGACGTGATGGAGTCAACCATCTGGGGGAAGAGCATTTCAAGCAGAGACAAGCCAGTGCAAAGGCCAGTGTGGGAGCACACACGGAGACCAGTGTTTGGATCAGAGAGGAAGAGAAGAACAGGTCCAAGAGGGGACTAAAACTCAGGACACTCTGGTGCTTCTGCTTCTTCCTAACTGCCTAGTCCTAATGGAAATGTTTCTGATCTGTAACATATTCCCTTAGGCCCATTCCTTTTTGTTAGAAGGCAATTGAGATTATGAACCAGGTAGTGTGCTAGGTATTAGAGATACTAAGATAAAGAAGAGTATCTGCCCTCTAAGAATTTACTTAGGGTTTCAAAGATTTATTACTGGATAAATACTTGTTGAGATGTGACCCATGATAGAAAAAACAAGGTCAATTCAGTTAACAAATATATAATTTTAGGAATTCTGTAAAGGATGTCATTTTAGACATCACAGAAAAATGGCAGAAGGAAATTCATGGGCAGGTGGATCTTTTGGTGTTCATCCAGTCACACAGAAAGCCACCTCATTTGCTTCCTAGGACCATCAAGAGGTCTGTAGGTTCCTTCTTAAATGGTCCTTAAGGTTCGCCCTTTAATGGAAAAAAAAATTAACTTAATGTTTCCTTTTTAAGTTGAGAGGAAAAAGATACAATTTTGTTCTTAAAATGTAAAAGGATTAAAGAAAAGGAACAGAAAGTGATGCTGTCTATTTGAGACAGAAAACCTAATATTGTAACACACTACCATTAAGTAAACAAACTGCGTGATATTAATTGATTTTAAAGAATGATTCAATTTTTGGCATTATGCCCTGACTTGTATACATAATTTCCTTTTTCCTGCCCTCCCTTGGGTCAGGAAGTGTGTTCTTAAGGCATTTGTATTTTCTAAATTGTTTTGAATGTCAGAAAATACGGATGAAACTTGAAGTAAATTATTTAAATGTCCCTTGGTAAAAACTAATAAATAAATCTTTTCTAACCATGGATATATAACTATTTTTTGGCCTAACATAAAGAAGACCTTACAAATGAAAAATGTATACTTCATTTGCCTCTTGAATGTAATTCAAAATTCAAGTATTAATCTGTATACAGAAACCTAAGGTTCTATAACATAGTTTTTAATTTTAAAAAGAGATGTTAAATTTTTAGATGATCAAGATACATAAAAATTTGGCTGTGATACATAATTAGGCTGGTTATTCAAGCCATGCTGGAAAAAAAAAAAAAAAACATTTTAAGGTATTCTGGATTATAATCTGACCAAATCCAATTTACTTATTTGCCAATGGATGATAAATATGCTCAGCATTTTTCATTTAACCAAGTTCTCTAAGCGTATTCCAAGCCAGCTTCCACGTTTGAGAAAACAGCATTGCTGTTCTCCAGACTAACATTCCTAATCACTGCTACAGAGAGCACAGTTTTCTCCTAATCGGGAATCCCAATCAAAGAATTAAATTCTCTTTAAAGAACAGCAGGATAGCACAATTCTCATGGCAAAATATCGAGTTAATTTGGCAGAATTTTAGAAGAAACAAAATGCAAATTATCATTTGCTAAGCACATTTTAACAAAGTAATGCTTTGAAAACTGTGCCTATTCTAAGTTAGATAAAATTACTTAAAGTTACTTAAATACGGTTGGTTAAAAACTTCAAAATTTGAAAGGAATCAATTTCAACAAAAGTCTGACTTTAAGGTCTTGACTGTTTAAAACAATACATTCTCCAACCCATCAAAATATTGCTTACATTATAGAAATCTCCTAACTATCAATAAGTTCACAATTTTGTTCATGCCTGGTTTAATCCTGAAAGTTACTGTCATCTGTTTTATTATACAAAATTACAAACACAAGCAAAATAAAAACTACTCTACCACTAAAAAGCCAATGTAAAAATAAATTTACAAAATATACAATTGAAACGAATAATACACATAGGTGGCTTACTTTTAGCAAACAGAAATACTATCCCTTAAAAGTTCTTTAAAAACTGGTTTTGAATTTTGAAAAGCTTCTTAAAAGAACATATAAAATGAAATAATTGCTTAATTAGTATAATTATACTGAGCTCCAACTAAAACATTTTAGTTTTTACAGAAGTTGAACAAAGCTTACCTGTATAGAGCGAACACGAAAAGACAAAAATTTAAACATGGCTACGAAACCATGATGGTGATAAAAGAATTTCTGACCGTAAAACTTAGGTTGGAAAGGGAAGGCCAAGCCCCTGCAAAGTTTTCTCCTACCAGCTGTTCCGGCAATTAGAAAATTTCCTGTCAGGCGGGTCCTGAAATGCTAGAAAAAGAGTCCTGACAATTTTCCTGTGGTAAAAGAAAGGAGAAACGTAATGGCGAGGGCACTATGTAGCTGATAGGTAGGGAGGCCAGAACAGGAAACCAAAACAGATTTGCTGATAGCAAAATCCTGTTGAAATGTTCTTAACTCCTGGTTCCCAGGAACCTAGACAATTTTCACAACTAGTGAAATGAACATTATTTTTAGAATCCTGAGAAATGTCAGTATTTCTTAACTATACGACTCTTTAAAAGCAAATGAAACTAGTCAGCACTATTAAAATAGTAAGTCACTGATGCACATGTGAAATTTTACCCTTTGTAATGTTTATACACACACTCTAAAGGATAGTCTCAAGACTATTTTAAGGTTATATGTAGACAAGTCATGGGTGTTCCCTGTCAATGAGGCATTGTTTCATAACTATGGGAAGAAAATGACCACATGCAAGAAACTTTTTGATTGTGATATAAGGACAAATTCTTCCTGTCTTAAATGGAAGTAAATGATATTTAAATTCACATTGGTTATAGACATCAATTATTGGCCAGGTTAAAGACTTCAAGGTCTATAGCTAAAAATCCTAGTTGATAAAATCTGAGTTAAAAGAAAGACCAACCCCTGGGTTATTAGTGAGCAAAAGGAACACTTACTGATATAAGCCAAACTGGAAATGGAGAGGTTAAGTTACCGGACAATCCCTTACTCCATTTCATTCTCTAATAGCCTCTAGAAGTTCTTCTAAGGTATTTTTATTTTGGAAAATAGTTTTTAAAATATGCCAATAATCAAAATATGATCACAGAAATAGTGGCATTTAAACAAAACCCAAGGACAGAAACATCGAGAGCTATGGGAAAATGCTCTACTTGATGTGTATTTAACCTATGTGGAACCAACAAACACATCAATCATTAGTATATATAACCTATACAAATTTAATGAAATAACTGAATTTTCAAAACCTGAAGACAATTTATCATATGATTTCACTCATATGTGGAATTTAAGAAACAACAGATGAACACAGGGGAAGGGAGGAAAAAATAAAATAAGACAAAATCAGAGAGGGAGACAAACCATAGGAGACTCTTAACTATAGGAAACAAACTGAGGGTTGCTGGAGGGGAGGTGGGTGGGGGATGGGGTAACTGGGGGATGGCATTAAGGAGGGCACTAGATGTAATGAGCACTGGGTGTTATATGCAATTGATGAATCACTAAACTCCACCTCTGAAACTAATAATACACTATATGTTAATTGATTAAAAAAACAAAATAAAACACAAAACCTTAAGAGTCTTCAGAAAACACCAGAAATGATCAGCTAGTTTTCTGGATGAAGGAACCATGGTCAAGGCAGGCACATATTCGATGATGCAGCTATCTATAATGAGATCTCAGTTCAGCACTACTTTACTGAGCAAACGTTAGAGTGTCCATTAGGTGCTACACGTGCCATATGAAAGGCTAGGGCTCTTCCTGCCGTATCAAATTTTTGTAGCTATGTTCTATAATGTTCTATATATGTTCCTGCTGCATTTACCTTTTATGGCAATATTTTATAAATGACCTAACAGAAGCTGAAGAATAAAAAAACTGCTCAATTTAAAAAATTACCTTACTTAACCAGGTACATTAGAATCAACTGGAACCTAAATAAATGTCTAAGATAAAATTCTGAATTCTGCTAGGGAATTGTGCAGTCCTCTTGATTAAAAATGCATGCCTCAATTTTTCAGCAAGGAAAGCACTTAAGAAAACTTCCATTAGAACATCAACCCGTTCATCTCCCAGAAGGAATTATTTAAGTCTCCTTAGAATGCTGCAAAAGGGCAGCATGGTTAGGACAACCACCTAACATAAAATTGCAGTCTGAACATGAGATGCCTTTTAAGACTGTCAAGAAGCAGCAAACAGCAATGGTTACTGCACAACTGATTAAGACGTACAAAACAAATAGGATTGTCTCTGTATACAGCACTCATCAACTTTATTCAAGTAATACTTAAGAAGCAACCAAATAACCTTTTTTGAATTTAAAGGATTAGTTTGAATTGGCTTTAATGACTACTGATGCTCAGGTTAACAGTCACATTTTGTTGTGTGCTGTGCTTTTTAATATTAACACTAAGAAAATGAAGCAGTATTTCAGATATCAAAACCTAAAATAAGTCTGAGTTGAAATGATACCTAAATTAAAACAGTGTAGTACTGCTGTGTAAAAGATAAACAGAGTGTCAGAAAAGAATAAAAGAATAAATTTGACACTTTACATCTGACGGAATGTTAGGACATTTGGCTACCTGTCTGGGAAATGCAGAAGCCATAAAGGAAAATATTAGTATAGATTTGATTATAAAATTCAACTTCTCTATATCAAAAGGTACCATAAATAAAGTTTAAAAGACTGGTTCACATGATTGGAATCCCTTATAATCATATTACAACTCAGCACTAAGCAACAGCTTTATTTGGGTGTTAGATGAGCCCTAACCCAAAATGAAAGCGCTTAAGGCCCTTTGGTACATTGCTTAAGACACTGATTACTGTTTAAGCACATGCCACTGCCCCTACCAGATTAATCTTCAGAACAGGCACCATACTTATCTTTGTATCCCCATAGCAAAGAGCATATAGTAGGAATTCAAATAATGGCTGCTTGAGTAAGAAGTATCATATGCTGAAATCTGAAATGGATACTACTTGTGTGGCTGTGTGCATGGAACTAGGTATTATTGTTTATATTTTTCCTGCTTCTTTTGACTTTCTTGAAATTTATCTTACTAAAATTTCAGCTAATCTTTCTTTATTCTTATATCTTACTGGTTTTAATGTTTATCTTATTCAAAAAGTAAATTTTATTATAAAAAGTATACATGTCCATTACAGAAAACTTGAACAATAAACAAGGAGAAAAACAAAGGAAAAAATCACTATTTTGGTGCTTATCTTTCTAGTCTTTTTCTGTATACACACACGTCCACACTTGAACCATACTATACATATTATCACTTTTTTTCGGTAAAGGGCCAGACAGTAAATGTTTTTGGCTTTGCAGGCCATATGGTCTGTGTCAACTCTGCTACTGCAGTGGGAAAAGGAATGGGTGAGGCTTAATATATAGCCAGAATAATCTTAAAACAGAAATCAGACTGGGTCATGCCCCTACCTCAGATTCTTCAATGGTTTCCTGTCACAGAACAAAACCCAAATTTCTCAGTCTGTGGACCATAAAGCAGGCACTAAGAAACACTACTTGATGATGACTTGGGAATATATTCACTAAATCATTCAGATACAATGTCAATATTTGGTTTTAGACATTATTTTATCATGTTAAGGTCAGATTACTTCCTCTTTACTAAAAGAGGAATGAATAGTCAATTTTATATAATGTCTTATTATCTATTAATATAGTCACTTAATTTATCTCCTTTGACCTAACGATTTGATAATGTAGATCAACAGATGTCCTGATATGTTTGTATTTCTGGGAAAAATCCATTATTTTAATACATGTATTTGATTTGTAATCTTTTAAAAGGATTTTTGCATCTATATTTGTAAGTTAAACTGGCAGTTTCCTTTTGTGTGTTAACTTTCATTTTCAGGGCTATGCTAACTTTATAAAACAAACTAGAAGGCAATGTAAATTTTTTTCCTATGCTTTGGGACAATTTAAAGACTACAGGAATGATCTATTTCTTGAAAGTTTCAAAGATTTCTCCATGAAGTCACAGGGGCCTGGCACCGTAGTTGGAAGGCGGAGAGTTTAACGCCTTAAATTTCTCCCTTGTTATTGGTATATTCAGTTTTTCTATCCCTTCCTAAATGATATCTTTAGATTTTCCTAGAAAACCACATTTCAGCAAGACTTTTATGTTAGTATACAGTTACACTTAGTATTCTATGTTTTTAAACTTAAACTTAAGGAACATGTCAAGCATATCTAAAGTAGACAGATGAGTATAACAAACCCTCATGTACCTATCACTCACCTTTAACGATTACCAACTCACGGCCAGTCTTGCTTCATACACTCACTTCCCCCCATAACTAATTATTCCCATAATTCATTCCCATAATTAATTATTTTGAAGCAAATCCCAGATATTATATCATTTCACCTATAAATATTTCTGTTGTTAAGATGTTTTAAACTCTTTCCTATCTGTGGCTGTATCGTATTTTGCTTTCTGAATGTTGTATATTTGCTTCCCCCCCCCACCCCATTTTCTCATTCACTGTTTTTGGAATTTGTATTTAATTCCTTCTTCTTGCTCTCTAGAAGCTTACTTTGTAGTTCTTTTCCCAGCGTCTTTCACTGAAATAAATTCCTTTATTTGAATTCTCATTCATTAATAAATTTTTCTTTCTTTCAAGTATAATTCTAACAATATCATTTAACATACTATATTCTAAGCACTGTGCTTACATGAAATTATTTCAGTTAAATCTCACTACACTGAGATAAGTACTATTATCCATACTACAGATGCAGAAACTGAGCGGTAAAGAGAAGTTAAGGAACTTGTTGCTCAAGTTCATACTTTCTTGAAAGTCAGAATGGCTGTGATGTTGGTGGGAGCATAACTAGGCAAGTCTATCTGGGGAAGGAGTGTGTATTATGTATGGCCAGTGGCTGACTTAAGTCAGAAACCAGGAAGTGCTAAAACTTGTGATAAGACCCAGAAGACAGTAGAGGGTCCATAGCAGAGTTCCTGAACACTTTTCTACAGCATACATTATATTTGTCTGGCAAAACCCCAACCCTGGTCAAACCCAATTATCAACCATTTTCTTAAGTCCATGAAAGCAGAACCATGCTGGAGAAAAGTCAACCCCTAGGATAGAAACTTAAAATGAACATGTTTTCTGAAATGAGTCCTTTGGATATGATTTTTTGTATGGATCAGTTTTTCAGGTACTGAAGGGTTTAATATCTAAGGGTTTCCATTTAAGTACAGAAGAATTACTCTCTAGCACACGTCCATCAGTAGATAATGTTGCAAAGTGCTAAAGT